TTTCCCGTAAGGAAGACCATCGGCTGCTGGAAGTCGAAGGCAAAAAGTAGTGGGAAGCGTACGTTACTTGAATCCGGGGCAGAGTTGCCAGCCACCGGGACAAAATGGCTGCCAGTGACGTAGCAGCTGGGTCGTTCTACCGCGAACCGTATATTGTACATAAAATTTTACCAAATATAAATAACATCAAACTTTTTCGACGAATCAATTCTATATGCAATTGTTAAACATTATTTGTGTATAACAATTAACTATTTTTGGACGACTACTTTTGTGGTAGTTCTTTAGTTTTAATTTTAGTATTTCTTTATTTGAAATCACTTATCCGGTTTAACTATTTCTTTCACAAAAGTATGAAATTTTTCGACAAAATTAAAAAATTTCAAATCGTTCTGGAAAAATTATTTTCAGTTGCAGGGATCAATTGCAATCATTTTTGGTGAATACACATACCCCCGAATTCCTACCCATTTTCGAGAAAAAAATTCCAGCAGATGGACAAATTTTTCGACAAAATTAAAAAATTACACATCGTTCTAAAAAAATTATTTCCAGTTGCGGGGATCAATTACAATCATTTTTGGTCAGTAGACATACCCCCGAAATCCTACCCACTTTCGAGAAAAAAATTCCAGTAGGTGGACAAATTTTTCGATAAAATTAAAAAATTTCACATCGATCTAAAAAAATTATTTTTGGTTGCGGGGATCAATTACAATCATTTTTAGTGAATAGACATACCCTCGAATTCCTACCCACTTTCGAGAAAAAAATTCCAGTAGGTGGACAAATTTTTCGACAAAATTAAAAAATTCCAAATCATTCTGGAAAAATTATTTCCGGTTGTAGGGGTCAATTGCAATCATTTTTGGTCAGTAGACATACCCCCGAAATCCTACCCACTTTCGAGAAAAAAATTCCAGCAGATGGACAAATTTTTCGACAAAATTAAAAAATTTCAAATCGTTTTAAAAAAATTATTTTTGGTTGCAGGGGTCAATTACAATCATTTTTGGTGAATACACATAACCTCGAAATCTCACGCATTTTCAAGAAAAAAATTGTCTCGTGTATTTTTTTCAGAATTAAAATTTCTCATAAATGAATAAAATTTTTCCCATGGGTGGTCGAACAGTCTGTATAAATTGTAATGTCAATATTGAGACGTAGATTGAATGTGAAAGCATTATATCGAAAATTTAGTGGTATCGTCGTTTCTCAAAAGGAGGAAAATTCGATGAAAAACTGATCTGAACAGTATCAAAGCGAGAGCCGATTGGATCCCCGGCGTGCTTGATTCGCGTGGAACGAAAGACGACGTTAACCCAGTTGCACCTCGCGTCTTCTGCGAGGGTGGTCGGGCACGGCGTGACTCGTGGCGCGGAAAAGAGGCTGATTGCGACGAAATAAATCGAAGATGTGAAATGAAATTTTTAGCACGACTGACTATCGGTGTAAAGGAACGCTCGACGGGGCTTCTCGTACGAGAGTATTATTGATTTCTTTACAGGCCCCCCCCCCCCCGTGCACCAGGTTGAACGAAATAACTTGACCACCTTGAATATCTCTTACTCTTTGTAATAGAAAGAAACGTCGATGGAAAAGGTCGCCTCGATTCAGACCGACCAATATTACGGTATTTAAATTTCAACCTCATCGAAGTTTTTTTTATTACCTACCGTTGCTTGGGAAGCTTTTATTTTAAACAAATATTGAAGTCCATTATCGGAATCGACGATAAAAGACAAACGATTTTTGCTCGTGGGTTCTCTAGTAGTTTATTTAATTCATTTTACTTTCAGGGGCGTCGAACCGCGCCCTCGTAACTTCGACTTATGACATTAGTCAAATATTTGTGTCAAGCCCCGCGGCACGGTTAATCGTGTCACGAAATCATGGGCAGCGTAACCCATGAAAATAAACTGAATCCCATTTTTGTGGAGTGAGGCCCACTACTGGTACCCCCACTCCTCCCACTCCATAATCGTTTCCCCGCCATTTGTCATCGATGTTAGCAAGTATCCCTAACGCAGATGAGTGCACAAAGTGGTGTAACAACGTCACTAGAGTCGATGGTGCGTTCGAGACGACGCCAGATGTCACGAGAATCGCTCCAGCAATTGTAAAAAGTGATGGATAGAACTGTATCTCGACTTGGAAGACACATTTGTATTTGTCAAGAGTAGTAGGTTAAGCAGATAGGCTGTGAATACTTGGTTCGATTCGAAAATAGAAATAGATTAGACTTATTAATTGCGATATCTGTCAGCATGTATTGATTTACTTATTGACCTCGTGATCGAGTGAAACGGTTCTGTTTTCTATTCGATCCGTTGTGTTGTCCCATCAATTATAATTAGACAGTATTATTCTTGTTATACCACACAGTTATACAAAGTATAATGTGTCATACAAATTACTGTAATGCAAGATTTCCTTTCCATGAAGAAGCAGACTGTAATGGTAGTCCAACCTAACCACTTTTATATACATATGTAGTAGGTAAATTATTTAATAAATACAGTGAAAGTTAGAACGTTACGCGATCGTTCAATTTTCATAGAATCTCATAATGTGTGTGAACTGGAAGAATCATTTCCCAGAACTGCCACACTAGTGGTAACCCGATACCTCTATTTAACCACTCGATCATTTTAACGGGACAAGTTCAAAGACACCGAAGGATCCCCCCTTTCAATCGACGCTATTTCCTCGCAGCCATGCGTCGTGAAAAAAGGCGTATCTCGTTTCTTGTTACAATATTGAAGTATGTGCATAACCCAGGGAAATCCAACGCTAATAGATTCAACAGAGATTTAATTCCAAGATTCATTCTCGTTTCTTAAACCGTCTGTTTATTCGAATAAAATCCGTACGAGGTGAAAATTTCGTTCGTCTATTTCATGCCTAGTTCGTGTTCCGATATTTCGTTATAGAGCCAGTTGGAAATGGACGTTGGCAACCCTGATACATTGGCAAGAGTGCCAGTATGGAATATACGATATATTTCGTAACTTTCATTTCTATGGTGGAATAATATGTTTCTTAACCTACAATAATGTTTAAGTTAATATTTCTGATTGTCTACGGTGGCGCCATCTGAATTCAATTATTCCGTGGCATCTTCAACCCTTTAAAAGCTGTGTAATTTACGGGTCTTTAAGCCGGTGGCCTCGTCGAAACTCCGGAAACTGATAATTACGGGCTCGGAAAACGGAACCGTGCCACTTCACCTGTGGTTAGTTGAACTCGGAAACTATTTTCAACTACCGCCTCGCGTATTGATTATGCACCGAAACCGCTTTCCGTTCGCGCGACCGGTCGAAAACCGCCGCGAGTGTTATATATTCGTTTGTTCCGCGATTGTATCGCCCCGGTAGCGGTCACATATTTAATAGCAGAGAATATTAAAAATATTTATCAGGAGTTTGAATTTAAAACAACTGAGCTGGGCGATCAATTTTTCGCCCAATGAAACGATCAAAAACCGTTTGCTCGACGTGGGCGGGAAAACGAACTAGGCCAGAGTAAACGTTAATTTTCGATTTTAATAATAAATGAAAACGAACGAAACTCGTTGGCGATCAAATTAAATTTCGCCACGCAAATATTTTCGGATACGTCGTATCTTCAAATTATGCGTAGCGTGTGAATAAAAACGGTCGTTCTCCGTCCATTTTGTTTCGGAAGAAAGACGAAGAGATTTCTTTACGATTAATTAGCAAAGTTGTCGAGACATGAGTAACTCGATCTGTTTTGTTGAGGTTAAAAAACTGCATGGATTAGTCCAGTCAAAACTACGGCTAAAAATAGAACCCAGCGTGACCTTATGGCAGATCCCTCATTCTGTCTGCGACTTCGGCCACTTCGAGGAAGCCTCGGGGTGAAGGTGTCGAATTTCATGTGATTCCCCGCCCCCTCAATACTGTTTAAGACTTAACTCCATAGAATAAACGAAATTAGGGATAGTGGGTCGGAAAATAAAATTGGAACAAACGTTGCAAATAAATTGTTATACAGGGTGTTCAGCTACCCTTGGGAAAAATTTTAATGGGTGATTCTAGAGGCCAAAATAAAACGAAAATCAAGAATATCAATTTCTTGACTGAGGCTTCGTTAAAAAGTTATTAAAAAATTTTAAATCATTCTGAAAAAATTATATTTAATTACAGGGCTCAGTTATAATCATTTTTGGTCATTAGACATACCCTCAAAATCCTACCCAGTTTCGAAAAAAAAATTCGAGGTGTACAATTTTTTCCACAAACTTAAACAATTTCAATAGTTCTGAAAAAATTATTTTCGGTTCCGGGGGTCAATTACAATCATTTTTGGTGAATACACATACCCCCGAATTCTTATCCAATTTCGAGAAAAAAAATCGTAGGTGATACTGGAATTTTTTGGCGAAAAAAAAAATTCCAAATCGTTCTGAAAAAATTGTTTTCGGTTCCGGGGGTTAGTTTTAATCGTTTTTGGTGTATAGACATACCCCCGAAAACCTGCGCATTTTCGAGAAAAAAATTCAGTACAGGCGGGACTTTAAACGTTAATAATTTTTTAACGAAGTCTGCATTAATAAATTGGTATTCTTGCTTTTCGTCCTATTTTGGCGTCTAGAATCTCCCATTAAAATTGTGCCCAGGTGTGGCCGAGTTTTATTTTTTAAATACAATTCCATCGAACTTTGTTGGTACGGATGGCCGAAATAGGTTAGGTGGAGTACACGAATAGGCGTCAAATCGAGAGGGTTGCAGGTGACATCGAAGGGTGGAAGCGTAAAAAGGGTTCTAGACGTCAAAAACGTAATTGCATGGGCGGGGAGTATCTGGGCAAATCCATTTGCCATTGAAACGTAATCGAATTGTCTCGAGAATAGTATTTGTGGATTCGTGACGAAGTATAGAGTCGAAAAGCGCCTAAAGAAATGCGCGTAGACGCTTGGAATTCTAATTACAGATGATTTTATGTTAACAATTTTTTGTTCTTTTTTTTTTCAGGCGGTGGTGACAGCAACAAGGGTAAAAGCAAGAAATGGCGGAAGATACTTCAGTTCCCACACATCTCCCAGTGCATCGGCCTAAAAGATAAACTTGGTACGTTCGAGAAAATTTTTAAGCGAAATTAATAACAACTATCGAACCAATTCTGATTAAATCGCCATTATTAATTTCCTATGGAAAACGAAAAGCAGCCAAATAAAATTTGCTACGCATGGAAATCACAAACACAGGGGTCGTGAATTTTAAATAAATATTGTCACCGTAGAGGCGGCAGAAAACTTTGAGGTTATGATCGCCAGTGTATTTCCCTTGCTTCGAATCTAGATTCTCGTGATTTTCCGACGGTTGACTGGCTCATTTTTGAAACTGGGACACGATATCTCCTTGTCGGATAAGACTTCATCCTAGCTGACGATTCCCCTCCCCTCCCACGAATCCCGTGGCTAATCGACGCACGACCTCTCCGTTGACCTCGCCTCGGATTATTGAATCACGTCGAGCGAATCTCGCGGCGCTGAGAATGCGAAAAACGAAGGAAACGAGAGGAAAGTAAAGTGGACGAGAAGATAGTAAAATGGCCAGACACCGATTACACGTCCAGGAACGTTGCAAACATACAAGATTTCCTCCTTCCTGGAATCTTCGAATTATAGGGATTTCGTCGAAGTTTTCGAAAAATTCTGACCATTTATCATAGGATTAAAAAATTTCGTTCGTCCCATTCTCTCTGCGGAATTCAATAGGATCCAGATGGCGTACGCAAAGTTTCAGGCAGACAGTTTCAACGAATTTCGCGGCACGGTGGACTTGAGAAGTGAAAAAAGTAAACGACAAAGAAGAAGAAGTAAAAGCAGCGGGCAGAGATATCGTTGGCCCCGCACGCCAACAGAAGCCGTCGGGCTTTGTTGTTTCAGTTAATTAAACCGTAATGCTCGATCGTTGTTTCGTCGCCGAGGGCGACGAGGACTGCCTCCTCTCGAGAATTCGACGACCCAACGATCGAATTCGCTTCGTGACCGCTGAACGACCGGGAGTCGCGATCAAAACACGAAGCAGAACCAATGGCGGGAGTTTCAGTAAAACAAATATACCGAGAACTAATAAATAGTATGCGTACAATTTAATTTATTCTAAATTTGTTCACACATAACAGGTGGATTATATTATTATATTATATTATTCTTCATTAAGTTTCAATGGTATTACGAATCAAAATGGCGGCTTCAATTATAAACTTATGAAAACTGTACGTGTACATATTGAAAAGAATTGTTAAGAATGCTTGAAACTACTGAATGTGTGAATCTATTTAGCATTAGAAGGAAATATATTTTTACGGGCGCCGATTAATTAATTTTAATTGTTCCGTAACCGGGGACGTAGCAGCGAGGAGATTAGTATCGCAGACGTTCCGGAAATTAATTGCCAGCGCGAACCAGCGTATAGAGAAATTTGAAAGCATACGCGATTATCGGTAATCGCGAAATCATATCAAAGTCCCTTTGGCTTCTATTCGACGGATGCAGAGGCGGGCGAGAGAGTTCGACGAGAATAATTCCCTCGCGGTTCAATTAATTAATCCTCCATCTACGAATCCCACGGTTCTCGACGTAATGTTTCGTAATTGAGAAGCTATGGGAGTCTCGTTCGCGAGGACGTTAACGCGACGCGTAATTATGCGAATGAGGTTCCAATGGTGGAAACCTAACCTCTAATCGTGTCGTGGAACAACATTTTTCAGCGAAACCATCCATTACAATCCTCCATCATTACTCGAATAATTTAGTATCATTCGTGTATTACTATTTTCTAAATATTATTTATTAAATTATTTATTAGATTTTGGTGGTTTAATCGAAATTGGTTCGATAGATTTGAATGCACATTTTTCATCGAAACCCTCCATTACGATTCTCCATCATTACTCGAATAATTTAGTATCATTCGTGTATTACTATTTTCTAAATATTATTTATTAGATTTTGGTGGTTTAATCGAAATTGGTTCGATAGATTTGAACGCACATTTTCCATCGAAACCGTCCATTACGATTCTCCATCATTACTCGAATAATTTAATATCATTCGTGAATTACTATTTTTTAAATATTATTTATTATACAGAGTGTTCGGCCACTTGGGAAAAATTTTAATGAGGGATTCTAGAAGCCAAAATAAGACGAACATCAAGAATACCAATTTGTTGATGGAGGCTTCGTTAAAAAGTTATTAACAATTAAATTCGAAACTTTCAAATCGTTCTGAAAAAATTATTTTTGGTTGGGGGGGTCAATTACAATCATTTTTGGTCATTAAGCATACCACCGAAATCCTACGCACTTTCGAGAAAAAAATTCCTTACCGAAATTAGGTGCCCAATTTTTCAACGAAAACAAAAAATTTCTAATCGTTCTGGAAAAATTATTTTCAGTTGCGGGGGTCAATTTCAATCGTTTTCGGTGAACAGACATACCCTCGAAATCCTACGCACTTTCGAGAAAAAAATTCGAGTAAGTGGACAAATTTTTCGACAAAATTAAAAAATTCCAAATCCTTCTGGAAAAATTATTTTCGGTTGCGGGGGTCAATTACAATCATTTTCGGTGAACAGACATACCCCCGAAATCCTGCGCATTTTCGAGAAAAAAAATTCAGATCGGGCAGAAGTTTAAACGTTAATAACTTTTTAACAAAGCCTCCATCAACAAATTGGTATTCTTGATTTTCGTCTTATTTTGGCCTCTAGAATCCCCCATTAAAATTTTTTCCCATGGGTGGCCGAACACCCTGTATTTTGGTGATTTAATCAAAATTGGTTTGATAGATTTGAGAACGCACAAACAGACAGACAAAATTTTTTGATCTAATTTTTGTTTTTTTATTTTTGTTCAGACATCAGGTACAGCTATGTCGTGGACCAGCAGCCGATCGGGCGACTGTTGTTCAGGCAGTACTGCCAGGACAAAAAGCCATCCTACCATCGGTACAATCTCTTTCTGGACTCGATCGAGAAGTACGAGATCGAGATGGACGAGAATCGCACCGAGCTGGCGAAGGACCTGTTTGAGCAGTACCTGAAGAGAGAGGGCTCGGAGGTCGTCGACATCCTGAACGACTCCTTGATAGCTCAGTGCGAGGAACGTCTCGGTACCGGTGGGAAGGAACTCTTTGTCGAGATCGCACAGACCGTGAAGAACTTCCTGGCTGGGGAACCTTTTTCAGCTTTCCAAACTAGCTTCTATTTCTATAGGTAATTCCTGAACACCCAAGTGCAGTCAACATCCTCATGTCCTACATCTACCAAACACACCCTAGCATTAGTCTATAAGCTACCGGCCATTTGTAAATTAAAGTACCAGATACAATGTTCTGAAGCGACTGTTGCTATTGTTTCACTGTAAATGTAATAACGCCTGTGTAAAATCAATATTCTATAAGTAAACGTCATCCGTCATGACATATCTTAAGAAAAACTGAACTGTTACTAAGCGCTTTATCAATTCATTATTAACATCCAGCGTCAATGTATCAAGAACCACTGGTCTAGATCGACGACCTTGCGCCCCATTATCTAAACACAAAACATTGTAATCGCCTCGTGCTCAAAGTCCCGTTAAAAGCAAATGACAGTCCAGCGCGACATAAACACGTTCATTAAGGTCTCAGGTTTGCGCTAAGAACCAATAGCAACGAAAGAGTCAATCTGTTCCGAGTTATCTTTACGAGCAAGAAACGATGGGTCGTTAAAGACTCGCTGGACGGCAGTAAACGTCCATCCGCCCCCAGTCAATGGCCCCTAACAATAGCAAACTGTTTATCAACGGGTTTGTTTGTTCCCAGGTACCTTCAGTGGAAGTGGCTGGAAGCGCAACCGGTCACGTGCAAGACCTTCCGCATGTACAGGGTGTTGGGTAAAGGTGGTTTCGGCGAGGTATGCGCCTGCCAGGTACGAGCGACAGGGAAGATGTACGCCTGCAAGAAGCTCGAGAAGAAACGGATAAAGAAACGTAAAGGGGAGATGATGGTGCTGATCGAGAAGAACATACTGCAGAAGATCAATTCGAAGTTCGTGGTGTCGCTGGCGTACGCGTACGAGACCAAGGACGCTCTGTGCCTGGTGCTGACCATCATGAACGGCGGCGACCTCAAGTTCCACATCTACAACATGGGCGGGGAGCCTGGCTTCGACATAAACCGCGCCAGGTTCTACGCGGCCGAGGTGGTCTGCGGTTTGGAGCACCTGCACCTACAGGGGATCGTCTACAGGGACTGTAAGCCGGAGAACATACTGCTGGACGATCACGGCCACGTGAGGATATCGGACCTGGGGCTGGCCGTTGAGATTACTGAGGGAGACATGGTGAGGGGGAGAGTGGGCACGGTAGGCTACATGGCTCCGGAAGTGATCGACAATGAGAAGTACACATTTTCGCCAGATTGGTTCAGCTTCGGTTGTCTTTTGTACGAGATGATAGAGGGCCAGGCCCCGTTCCGTGCCAGGAAGGAGAAAGTGAAGAGGGAGGAGGTCGATAGGAGAGTGAAGGAGGATATGGAGAGGTATTCGACGAAGTTCACCGAGGAAGCGAAAAGCCTCTGCCAGCAGCTGTTGAAGAAGAGCCCGAAGAACAGGCTGGGTTGCAAGTGCGGCAGACACGGCGCCAAGGAAGTCAAGCTACACGGTTTCTTTCAGTGCTTGAACTGGAAGAGGGTGGAGGCCGGTATGTGGGAACCGCCGTTTGTACCGGATGTGAGTAGGTGTCGTTCAAATCGATTCTCTTCTCGTTGTCCTCTTCTCAGAAACGATCAGGCATTCTCCTCTCTTTGTATTTGCAACGTGACTCTTCTTATTAAATGTATGAATCTGATAGATATGGGCAGTGTTCTTTCATTGGAGGAAAATGCCTGTGTCGAGTTCCCCGCTACTAAAAATAGGCTTTTAGATATTAACTTTTATACAGGGTGTTTGGTCACCCCTGGGAGAAATTTTAATGGGAGATTCTGGAGACCAAAATAAGACAAAAATCAAGAATACCAATTTGTTGATTGAGACTTCGTTAAAAAGTTATTAACGTTTAAAGTTGTGCTTGTTGAACGGCAATTGGCGAACAGCTGCGTGCAAGCGATAGTAGACGAGGCATACGAGTAGACCTTACACCCAATGTACTTTTTGGGCCCATTTTTATGCATCTCTAGAGCTCATCAACATTAGAGTTATTAAAATCCTCCAATCCGTTCAGAAGTTATGATTTTTTAAAGAACAGCATGAAATTTCAGGGCAACGTTCCTAACCTCATATTATATTTTTGGAACAGAATTTTTTTCTCGAAAGTGGGTAGGATTTTGCGGGTATGTGTATTCACCAAAAATGATTGTAATTGACCCCCGCAGCCAAAAATAATTTTTCCAGAATAATCTGAAATATTTGAATTTTGTCGAAAAATTTCAGTATCTACTCGAATTTTTTTCTCGAAAGTGGGTAGTATTTTGGGGGTATGTCTATTGACCAAAAATGCTTGTAATTGACCCCTATAACTAAATATAATTTTTCCAGAATGATTTGAAATATTTCAATTTTCTCGAAAAGTTTCAGTACCTGCTCGAATTTTTTTCTCGAAAGTGCGTAGGATTTCAGGGGAATGTGTATTCACCAAAAATGATTGTAATTGACCTCTACAGCCAAAAATAATTTTTCCAGAATGATTTGAAATTTTTGAATTTAATTGTTAATAACTTTTTAACGAGTCTCAATCGAGAAATTGAAATTCTTGATTTTCGTCTTATTTTGGTCTCTTTTTCCGGGGATGGCCGAACACCCTGTGTACATATTGCATACATATTACTTTTGCGTATCTCTCAGCGGGGTTCATTATCGTAGAACAATTTTGCTTTCAGCCGCACGCAGTATACGCCAAGGACGTATTGGACATCGAGCAGTTCTCGACCGTGAAAGGTGTCAATCTGGACGCGACGGACGACACTTTCTACAGTAAATTCAATACAGGCAGCGTGTCCATCCCTTGGCAGTACGAGGTGAGCCTTTTAACTATTCCCGTCTATATCGGTGCTTCATCGAGAGAGCACGTCAATCGTTGGCATCATCGTACGCCAAAACGGCCTCCCGTCCACTCGCGCCGAAAAATATAGCTTGCTCGGAGTGGTCTCGTACGTCATAGGCAGCAAGTGGCACACGCTATCGTTGCTTTCGTTAAAACTGAACTCGTTTTAGCTTTCAAAGCGCGGCACCAATCGGAATCGCGGTACGCGCTTATCGCGAAAAGACGTAAAGCGTCCACGATCAAAGAGCCTACTATTTTTACCACCGACAAATCTATTCTTTGTTCCAGATGATAGAGACTGAGTGTTTTAAGGAACTGAACGTACTAGGTCCTAACAACACACCGACTCCAGATTTACTGATAAATCATCCTCCACCTAACAATGAGAACAGAGGCTGTTTCCCGTTCCGAAGACAGGTGAATTCTCCTTCTGTTTACTCCAGGCTCGCTTCAGATCTTTGGTGCAAAGCACGCTGCTCGAAATAAATCACGAAATCTCTTATTACAAATTACTCAAATTGCTCAACAACGTTTATACTTGGAAGAAGAGGTCACAGATTTTGTTGAAACGTTTTCTGATAATTTTATATTATAATAAGCGGACATTTACAAAGATACGTATCGTTTCGTTCCCAGAAAAAGCAAAGCGCCCGCACAAGACAGATACCGTTATCGGAGTGCCATTTGCTGGAGCTGTCCCAGAGTCAGAACTCCGAGATGCCAGCCAGCTGATCCAAAATGAACGCGAGTAGTCTGAATCAACCGACGTCGTCGTCCATGCGACGTCGACGCTGCGGGCGACGCCGACGAGCGCTAAGATGCTGCCCGAAGTTGCTTTAAACGGAAACGAACCATGTGCCGCCCTCTGCGGCCTCTGGCGGCGATTTCCATGCAAACGTTGGCGCGCGCGGAGGAATGGGCGGGTCCGACGCCAGGGAGTGGGAGGGGCGATGCGATCCGAGCTCCACCCGTCGACGAGCACGTCGAACACACTCTACTCAGGTTTCTCGAAGCGGAGAGCGATCCGCGGATTCGCGAGGATTTACACTTAAGCGGGTTTGTCGGTCACGCATATCGCTCGCTGTCGGCAGGAACGACACGACCGGGAACGATCGGTGTACACTTTTGTTTTTTAATACCGGCACCTTGAAACGTAAGAATCTTGTGAGAATCGGACGACTTTCGGTCGTGTCGTTCTTATTGCGAACGAGCAACTATACGCAATCACACATATAGTTACACATCGAATCAAATATTCGCGTACTCGTGTGCATCGAACGAACGCGTCTAGAAAGAGTACTTTGGTGTATGGGTAGTCATCGCATCGCATGATTTTTTGTCGGTTCCGTTTCGAACCTGGATCTCTAAGTACATTTGCCTAAGAAATAGCGTTTCCTCGAACTATACGCCCCGCCCCCGCAAATACTCCCACGTAAAATGATAACCATTCCAACTTTTAAAAGGGCCTACAGAACAACTTAGTTTAAAACGTATTCACTGTACTTTGAGTAAGGCTGAATCAGAGAACAACGATTTATAGAAATAACAGGCTCAAGGTGTTAGTGTAATAGTCGCGTACGATGGGACATCGAATGTGGAAGACGATCCCTAACAAAGTTCCTAGCTAACTCGCAAACGAGTCGCGTGAGATTTTGTTGCAATTCAGTAATGGTGCGGGGCAAAAGAGACGGTGGGCGGGATCAAGGTGAGTGTGGCCTCGAGCGGCCAAAGTTTTCCTCCGCGAACCTGACGGATGTTTGCTCGTTTGCCACGCGTGTATCGAGCATGTGTACTTAGCACGATCGGTGCACACGATAAGGATAGCGACATTGTTATCGAACGATGGTGTACGCGTAGAAATCGCAATATCATAAAAAGATTGCATTTAAGGGAAGGAACGCCTCCTTTGTTTCTTCGTGAATTCAGAGGATTCGTCGATCGAAGAGTCTCATTTGCTTGAATGTATACTTTGGCTCAAATTGATTAGAGGGACGCCTAATGTTTTTTAAATCCGTTCACGGCCTGAGGAACCGGAGTTTCCTGGTTCACGAGGTCCACTGATTATTCCGAGCAACGGGTAAACACGGTCTAAGATCGATCCATAGCTTTTATGCGATGCATGTGCCCTTAATTGATCGATAAACCCCGGTATATTTTCCCAGTTGGTCTAGAGGTAATCGACGGTGCTCAAAATAATCAATGGGCGATTTTATCGTCGCTGAAGGTATACGATGCTACTTGCTGCATTAACACTTTGATGGCTGCACGTTTCACGAAGATTCCGATACAATGGAAAGCTTCCAAACTATTGTTTGCCACGCGATTCAACGTTTTATAAATATTTTGTTAAACATGTCAACAACGATCCAGCGAAATATACACTATTGTAAAGAATTGTAAAAGCAGCGGCTGTCAAAGTGTGTAATTTGCGAGTAGTGTTCGAACGTTTCGTCTCCGAATAGTACGTATGGTATTTTTCTCGTTTCATTCCTGATATTTAAATTTATTTAAAATTGCGATCCTCTAATTGTTTCGAATCATTATTGGTCGCCGATTGGTTCTAATAGCGTTTGTATATCACCGACGCACGAGACTCTAGCGGGAATAGACACGCAATTTAGCCTAGGATGTCTGCGTTTTGGCGACGCTTTCGCTTTTTCGACGATTATTTGCCGTCTGCGCGACAGACGCCTCGTGTACATAATTCTTCCTATTTAGTACGACTAATTTTAAAACGAGAAACCCGTCCTGAGATACGCACAAAACGAGTAGCGATTCTTTCCGTTTCTTTCTCCTGTCTGCGTCCAAGCGAGACTCAGTCTCGAACAGGCGCCCGCGCACACACGTAAACAATATTTATACAAAGTCGAGGAAAACGCAGACACGTGTAGACGCGAGATATGAAATTATTTTTTCATCTTTTTTTTCGATCTCGGGTGCAACTGTTTATCCTAATTACCTCGGTGCTAAGGTTTGTATTCGATCAACCCTGGGAAAAATTTTAATGGGAGATCCTAGAGGCCAAAATAACACAAAAATCAAGAATATCAATTTTCTAACTGAGGCTTCGTTAAATAGTTATAAACAATTAAATTAAAAAATTTCAAATCGTTCTGGAAAAATTAGTATAGGTTGGGGGGTCAATTACAATCGTTTTTGGTGAATAGACATAACCCCGAAGTCCTACCCATTTTCGAGAAAAAAATTCGAGAATGTGTGAGATTTTACGTCAAAAAAAAATATTTCAAATCGTTTTGGAAAAATTATTTTCGTTTGTGGGGATCAATTACAATCATATTTTATCATTATACATACCCCCGAAATCCTACGCATTTTTGAGAAAAAAATTCGAGAAGGTGAGAAATTTTACGTCAAAAAAAAATATTTCAAATCGTTTTGGAAAAATTATTTTCGTTTGTGGGGGTCAATTACAATCGTTTTTGGTGAATAGACATAACCCCGAAATCCTTCGCATTTTCGAGAAAATAATTCAGTACGGTTGGAACTTTAAAATTTAATAATTTTTTAACGAAGCCTCCATCAATAAATTGGTATTCTTGATTTTCGTCGTATTTTGGCCACTAGAATACCCCATTAAAATTTTTCCCATGGGTGGTCGAACGGCCATAGGCGTTTCCCGCACATGCGCACCTTGGCACCGAAAAGTTTAACTCTTTGCTTTTGGACGATCATCCGGGGTGCACGTCCAAAATGCAATGCCTAAATTGGACTATAACGAATCATCGTCCGAATTAACGAGGCTCGTTTTATCAGTCTTCGATTCTCGCACATTTTTGTACGGTTTATTTTTTTTTAAATTTTTTTATTAGAAAAGAAGAATTGTATTATACATACGTCATTGCCAAGGCAAATTTTATCATACAATACGAATGGATTGTCAAGGGGAACCGTGAACTGAAGCAAACAAAGATCAATCCGAATCGTTTCCGAATATATTTCAGTTGGAGTGTGAAGAATCTCGATTTAATCAAACACGATGATTTTTAATCAACGACAGACAAGAGCGTAGCGTCTTATTATCGTTCGAGAAGGTCCGCCCGGCAATCCATTCGTTGGTAATATTTATGTACTATTGCGTATTTAAAGCGAACGGCGATATATGGCTGAGTAAGCGGTAACGATCTAGTAATTTAAACGTATTATTAATTAATCCACGAATAACGGTGCGACCTATCAATCGAACGCGATATATCATATCTGTCATTCGTCTTAATTCGATCGGTGAACGTTTCACAACAATCCGTCGTTGATTCGTAAAAACGTCGATCGATTTTACGGTTGGGAAAAAAAAAAGCGCGAAAAATCGTAAACGTTTGTCGATCGAATCGCGAATTTTCAATCGCTCACGATGAACCGCGTCACTCGTACAAATTGCGGTAGAATTATCATTGTACCACCACCGTGGACGATCTCGAGAACCATTCCATTTCCAGAATTTCCAATTTCCTACAAAATTCGTAACAGAAACGATCCAAATTAAAATCAGACTTGTAATTACACTGTAATCGCACGGTAATTACCGTTTAATCGTGTTCTAATCATAATCATATAAATCTTCGAAGCACGTAATAACTGTGTTTGATTATTGTGTAATTACCGTGTGATCACTGAACGATTCAATCTAACAATTAAAATTCTAATTTTTATTCGACTGATAAAAAATTGCTTTTTACTTGTTGCATTTGTTTATCCCCGTAGCTTGTTTCTTAAAAGCCAAAGTTTAAAAATAAAAGGGTTCTCGAGTCGTCGAGATGGTTCCAAACTTAGCGATATAATTTTGCATTACTCCGTATATCGTAAGCTAGCGTAATTAATTATTAACGGGGGAGAATAAGAATATCGTGTAATGGAGGCTGCGATGGTTTCATCTTTCTTCGTGTCAAAAAAAACACTTCCGACTTTCGTTAACAATCTCTCGCAATGATGCCCCGCCGCCATTTTGGTTCGCCGGCGCGGTCGGCGATCGTAGATGTCGCGGGGTCTCCTTGTCAACGCTTTCAACTGTGATTTTTTTTTTCCGATGTTCTCCGAACCGTTTATTAATTTATTAACAATCCAGCGAGCTGCCGGGCGGTGAGATCGCCACGGCGGATCGTGTCCGACGAGGAAAGAGTTTTTGCTCAAAAGAGTCGAGAACAAACTCGTTTCTACGATCGTCTCGTACACATAACAGGGCTGGGACTGCTTGCCGAATTCTTTCTGTATTCGATGTCTAACTTCGACGTTTCGACATTGCTTAACACAACTTTGGACGAAATTGGTTACGAAAGAAACAAAGAAGAACGTTTAAAAAGAATAAATGCAGATGTCGCTACATTGACCCTGTTCCAGCGATTTGGTTCTATCAAGTCTCGAAATTTTCACGTCTCCAACGTTTATTTCGTTGGAAACACTGATTTTTACGGTTTCCGTCGCCCCGAAATACACGCGTTTTAACCTTTCGATCGAAAACTGTCGTTTCTTGTACCATAACCTCAAAAACCTCTGACAATCGATTTACTATTTCGTAAGGAAAATCTAAATTGTCAACCCTTGTGAAAACATCGCTGAAACAAAATGGTTCTCACTTTCTGTGATGCGGAGTTCCTTAAATTTACGAATGAAAGAATTCCACCCGTAGTTCTTAGCGTGGTTCCGTGAACTAATTCTGCTGCACTAGCTTTTATTTAGTTTTAAACTAGCCTCACCGTTACGACGCGAGTAACGGTAAAAGAAATCATTCCAGTTTTTGTTTTTCTCTCGTGCAAGTGTCCGTGTGCAACTGTTTTTACCTTTTGAGTGCAATGTCGAAACCGCGAGAGCAGAGGTTAGGCATCTTTCGAGGCACCTGTGACAAATTCCACCGAAACAACCGGTGGACGTAACTATGCTGCAATTCCTTCGTTAATTCGTGTCCGAGAATGTCTCGGACCTGGCATTATTAATCTTTCGTTACGATTAAGCTGACTGACAAGGTATTTCGTTGTCGAGGAAACACATATCCTGTTCTCTGTAGCGTCCGTGCACAGTCAGTCGCGAAAGTCTTCGAACGCTTCGTGAAAAAGGCATTTGAACAAAAACTGAACAAGAACTTTGTAGAATATTATCATTGTTTTTTAACGCTTGAGATGATATTAACTATTCTTGCTAGATCTACTGGACTTGTTAACCTCATACTCGTATACATTTTGCCCTAGAACAATTAATATTATTCCATATCATAATAGGTGAAGTGATTTTTTTTCCGTGGAGTGCACGGAGACTCTCGTGACTGATCGTGTGTAGCATTCTATTCTTATTTAATCCCACAGTTAATATCGCTAAAGTTTGACCCTTGCATAAGTACCTCGATGGTTGTCAAGCACAAGCAAGAAAGCTCTGCGAGCGTGCGAAACTTCTCCTTTGTACATACGTACGTACGATAGTAACGATATTAACGGTAACTAGTAACGCGAACAAGAAGCGATTTAAAGTTAGTTTGTAGATGCGTGTTTGTATAGGTGCAAAAGATTGAAACGGCGGTAGGAGCCTCTCGTCATCGGGGATGATTAATCGCGTGACGACGAGGATTACCAGCGTGAGATTATCAATGTATTTATATCGTATATCTTCCACGTTCCTTTTTAACCCGCTGCCACGCGCTAATTCGTGCGAAAGGACTATCGTAAAAGTCAGGTTAAATGTATAGGCGCGTTTCGCGTGGGGCGAGCACAGCTGGGGGGTAAAATGGTAGTGCACGGCAGAGATGCCAGACGGAGCTCCGGATGCACCCGGGGACACCTCATTCCACTTTCTCACACTATGCCAGATCACGTGTTACGCGAGCTCGGACGGAGTTTTCGGAGGGTCGACAAGGGCGAACGGACGCGTGCCCTCTTTCTCGATTCCCCGAAGCTGCCCGAAGTAAATTCGGGCAGTCTCGTGGGAGTCGAGAGAGAAACGCTCATGTTTGCCTTCTCGCTCTCGGACAACTGAAATCCGAGCTCGCGTCAACGGCATACGATTTGGAATCTCGACTGCCCAGGCATTTTTACGTTCCGACCTATGTAAACTCCTATAAGCAAGGTATCATAATGAAAAGAAAATGTTGTGAAATTTTTTTTACGGAAATACACGTTTTAAGACCCCCTGATCATACTTTAATTATTGAAAAAAAAGAAATTCTTTTCTATTCCTGTGTATGAGGGTATGTATGTATATTATTAATACGATCTTTCGAATTCAAGATACTTTAAGATTGAAAATTAATAAATTAAAATGAGAGTCCACTCTTTGCCAGTATCGTGCATAGCATGTTTCAATAAGAAGTGTTCTTACTTTTATAATATGAACAAAACAGAAGGATTGATTGTTGGAAAAATTAATTAATAATGATTTTCTTCGATATGTTTTGACATAACCGTATCAATTTGTTATGACGAACTAAATATTATATGTCATTTCCAATACAAAGGTATGGGTCGGATTTAAAATTTTAGGAGGACATAGCCGAATATTTTTACAGGTACAAAATATAGCGTCTAGTAGCGATCACTGCTGGCCACTTCTGGACACTGCTGACAACTGCTGACAATTAATGAACCCTGCTAATTACTCCTAGTTTCTATTGCCCTCTGCCGGACTCTGATGACCAGGGCTGACAAAAGTAGAGAACTCCTGACAACTTCCGATCCCATATAGCAACTTTTACTGACTACTGCTGGCCCCTGCTGGCCTCTGCTGGCCTCTGCTAGCCTATGTTGGCCTCTGCTGACCACTGCTGCCCAATCCTGATGCTTCTGACAACGTATAACGATTACAACTTGCTACTACTTGCTGCTGCTGGTCTGTGCTTGACTCTACTGGTCTCTGCTGGCCTCTACATGCCCCTACTGGTCTCTGCTTTCCTCTGCTGACCTCCACTGGCTTCCGCTGACCACTCCTGATACTACTGACAGCGTATAATGATTACTACTGGCTTCTTCTTACTTCTATCATCCTCTGCTGGCCCCTGCTGACCCCTGCTGACCACTGCTGACCCTTGTTAACAACTTCTGCCATGTATATGTATTAAAACATTGTATAATGTAAATCTATGGCAATAAATGATATAATTACAAAGAATTCTATGTGTTCTCATCATTTCTTACCTTTCTTTTCCTCTCCAAATCATTACCTTAGTTATAAGACTCCGTGAAACGCCTTGGTTTCCCTGAACCCACTAGGGAGTCATGAAACTCAGAACTTTGTTTAAAATTCGGCAGTTTCCAAGAATTTTCGGCGTTTCCAAGAAATTCCAGGACTTCCCAGCTGTTTCAGGGCTTTCCAGCCGTTTCAGGCTTTTCCAGCTGTTTCAGGACTTTCCAATTGTTTCAGGACTTTCCAGCTGGTTCGGGGCTTCCAAAATTCCAAGCTGTTTCAGGGCTTTCCAGCTGTTTCAGGGCTTTCCAAGCTGTTTCAGGACTTTCCAATTGTTTCAGGACTTTCCAGCTGGTTCGGGACTCCCAAAATTCCAAGCTGTTTCAGGGCTTTCCAGCTGTTTCAGGGCTTTCCAAGCTGTTTCAGGACTTTCCAATTGTTCCAGGACTTTCCAGCTGGTTCGGAACTTTCAACATTCCAAGCTGTTTCAGGACTTTCCAGCTGTTTCAGGCTTTTCCAGCTGTTTCAGGACTTCCCAATTGTTTCAGGACTTTTTGACGAAAAGAATTTAAACGGGACCCTTCTCAAATCTTTTCGAGGAACTTAGAAATTTTTCGGGCAAAAATGTTTAGACTTCGTTATTAGGAGGACATGATATGGGAAGAGGTGGCACGTATCTTATAACTATGGGAATCCTTTGGAGAGGTGAAGGAAGGTAAAAATGACGAGAACACATAGAGTTCTTTGAAATTATATCATTTATTGCCATAAATTAGATGATACAAAGTTTTAATACATATATAGCATGTCAGAAGTTGTCAACAAAGGTCAGCAGGGGTCAGCGGGGTTCAGCAAGGGTCAGCAAGGGTCAGCAAGGGTCAGCAGGGGTCAGCAGGGGTCAGCAGGGGTCAGTAGGGGGCAGCAGGGGTCAGAAGAGGCCATCAGGAGCCAGTAGGGGCAAGCAGTAACAAGTAGTAATCGTCATACGTTGTTCGAAGCATCGGGGGGTGGTCAGCAGTGGTCAGCAGAGGCCAGCAGAGGCCAGCAGGGGCCATCAGGAGCCAGTAGGAGCCAGCAGGGGCAAGCAGTAACAAGTAGTAATCGTCATACGTTGTTGGAAGCATCGGGGGTGGTCAGCAGTGGTCAGCAGAGGCCAGCAGAGGCCAGCAGAGGCCAGCAGGGGCCATCGGGAGCCAGTAGGAGCCAGCAGGGGCAAGCAGTAACAAGTAGTAATCGTCATACGTTGTTGGAAGCATCGGGGGTGGTCAGCAGTGGTCAGCAGAGACCAGCGGAGGTCAGCAGGGGCCATCAGGGGCAAGCAGTAACAAGTAGTAATCGTCATACGTTGTTGGAAGCATCGGGGGTGTCAGCAGCGGTCAGTAGAGGCCAGCGGAGGTTGGCAGAAGTCAGTAGTAATCGTTATACGTTGTCAGAAATATCAGGAGTGGTCAGTAGAGGCCAGCAAAAGGCAGTAGAGGCTGGCAGTAGCCAGTAGTAATCGTTATACGTTGTCAGAAATATCAGGAGTTGTCAGCAGCGGTCAGCAGAGGCCAGAGGAGGCTGGGAGAAGTCAGTAGTAATCGTTATACGTTGTCAGAAATATCAGGAGTGGTCAGCAGAGGCCAGCAGAAGCCAGCAGAGACTTGCAGTAGCCAGTAGTAATCGTTATATGTTGTCAGAAATATCAGGAGTGGTCAGCAGCGGTCGGCAGAGACCATAGGAGGCTGGGAGAAGTCAGTAGTAATCGTTACACGTTGTCAGAAATATAAACGGTGGTCAGCAGGGGGCAGCAGCAGCCAGTCGTAATCGTTATACGTTGTCAGAAGTATCAAGAGTGGTCAGCAATGGTCAGCAGAGGCCTGTAGGAAAATTCAAAAGTACATACACATGCTACTTTATGATGGACTATACCGCTATCGACGGCCAGAATGCCCAAAGCTTGTCGAGAAGTAGTTTGTTCCATACAGCGGTAAATGATGTACCACTGTAGACCTCTAATAATTATTATAGAATCAAAGTATTGATACATGGGTATAAGTTATAGAGAGTTAACTACGAATGGTTATTAGCTTTCTTTTGTCATTTTATATCTAGTTTACAAAAATATTACAGCAGCTGCCAATCAAATGTTTATTGTGGTTTAGTTTAAGGGTAAGGAAAATGGCGCACGAAACAACTGCGACTCTTGTTTCGTACTCGAATCAAAGCAAAAGTATTAATCGAAATCGTACTCGAAAATTCATTTCGAGGAAAATGCAGATTTCTTTGTTCCTGATGCGCCGACGAAATCAAATGAAACTTCTTCTCTTCTGTAATCTCTGTATGTTGTACAACTGCTGTGGACAAAGTTATTTATAACTTATATGTATTTATACATACAATTATAGACGCATATATAACCAAGTGTTCATCATTTATTGCTATGTCCCATCATCGTTTAAACATCTTCAATGTGTACTTTACCGTTCCGTGTCACCGATTAAGATATTAATATCCAGAGACAAAAAGGATAACGATTAATTCGAAGGAGCTGTATCTTTAACAACACTCCAAACGTTTTCTCGCCCTTGGCAATAAGCTGATTTACTTTGACAAAAGTATCTTACAAGATGAAAGGGGGTTTGCGGAAAAACACACAACATTTATGCAATATAATATATTGTCACAGTTCGCTTGTCCCTTAGACCTCTAGTTTCCGTTCCACTGCTTTATTTCGATCCTAAGCTACTGCTGTTCGTGTCGCGTAATCTTGTCGTAGGCACTGCATGTGTATTCCGAAAAAAAAAAAGAACGCGCTGTGTTCCTTACTCGTGCACGTAACAAAGTGGTTGCAACATTTTTTCGACGGCGCTCAAACATCTCTAACCTTACTTTACAATCTTTCCCGCTATTTCCCCTTCAACGAGCCATTTCAAGTATACACTGGTATTTCGCAGACCCAGGAACATAATTACAGAAGAATTTTTAAACACGAATAATAATACTAAAACACTCTCAGATTCTGGTAACATTTTCTCTCGTCCTTTTTCTCAGTTTTCTCGCTTACTTCCGATTAATTAATTAATTAATTAGTAGATGTTTATTGTCACGCGTACCAGAATGCCTATCGACGCTGTTTGTTTCATTGTAATGCAAAAATATACGACCTTCCACGCGCTCTAAAACTACCTCTCCGCTGCCAGGCGGTTTTACGAATGAATCGGTGCTGTTCTGCGCAAGCTGCACTGCGCAGCTTGGGACCCCTTCCCCCACTCCACGATACCTAACAACGCGAACGAAAATCTAACGTTGAATAATGAACGCTTATAAGTGTAAATTGTTACTGTTGTTTATCAGGGTTTAACGTCAATTTAAACCCACCACTTTGAAAAAATTTTTTCTTTTAGGATGGGCCTCCCAAAGAAGCTTAGAAATCATTGCAACGGAGGAAGGGAAACAGCACTGTTCTAAACCGCGATCTAGACAAAATACTAGAGCTACCAAGGATCAACCAATCCACGCCTCGATAGACACTCTGATGAATGTTCCGTGGGAGTTTGTGATCGTCGAATCGTGTCTCTTAAAAAATATAGCTAAACGACAGAAACTATATTAAATGTAAACGACAGCATCGGCGATACGTTCTTTCGCAATTGTACAACAAAAGAAAATATATACATATATAACCCCTGGTCGAGAAAAGCAATTTTGATCGTCCAGATTTTATTTTTTGAACCGACGATGGTCGATTATATTTATCTAGCGTTTTTATTGGAACGAATCGTCGAGACTGACTTTTTGGGATGAGAGGAATGATTGATGTTATTCAGGATTACTATACGGAGACGCGATAGGACGTTTCTTGGGCTATAATCGAGGCGGAAGAAATTGTCCTGTATAGGTCAGTTCCTTCGACGTAAAACCCCTAAATAACCTCTAAATTTTTTTACAAATTTGTCAGCGGGTCGATAAGGGCAGTGATCTTGGCAGAAAAATTAATTCCGTCTTGACTACAGGCGAGATTCGATTTCAAGAACACCTCGTAGAAAATGCTTGGTCCTGGAACAGCTCGACTATCAATACGCTGAAATTTGTTCTCTTTTTTTTTCTTAGTCTTCGATTTTCATTTTCAAAAGTAGAGAGGATTTACAAATCAATCGCATCCGCTTTCTCGCACGGAAACGCACGCCAATAAAATTATAGACAATTGTTATCGTAGAATTGGTCGAGCGAGAGATTCTTGTCGCATCGGGACGAGGAAATTTTTATCGACTTTTAAGCGACGCGACGCCATTTCTTATTTTTTCGTTTACACCAAGACACGAAATCGGAGTTTCCTGAATTCGACGATACGCGGAAATCAACGTGCGCTTACGGTAAATAAAAAGATCACAGTGCGTGCAAGGACTGTCGACGACGGGGCGAGATAAAACATTAAGTCTTAATTCGTACGAGGCGCAGTAACTCGACTGCCACGATGCCAGGCGTTTTACGCGATCGAACTAAATAATTTATGTATAAATTGGACAGGACAATCTTACGAGCTGTACACGATACGAGTCATCTACAGAGATTATTAGTTCCTCTTTCTAAAGTGCAATCAAAAGTAATGGACGTTACGCACGGATTATATCTTTCACTGTCCAGTCTTTAGGCGGCGTGTCGAGTGCAGCTCGTTGCCACGACTCGCGCACGGGTCACGGACAGCGAACATAACCTCTATTGGCACGACGATCAATCATTCCATCGACAGAGAGTTAAAAACGTCGAATAAAATCCTATTACGACAAACTATACAGGCTAAGAAACATCTCGCCGGAATATATGTATAATATTCACCGTGTATACAAGTTTTGTACAACGAACGGAACGATCGACAAAGATATGAATAGAAAGAGGATTGATCGTCTAAGATCGTACAACGTGGCTGCAGATCGACGGTTAAAAAAGTATAAAAAATCTAAAATCCGAACGATTAACGCTCGTAAGGTTGCCTGCAATCGTCGGTGCACCGAAAGTTCTCGCGATCGCAAGTAACACACGCGTTAAACCTAAACGTCTAAATAGCCAGAGTCACTCGAGTGGCTGTCCATTCGAACTTCGTTTACGCAGATGGACAAAAGGGTTTAGCCAGTGGGTCACCGATGAAAAATCGTCGTTAAAAGTTGCTTGCGGAGCACACAGTCCGATGATCCAATGGGAACACGTGACACGTAGCGATGTATGCAGGGTGTCCAGCATATAACGCCATCTATGATCGGTTCGCTGTCGCCAATTGCTTGCAACGATAATCGTCACCTTCGAAATTTCACGATAAATTCAATAATAACGCGCGACGTTTAATTTTAATTTGGCGAACAGGAAACTGATATGTTTCGTACGTAATTATCGTTTTTAAAAAGATTGTAGATGCTGACGAACGCCCTGTAGACACGTACATACCATGTGTCGAGTTCGGGTTGGGACTACTTTTCGAATTTTCCTTTGTTCGAATAGTCGACGAATACTTTTCGAACGGTCGAGTACTTCGAATATTTATGAAATTCGTAGCTTCTGAATTCTGTACATATTTCAGATATTAAATAATATGTTGGATTAGGTTCTGAATAGTCTGGTTAGACTCTATACGTTTAGAGTTAGGTACGTGTGCTAGGTTAGGGTTCTAAATTTTACGTGTTAGTTCGGGTTAGGTTATGTTGTAAATACTGTGTACTTCGTTATGCTCTAATCGGTCTAATCTAATCAGTGCGCGTGTTACGTTCTAAGTTACGTGTTATTTTGTATAATAACACTCGAATACTCGACTGTTCGATGTTTGTGGTATTCGAACGACTAAACGATACCCGAATGTTGAATTGTTCGAGTAGCCCCAACCTCCGTGCCAGTACCAGCGAGCGGTAAAATGCGAATACAATATTATTATCATTATTATTATGCGACGTTGACAATCGAATGCCAGCGCGTAACAATTGTCGTTCGAACCCTTCGTTTCCCGGTCCCGTGGGTCAACGATGGAGATTTGGGACCGAAACTGGGACTCGTGGGCGTTTGGTGCTGTTTAACCCCGTGAGATGGCGTGTGGTTAAATAAAAATACAGGAAGGAAGATAATAAATTATCGGCGACGATTTCATGGACTCGGGGCTAACGAAACCTAGTCGAACGCGAAGGCCTGAAACGAAGGGTCGAATCACGAAACATGGAAATGGTACAGCGTGGAATGAAACGAAGCATTAACGTCGGAAATGTACGGCCATATTGTGGTGGGGGGAGAAATGGTCGTACTCGCGCGTCCAGCGGAGGAGAATACTGTTTGTCTTTTCGTGGAACATTCAGTGGCGTCTTTTTCTCTTTTTTTTTTTGTTTTTTTTTTTTTTGGTTTATTTTAAGATATGGAGTTTACGTCTTCCTTCTTTTTGGTACCCCCGTAGTCACTGCATATCGACTTTATTATTGTACCTCCGCTGGAACTGTTTTGGTAATACATCCCCGCGGATATCTTGGCGCCATTCTAGCACAGACGACGTCCAGACAAGATAACGAGATTGGTTCGTTGAGCAACTTTCAAAGCTTTGTCCGACCGGGCGTTCTGATTAAATATGGCTGCCTCTGGTCAGAACGCCCCGTGCATCGCTCGGAGAACGATTATTCGAGTTGCTCGGATATCTCAACACTCTTTGGAAATTAAGTCCCGTTATTGGACTCTATCTTGCAACTCATTCTAATGTATACATGAATGAAAGGGGTTTGTCTCGAGACCTCTATTCAACATCAAATGGATCAAATTTGAAACAACGTAGGTCCAATCTCGTCTCGAAATTCTAACCTCATTTTATTGCAATTACGATCTAAACTCCAAATCGATACTGCCTATCGTAATTGCAAACGAAACGAGTCCGTGTTATAACCTCAACGTAATACTCTAATTCGTTTTACACTTCAGAGTGCAGTACAGGCTCGAGGTGAACGCCATATTGCGACTCAGTCTTCGGAATCGTATTCGACACTCAAATTACGATTTAAATTACAGAGTGCAAACGTTAGGTCCAGCCTAAAATTAAATTTGGCAGGGGGGTGTAAGGAATCTCTTCCTTAATAAATAAATATTTTACAATGAGTTTTGGCGGATGAACGTTCTCCGAGTAACCTGAAAATTCTACCCCGTTTCTCGTTGTCTCGAAGCTGGATGTCACCTCTGTGGTGGCTGACGACACGTTTTGTCTGTGGTTAAACCTGAGCGGGTTTCGGCTTGCCGACGACCAGCATTATCTTCTGCAGGAACTTCGTCACGCCTACTGCAAACGAACAATTTCACGAGTTCAATACTTTGCTCTGCACGTAACGAGTCATCTTAAGGACAAATATAGTTAGTAGAGTTCCCGTATTCGACGTGCAGTCGTCACACTGTGAAATGACTATGTGTTTTTTATTCGTCGAAGAGACAACGACAGAATAAAATTCGCCAGGTGACAACGTCACGAACGAATAGTTAGCCAGCGAAAGTAGTGGATGAGGACTTTATCGCATAATTAATTCCAAAGTTATCCACACGTTAGTGACAATTTTTACTGGTGCACCGTGTCAGAGCTCTGTACAAGTTAGTGTGCGTGGTGCTTGTTCTGTGAGTGCAGCATGCAAAACCAAACATTAACGATGTTTCGGCAAATTCAGACGAACAACGGTATCCTTTCTTGATCGAGATAAAAATAATCTTAAAGGCACCACGTGTGATCCACGGAAAGTAAAAATCGTTTAAAATTAAAAACTTGTCTCGAAGAGGATTACGGCCACCCCTGATACAATTTTAATGGGAGATTCTAGAGGCCAAAATAAGACGAAAATGAAGAATAGTAATTTATTGATCGAGGCTCTGTTAAAAAGTTATTAATGTTTAAAGTCACGCCTGTGTGAACAGCTGCGCGCGCATCATCGCCGTTCTACAGAGGGAACTTTAAACGTTAATAACTTATTAACGAAGCCTCCATCAACAAATTGGTATTCTTGATTTTCGTCTTATTTTGGCCTCTGGAATCCCCCATTAAAATTTTTCCCAGGGTTGGCCGCACTGTTTTTTTCTTGAAAATATAAATAAGACACACAAGTACTCTCGATGATAATACATCATGCAAGTTGACAGAATGGATAATTTTGAAGTTACGAGTGATTACAAGACTATTGTAAAACGGCTCGACGAGAGCATGCATGGTGATCGAAAAGCAACAAGCTATTTAATGACGATCTTCGATAGAAATCAACGTGTTAAGCATGCGTGACATGACAAGAGTAAAATTATGTTAGAGTGTATTCTGAACCTTAGTCTTTGATCCGACGACTACCATCAGCTTCTGCAATGTTTTGGTAACGGCGCCTGCAGGAACACATCGGTTAAACAGAAACAAAACAAAACGATCCAATTTGTTTTATGGACAAACATTTACCGATAACGATAATAATAATTTTCTTGCGGTTTTGTTGGAACGTAGACGAATAAATCAAATAACATAAATAGAACGTGTATGAATAAATGGAGACGGATTTACATGTGCAAAACACGCGTGCATAATGTAGCGTGTCAAGCATTATGACTATGAAAATATTTAAAAGTAGCTTACTATTGTTACGAATAAATGTTTGAACGCATAATAGAACAAATCAGACATAGTTTTCGCCTCTCTTTTTACTAACAGAAGAAACTGAACGTCTAGTTACATCAAATTTCAACCAAGTTTCACCAAAATTAAAATGGAATCGAATCGAAACTGTAATTGTTTGCAAAAATGTTCGTTCTTCGTTGTATAAACTCTCGACTTACCAACTCCTCTCTGGAAGCATTTAGGCTTGTTTTTCCACGCGACAAATACAAAGTAGACGGGCACGGATGTCAAGATCATTAGGCAGCCGTATCCTGGGGGAGACAATGGATTTAAACTTAGCACAATTTTATACAAATTTGTAATTTATATTTTATTTTATTTTATACAAATATTACCTGTTTCTACTGGGCTGGCGTACATAGGTACAACGGTCACGAAGATCGTGGCAAGGATATACACTATTGGGAAGAAAAGGTTCACTCTGATCGGCCTGGGCAGGTTAGGTTGAGCCCATCTGAGCCATGGCAAGCACAGCACGGATACTCCTATGCTCAACTGTGAACAAACAAGATCACTGTTAGAACAAGTACTCAGAGTGTAACAATGATGGGCACTAGTCTAGATTTGTTTATGACTTTTGCTACAACATTAATAGAAGCAAACAATTCTTCAACGATTAAACAAACATGGAATGTGCAGACAGAGCAAATCGAAACGTTTGTCGGTAGTTTGTGCAACAAGATGGCCGCGTTTCTGATCGCCTTCGAAGCCAGACAATACCGTCAATTACTCCAAGCAGTATGCACCAATTAGAAAATTATCACTCGTCCGGTCCGGGTTAATAATTCACGATGGACAAATACTCATTCCATACGACATGACGTGCGTGCACCAACGTTCATTGGATTTCTTGGAACACAGTCGAGGGACGATATTTTATTTCAATTGTTTCTTGAATTGTTTGCTTAAACTTGGGCACGATATCAACGGTTAGTTCAGCGACAGACCGTGTTCCTAGCGTTAATGAGAAATCTGTAGCTAGTGTAATTATAGGAATGTGTACCCACCCAAGCTGCAAAGCCGACGTAGTTGATCAGGGCGTATATGTCCGAGGAACAAAGGTACACCATGGACAGGAGGGCCTGGAACAAAACGACGAGACAGAATTCAATTATCGTCCGCAATTGTCGCTTCCTTCGAAACTCCTCTCGTTGGCTTTCAAGCGGAAAATTGCGAGGCGTCGACTAACAAACGGGATTTCTGAGTTAACAAGTATACAAGGAACAAGTACTCATTTAAAATACACTTGAAAAAGTGTTTTTGGTCAAATTAAATTGATAGCTAAAACAAACGGTGTCCCAGAAAATTAAGGATTTAATTTATTTGCACTGTAAATGGCTTGTCTATCACGCGAATAAATGTGCACAAATTTTTGCAAGCAAATTGGAGAGGAACTCTAGTGCTCTCATGCTTGGAATTATGTTTTGCTACAGCTATCATTTTACAATATTTTCTGGGACAGTGTAGCGCAATATTAGATGTAGTTATTAGACGATTGTTCTAGTTATTGGCACAATTTTTTGCAGGCTAATTGCAGAGGAACTCTAGTGCTCTCATGCTTGGAATTATGTTTTGCTACAGTTTACATTTTACAATATTTTCTGGAACAGTGTAGCGCAATATTAGATGTAGTTATTAGACGATTGTTCTAGTTATTGGCACAATTTTTTGCAGGCTAATTGCAGAGGAACTCTAGTGCTTTCATGCTTGGAATTATGGTTTGCTACAGCTATCATTTTACAATATTTTCTGGGACAGTGTAGTGTAATATTGGATGTAGTTATTAGACGATTGTTGTAGTTATTGGCTCTAAGTTTGCACAGCAATGGTACGGTGTAAGATACGTGTAAAATCACAGGCGTTTTTGGCTGTTATCGGTACATTTTCAGCGACGTTGGATTATCCTAAATATGAACACACACCATGCAGATAACGGCCGGCGTTGGGGTGACCCTCGAGGTTTGAATCATGGTCAATATTTCCGGCATCTGACCTTCGCAGGCGCCGGCGTAGAAGAGTCGCGAGGACGTCAAAAGTATTCCATTTACAGCTCCGAATGTCGACAGGGCCACGAAGACAGGTATCGTCCACGCGAACATGCCGAACAGACGATTGGCGTAGGTCTACAAAATAAAGGAAACCAACATACCGATGATAGTGTTTCACACTAAATCGTTGAAACCTATTTTTAATAATTTTGTTAAAATTACCACTGCCACAGCCTCGCTTCCTAGGACCTCGACAGGACTCAGCGTCGTGTAGAAGGCTACGTTCGCGCAAACGTAAACTAGCGTCACGAGAACGCACGAAATTCCTATAGCTTTTGGTAAGTTTCTGGAAAAAAAAAAAAATAAAATAATTTTTGAAGGTACCCAAAATCTTCAAAATAAAAATTACAAACTGGTTGGTGAAGACTGCATACAATTGCCGTTCTTTGTTTATCACAATGACGAAAAACGTTTGATCTTGAAAAAGCATAGAAAGCATAGAACGCGAAGCAAAAGCCCACTCGCTTGACCTTGCGTCGAAGTCAATAGAGCCGGGCTCTGCGACCCTCTCCTTTAATTAATAGATACACAAGACCGGCTGTTGCAATCGCTGTTAATTCTTGCGCGAGATTTCAGCGGAGACCGGATTAATTGTGTTGAATCGTCTGGGGCCATTTTTTTTAACCGGAGAAACTCCAACCAATAACAATGCGAACGAACAATCGTTGCTCGTGATAAACCATAGATGGGAACAGTTTTTATTCAAGCAAAATATAGTAATAATAATAGCGAGAAAAGAACGGTAATTCTGGGACTCGGTGATTTTTCTCAACCGTTTCAAGTGCATGGAAAAGTGACCAATCGGTTGCGTACTTGACGGGATCCTTCAGTTCCTCGATGATGAAATTCAAGTAGTTCCAGCCATTGTAAGCGAACAGACCCGAATAAAAGCTAAGCGCTATCGACGTCACTTCCGTGTTGGTGTTCTCGAACGTGAAATACTGCGTGTGTCCTGCGAAACATGAAAAGTAATTGATCGAACGCACGAACGATTCGAAGACTCGCGGAAGAGATGTTCAATTGTTGTTTGTTTTTTTTTTTTTAACAAAAAAGTCCCTAAGATAAAACACCGAGAACATTTTATTCAAAATTTTAATCTAGACTTTAAAATCCTACGCTTTATGTGCATTAACCTCATATATGACCAGTGCTGCCACTTACCATAACCTAAATGTGAGCGACAGCAAAGGTTGTGCGAGGAAAATCGGTGGTAGGTATACTTTCTTTCCAAAGGTCCCCTATAAAAACGAGATTCCCGTAAAAGGGTTCCGTTCAGCGTGAAACGAAGATCGAATTTACAGCGAAAGATAAACACACATCGGAGGTGCAATTTATCGAAATCAAAGGAGTTCTTACGTAGACGTTCGCTGAAAAGGGACCATTTGGAGGACTGAATAGCTCAATTTAAGCGATTCCTCGGCACGTAACACCTTTTTGATTGGCCAAATTGTCTCGTCCGGCAAGCGAAGAGACGCCTTACGCTGACTCGAGGGTAGCGTGGGTGGTGAAACATTAACGCGGGCTTCCTTGTTCTTGAGTTATTGCCTTTAACGCGACGCAAATACCGGGGCACTAGGTGCGGGAACCCAGGCTCGACTTTCTTTAAGAAATTCTAATGAAACTCTGATATTCTAACTTGGAGAAACATTGAAATCCTCCAATCCGTTCAGAGGTTATGATGTTTTAAAGATACGCATCAAATTTCGGCGAGACATTTCCGGCCACGGTAATGAATTTTTTCTCAAAAACGCGTAGGATTTCGGAGGTACGTCTAATCACAAAAAATGATTGTAATTGTCCCCTGCAACCGAAAATAATTTTTCCAGAATGATTTGAAACTTTTCAATTTCGTCGAAAAATTTGTCCAACTACTGGAATTTTTTTCTCGAAAACGCGTAGAAATTCAGGGGTATGTCTAATCACCAAAAATGATTGGAATCAACCCCCGCTACCGAAAATAATTTTTCCAGAATGATTTGAAACTTTTCAATTTCGTCGAAAAATTTGTCGAACTACTGGAATTTTTTTCTCGAAAACGCGTAGAAATTCAGGGGTATGTCTATTCACCAAAAATGATTGGAATCAACCCCCGCTACCGAAAATAATTTTTCCAGAACGATTTGGAATTTTTTAATTTTCTCAAAAAATTTGTCCCCCTATTCGAATTTTTTCCTCGAAAATGCGTAAGATTTCGGGGGTACGTCTAATCACCAAAAATGATTGTAAGTGACCCCCGCTACCGAAAATAATTTTTCTAGAATGATTTGAAACTTTTCAATTTCGTCGAAAAATTTGTCCACCTACTGGAATTTTTTTCTCGAAAACGCGTAGAAATTCAGGGGTATGTCTATTCACCAAAAATGATTGGAATCAACCCCCGCTACCGAAAATAATTTTTCCATAACGATTTGGAATTTTTTAATTTTCTCAAAAAATTTGTCCCCCTATTCGAATTTTTTCCTCGAAAATGAGTAAGATTTCGGGGGTATGTCTAGTCACCAAAAATGATCGCACCTGACCCTCGCTACCGAAAATAATTTTTCCAGAATGATTTGAAACTTTTCAATTTCGTCGAAAAATTTGTCCAACTACTGGAATTTTTTTCTCGAAAACGCGTAGAAATTCAGGGGTATGTCTATTCACCAAAAATGATTGGAATCAACCCCCGCTACCGAAAATAATTTTTCCATAACGATTTGGAATTTTTTAATTTTCTCAAAAAATTTGTCCCCATATTCGAATTTTTTCCTCGAAAATGAGTAAGATTTCGGGGGTATGTCTAATCACCAAAAATGATCGCACCTGACCCTCGCTACCGAAAATAATTTTTTTAGAACGATTTGAAAATTTTTAATTTCGCCGAAAAGTTTCGGCACCTACCCCTGTTGATTTTTCTTAAAAATTCGTTCTTTAAAAGCCGGCTATTAGGCTATAGGTCGGGAAGGTGATACTAATCTACAGAAAAGACTTTTGCATAGTTTAAAAATTTTCTGATAAAAAAATATGGTAAATTAGGTATAAGAGAAGCCTTGATTTCTTATTCTATTTGTCTATTGATCGGTGATTGCCTGGATCCGAATGCTTCGGCGTCGTTGAACTTACCAGTGAAGAGCTGATAAGCTCCGGTGAAGATTATGATGAACAACGCCAGGAGCTTGGCGTACGTGAAAATGTCCTGCACACACGTCGCCCATTTCACGTCCCAGCAGTTGATAAACGCGAGGACACCTGGAACAGAGCATCGGGGAAATGTTCGGGGGCTTAAAACTACAATGTACTAATCCATTGCACGCCACTGGCGCCGCTACTCGGTTCAAATTTATTTTATAGCAACGCAAACTGAATAAACAAATGGAACGAATTAAATTTGAATTATAAACATTTTTAAAGTGTTTTAAAATACTGTCTGAGATATGTTTAAAACATTGCGGGAACTCCATGAAATATTAATTTTCGAATATTTAAATTTTATTCCTAGTGTTCGAATGTCTATTATTCGAACATAGAATTATCGATATAGTCCAAGCTTTAGTTCGAAAGGCCTACTGTCGACGACGTCACGCGCAGGATTGGAACACTTAATCGATTCGTACGTCCGTTAATTAGATTCATTAACCGTCGAAATTAAGCAAGAAAACCTATCAACGTGCAATGCTAACCTAACCTAACCTAACCTGACTGGTTGACGTGCAACGCTTGGATGATGGCACACGACTAACGTATAAACAAAACTCTACCCGACGCCGAACGTTAACCTATACCGAATGCGAGGTTAGGTGTCTACAGTAGCAGTATTTAGCAATTAGAGAACTGTCACCTTCGTCAGCTTTTTTTATGCCATTAAAATGTTGAGAAACGTTGGTTCGAATGCATGAAAGAAACACATAATAGAATGACCTCCTATGTAGCCTTGATATCAATCTACCGAAGCCTCTAACGCCGATTAAATGACCATAAAACATTCGTTCACTTTCGAACAGTGGCCGACGGATGAATACCATTAGCATGAAAATTTTATTTTGTAAAACCGGTCGTATGAGTTGGCCTGTCGTTTGAGACTAACTGGCACCGGTCCAGTCAACCACGTCGACGGTTAGGGGTAGAAACGAGGAACGGATGGTTATCGACCTGTTCGTCGACGAACAAGAAAACGGGTGGTTTCGTCGATCCAGGCCACAGCGTGCAACGACGAATCGCCAAAGATCAGACGTGCACGCTACGTTTAGAACGTATTGTACGTTCCATATCCACCGAGACGTTTCGATTTCTTACACGCTCAAATGATAAATTGATACGGCCGCAAGAGGATGTACACCACAGGTAGCCACCGTTACGCAACCGTTACGTATTTACTCGCGTGTCGAAATTCTGATGCAATCGACCGCGAGTTTTACATTCTTCGTCTTGCTCGTCGCTCCGAGACACGGAACTTCGAACTGTTTCCTGGTATAAAATCGATACGCGTGTCAATAATCATTAAAGTCGACGGAGCACACAATCTGATTACATTGACTTTATTGCTTGCGTCCGTACGGGATACTACAATATCATCGCCGACACGTTTTATAAAATATTTAGTACGGGGTTTTATAACGTAATAAATAAAAAAAGACGATCAAAACTTTTAGGCGATCACATTACCAAGATTTCAAAGATGGTCGAGACTTTCGAGAGTTTCTTAACCTCAAATTATGTTCGATTCGAGAGATATCGAGAGTTTCTTAACCTCAAATTATGTTCGAATCGAGAGATATCGAGAGATTTCGAGAGTTTCTTAACCTCAAATTATGTTCGAATCGAGAGATTTCGAGAGTTTCTTAACCTCAAATTATGTTCGAATCGAGAGATATCGAGAGTTTCTTAACCTCAAATTATGTTCGAATCGAGAGATATCGAGAGTTTCTTAACCTCAAATTATGTTCGAATCGAGAGATATCGAAAATTTCTTAACCTCAAATTATGTTCGAATCGAGAGATATCGAGAGTTTCTTAACCTCAAATTATGTTCGAATCGAGAGATATCGAGAGTTTCTTAACCTCAAATTATGTTCTAATCGAGAGATATCGAGAGTTCCTTAACCTCAAATTATGTTCGAATCTGTATTGCGACACACAATAAAATTCCGAGTCCACTGTGTTCGAAGGTCTTGCACTTTCGTTGTCAGCAAGAACGACTGGTCGCCGGAGTCGATTTCTTTGCCGTTGGAATCCGTCGAAAAGTTCATTGATCGTTGCCGACGCACGTGCGACCACGTACGCGAAAACGATTCCACCTTGCGAATGCGTATCGCGACGCGACGGTTCGGGACAGTGGCGTTGTAACCTTGTCTTATTCGTTGGCAACCTCAAAGAAAAGTAAGAAATGCCGACTGACGCAATACCTCGAGAAATGACACGAGACTCTTTTCGCCCTACCCCTCCGGGTTCCTTCTTTCGTTATTCTCCCGTGTCTCCTTCCCCACAAACAGGAACGTCTCGCGTCGTCTAACGTCTGCCGAGCGCCTTGTCCTCTTCCTTTGTGCCTCCTTCGGCGAATTATGCTGTTGTGCTCGCCAGTTGACACGTTATTAGAAGATTACATTTAATCGCAATTGGACGTGATTGCTACCGCAGTCTTTTCACACGACCACTGCCTGATTCTCGAGACTTACCGACGTTAAGACTAATCGGGCTTTGGAATCCACTGAGATACACACATCGATACTGTCGAGGAAAGGGCAAGGCCTTCGGGTCACCGATTTTATTGAAACTTTGCACACTCGTAGACCTGGTCGTTACGTTCATAGGGATGCTCAAACATTTTTTAAATATTAACGATTAAAGTTTCAGTATTCTATAGAAAAACGATTTTAATTCCTTGTCAGTCGAATAGCATTGTAGAGCAATGGTAACGTACGAAAGTCCCACGCGGTAGGTCCGAGTTCGATTCCCCGGTAACTAATATACGTCTTTTTCTTTCCTCTCGAAACGCTAATTAACAAAGTATCTTTGTTTGTAGATAAGAGATTGAAAATAGTACTTATCGTTATACATAGAAAATTTTCATTCCGCCAGTACACTGTTGTTGAATATTATGGCACACTTATGTAACTTGTTATCAACTGTGTAAAATAAGTATCGCCTAACGAGTTTTTCGATACACGATACCCACACGTATAATCTAGAGATGAACATGTCCATGAATAACTGTTAGTTTTCTGCAACGATTATTGGTTTCCCCTTGGAGTTGATCGATGATTTTCATCGTTGAAATCTCCATTCTCGGAACTAATTTTCTTTTACGGGCACTATATACATGTAACGAACGCGCATACAATAGTAATTATGGACTCGGCAAAAACTCGGACAAACGCACCGACTATGCCTACTTTGCTTATTAGGGCTTCGGAATGAAATTTTTGTACGATTAGAAATAATAGGTCTACATTGTAAGAGAGAAAAATTGTCCAAGGATTAACCCATTATGTAAATTTTTTTTTTTTTGCTGAATTAAAAAAAATATATTGAAAGGTCGAAAAAGAGAACGTTTCGATCGGCTAAATATTTAAGATCGCTGTTCGCGGAACGTATTCGCATAGGCGATAGAAAGATCAGAGCCGAGAGATAATTTCCATTTCATTTTCCTCTCAGGAAACTGTCGTCCACTGTTCGCCGAACGATTTATCGGAAATTAAACGGAACGCCCCGGTTCCACGGAGCGTCTCGTTTCCGTCTTCCTCTTAGCGCGCTCTGTCCGCAGTTTTTGACGTGTTATTACGTCTGCGAGCGTGTTTCCCCGTGAAAGTCGTTTCCTGCAAGACGAGAGGAGATTACGCCCTGTTTCTACGACTCTAATTAACATCTGCTCTGTCGACGATTGGTCCGCGGATTAAACACGCATTAACAACGAACCAATTTTATATAATTATTTTGGACGATCGACTGACCGGATTCGACGACGAAAAATGTATTACTTAATAGCGTTTGAATAATAATACAGAGGCCAAAATTCTTGACTGAGGCTTCGTTAAAAAGTTTTCAAATCATTCCGAAAAAATTATTTTCAGTTACGGTGGTTAATTACAATCATTTTTGGTGAATAGACATACCCCCGAAATCCTACGCGTTTTCGAGGAAAAAATTCGAATAGGTCGACAAATTTTTCGACAAAATTGAAAAATTCCAAATCATTTTGGAAAAATTATTTTCGGTTGTGGGGCTCAATTACAGTCATTTTTGGTGAATAGACCTACCCCCGAAATCCTACCAACTCTCTAGAAAAAAATTCAGTACGGACGGAACTTTAAACGTTAATAACTTTTCAACGAAGCCTCCATCAACAAATTAGTATTCTTGATTTTGGTCTTATTTTGGCCTATAGAATCTCCCATTAAAATAGATTCCAGAGGTGATCGAACACTCTGTATAATACCTTGAACGAACCAAGTTTCTGTCCACCCAGTATGCGTCTAGACATTCGCTGTTCTAGAGCACGTTTCGTAGATAAAAAGTATCGTTGTTTCCGGAGTAATAGAGCGCGGATAATTCGACCGTAAAGGTAATTAGACGCAGGGCTTTTGACGAATGAAACGCAGTTGCGTTGTCGCTGAAAAAGAGATATTCGAAGACATTTCTGCGGGGCACGTGTTGGTGGATAACGTTCGCGATCCTGTAATACGATACGCGCGACGTGGTCACAATACCGTGACGGATGGACGGACGACAACTCGACGCGACAACCGCAGAGGGAACACAATATCTTTTTTTGCGGTGTCTCTTCGCGCAGGAAGGGATTTCCCAAAAATAAACACGTTCCTTCTGCTCGACTCTGACGGAGAAGTTCATTAGCGTCGCTATTTTTTTTTATCGTTCCAAGCGGAGGAACGTGTTTTAAAATTCTCCCCGTGGATCGGGGAATTCCGTGATACTTGAAAATCGTTTCCTCGAGAAACTGGAACGGGAATTTCTAGAGACAGGATTCTCGAGAGCAGTCGCTGCTAATGGGATATCAAGAATCGTGATTCAAGACACTTTCTTGGGTTGAATCGGCCGGGGTGACTTGGGGAATTCCAGGTTTTATTAGATTCCCTAGAATCGTTATACTTTGCTTCGTAACAAACCGAGAAAAACGAGACGTTTATAGAATTCCCGACGCGGTTTCAAAACCATCATTTATCAACTACTCGACGCTCGCTTTTATAAATAATTGAGAATATAATAAAAATATAGTATTTGTTTTTTATTGTTATATTGGGAATATTTACAAATGCCTAGAATAACTCTGATTAGCAGACAAATGCAATACCAGTGTACTCGAGTATGCTTCGATTAGAGCGTTAAGTGATTAAGTGATGCGTAACTACAATAGATCAGAATTTCAAGCTGGATGATCGATGATTTTCTGGAATCGTTTTGAAAGGAAATTACATTCCTCTGCGGTAGCACGTTGTTCGTTTAAATGCGAAGAATACTTCGCGCGTCAAGGTTTAATGCGACGACCATTAATGAATCACCTCTCGGTGAAAAAACGCGTCATTAACGACCGAGATAGAACTGCCAACAAAATTATTTTCTATTCTTTCTATAGAAAAATGTGCAATAATATTGGATATCGTCCCTGTAATGTTCATTCAAAAGAAAAATGATAAAAATGCTGAATCTTTCGAAAATTGCAAAGGAATGAGCCCCTTTAAAGTAGAATTGGTATATAACTCCGTCCGGAGGATATTAATTGGGGCTTGGAACGGAACTAGGGACTCCCCCGAGAAATCGTCGGGCTCTGAAACACGATGGGACAACATCTCGATCGCCGAGAAAACAGGAAGAACAGGAGACCCCAAGGCTAGGATTATTATTGAGAGAATTACAAATTGTTCTCGTAACGAGAGACGCTGCATTAGCTCTGAAAGCTTCGCGAAGGACGCCCCCGCCTACGTTTCCATCTACGGGACGAAGAGTGAAGCTTTTGTCCGGGGAAAGCACGAGAGAAACGGCCAAGGACGAAACCGCCACGCGATTCCATGGACCATTACAAATATTGCCAATCCATTTTTCCTGACAAAAGAACCCTCTCACCGTCCTGCAAAAGATTTTAACGATTGTGCACCCTATAAAACGAATTTAGTAAAATGTTTATTACAAACAATTAATCGAAACCCTAAGAAAATCTCAACCTCGTGAGAAGAAGTGCGATAATCGTCTTTACTTTTGACGTTGTTTCTGGCTTTCTGTCGGAACAAAAATTCTTTTATTATCCAATGAATTCAATCAGAGATTAGGACGCAAAGGTCATTGTCCTAAATTAGGGCGCATTAATATGTTGAATAAAGTCGAATGAAGCTGTCAAAGCGGCCCAGGTCTGAATGCACGCTGGCCAAGATAATAGAAGAAGCTGAATAACGTTAAAGCAGAGAGAAAGTGATTCGATTAGCTGACAATCCGGCCACGAATGATTACGGAACGACCTTTCAATTATAAAGGATGCGACGACGGAGTTCTCGTAACAGAACGAAAATTCCGAGGGGGGGGCCAATCAGAAGAATTCGAGGGGTTGTAACCTTCATGAAACGACAGAGACGTTTGATTAAACGCTACGAGTAATATTTCATTGCCTCGGGAGCTCAATCTCCGTGAGAATAAACAACCTGGTCCTGATCGTCGGACTCTGCACACCACGTGTCAACTGTAAACCGAAATCGAAATCAAAATCAGGTCGAATCACCAGCGGGTTATTCCAGATTTGTAAATGTTTTTGTAGTCCATGTAAGTGAAATCAGATTACGAAAAAATAAAGAAATCAAGGGCACAACATGTTGTGTAAAAATTTATTTGCTCAATATTTCTGGCAAGCCTGCATAGTAGAGTGAATTATGTTCTTCGTTTCGATTTTCACGATCTGATTTCTCTGGCGCAAAATAAGCGAGATCCACGACGTAAGAATTAAGGGACGTATATTTTTTATATGTAAATAAAATAAATAACGCAATGGGTAATTGTAATTGGGGCTTTTCCTATTTTACAAAGGAAGTCGACGTTTCTAAATAACATTGCAGGAGAAATAAGAGAGCGAAATATGTCCTCTACTCACATATGCAGCATGCAGCAAGTATCCTTGTCGCCTCGTCCGGTGGCGTGCAGTCTGGAAACACTGGTTTCAAAACGTAAACGCTGAAAGTCAAGGCCACGATGGCCTGACTGCAAGGCCGCACTATCATACACTCGACCCAGAGCCTGATGAACGCCATGAAAGGTCCGAAGGTCTCCATGATATACGCGTAATCGGCGCCCGACTTTCTGATCATGCATCCGAGTTCCGCGTAACAGTATGCGCCTACCTGTTGTGCAACCAGAAATCAATTTGTATCTTATGGCTGTCTCGTATCGCAAATACGACAACTTACAACGTTTAACAACCATTTGTGTCTCACGTTCATTAACATTCCAATGAAAAAATTAACGTCACGGTTCGAGATCATATTAAAATAGTACTGCAATCATCAAGGTTCAAATATATAAAAAATGTCCCTTCGAATGCTATTAGAACTAGTCTAGGTTAGGTCTGACTTAAACTATAGAGATTGGATTTGAAATGGAAAGAAACATTTCAATGAAAAAATTAACGTCACGGTTCGTGATTGTGTTAAAATAGTACTGCAATCATCATGATTCACAAATATAAAAAAATGTCCCTTCGAATCCTACTAGAACTGGTCTAGGTTAGGTCTGACTTAAACTATAGATTGTATTTGGAATGGAAAGAAACATTCCAATGAAAAAATTAAGATAGTACTGCAATCATCATGGTTCACAAATATAAAAAAATGTCCCTTCGAATCCTATTAGAACTAGTCTAGGTTAGGTCTGGCTTAAACTATAGAAATTGGATTTTAAATGGAAAGAAACTTTATACGGATCGTAAGAAGAAGTGAAAGAGGTTAGGGTAAGTGTTCTTTATATCATCGAGTCTCAGAGTCGTCTTTATCTGCGTCGACGGTTGTAGTCGAAGAAAAAAAAACAGCGAGCGAGAACGAATGAGAGAAAGAAAGCATTATTTTGTATACAAATCGTCGCTGGCACCCCAACTCCAACCGTTTTTTAGGTGTCATCTTTCACGCTTCACCGACTCCGAGGGGGATCCCCCCAGTCGGGGGGGATAGAAACGCTCAACCGTCGGGTCACGTCTGGGGTTCGTTCTAAAAATATCTGCCTTGTACGTATATCGTACGAAAATCCGTCTCGGGACAGTTTTTATTTTAAATTTAACCACGATTCAATTTCTCGTCTGCTCGTTCGATCGTACGCAAAATGGAAGACATCGATGGTGTATAAGGAGGATGGTATGTACCGTGGAGAAAATGCCGGAAGCTATCCACACCAAAAGACTCGCGTTCACGCTGCCCGTGTACTTGAGGACACCGGTGGGACTAACGAATATGCCAGAACCGATAATGGAACCGACGATCACGGTGACGCCGTTCATCAGGGACATCTTCGCCTCCAGTTTGATCTCGTCGCTGGGTTTGTCGGTGATGGGAACCGCGTCGTACGGCCCCTTCTCGCCATCCTTGATGCTGCCCGACTTCGACATCCTCCCTGAAACAGATCAAACGCAATCCGTGTCAATTTGTCATTCGCCTCGGAAATCACCCGCGATTTTCGTTCAATTTTCCGCGTGACAAATTGCTATCGCGTTCGCCAGTAATTCGATGATATCTTTACATTACCAGACATATACCATTATCTTTCGAATCATTTATCTGCACGAGCCAAAACACGCTGTAAATCTGTCGACTTTATCAAACTTTCTAACTTCCTTATTACGCGCGCAATAAGTAGCTTAACAAATAACCGTGTCGAGTATCTTGTCGCTACTTCTCAAATTTTATTATTAGGTAAATAACTCGGTTACAAAATATTTCGTGAAACTGAAAGTCACGGTGTACGGGAGTGAAAGAAGAACGTTCTAAGAATTTAGAAGCTTATGCAATGTTGCTAGCTTTTTTTCTAGATACTTTTAAAGGTACGATTAAGTAAAGTTGCATACAGTGTCAACCGTAAGTATCTTTATACTTGGTAGAAGTCGTACAATAATTTTCTTGGTATTGTTTTAAAGGCTGAGCCCTTCACTTTCGCATACCTAAGTTGAATTTCCACGAAGATCCATTTACACTAAGAGGCAAGTAATACAGCGAAAAGGGTGTCAGTGACGGATGCATAAGACTTCAAAGGGGGGAGAGAAATTGTAAACAGAAAGATTGAAGTTTCAAAGATTTATTAACACATGGTTTATAGAAACGTTACGTTTCTTTGTACAGTGCCTTTTGCAATTTTCCTGTCCTTCGAGAATTGCAAATTATTCAATCGGTAAAAGCAATGTTTCGAATCTTTTTTCATTTTTCTCTGGTCGCCTGGCAGAACCAGTTATTTCGAAAACACCACATGTTGATCAACCTCGAACGGCATAAAAACAACCATTGTAGAGAAATAGTAAATTCAGGAGTCCGCCGGCTGTGACTTTTTACTCTTCGTTCCTTCGGTTCATTGGATAAAAGCATTGCTCCGCTGTGCAACGGGGAAAAGTCTTTTCTTATCGTTGTCCTACTTCTGGACGATCTGAGAAATTCCCCCGTAGGAATTTCCATCGTTCCTCTGAATAATGCATCCCACCTCGCTCGAAACGATCTGTAGTATGTAGTATTCGCCTCGAAGTGCCAATTTTTACATCGGATTGAAATTACGGAATCACGACTCGGCCAAGAACAATAAGATACGTAACATTTGATTTCATCCTAATGAAAATTGATATTGTTGTAAATGTTATAAATATTACAATTTATATAGTTCTCACTATATCTTCACGAGAGTACTATTAACAAAATGGCGACGTTCTCTCGATAAAAATGAGTCCAAACACGACCCTGTTCGAACTATTTTTTATTATACGTAATATAAATATTACAATTTATATGATTCTCATTATATCTTCGCGAGATTACTATCAACGAAATGGCGACGTTCCCCCGAAGAAAATGAGTCCAAACACGACCCTGTTCGAACTATTTTTTATTATAGGTTATATAAATATTACAATTTATATGGTTCTCATTATATCTTCGCGAGATTACTATCAACGAAATGGCGACGTTCCCCCGATGAAAATGAGTCCAAACACGACCCTGTTAGAACTATTTTTTATTATAGGTTATATTAATCATTTTTGAAAATTCACCAAATTCGAATAACTAAAAGTAGTTCAAACGAGGTCGTGTTTGGACTCATTTTCATCGGGAGAGCGTTGCCGATTTGTTAATGATATGCTCGTGAAAAAATAATAACAAATAAAATTTTTTTTCCGAACAAGAACAAAGCCCTGCAAGAAACCTGACGCATTAAACTTCCGCAAACCAATATAACCAAGGGACGATATCCATGCTGCACACTAACCTAACCTAATTTCGTCGACACACTCTTCGATGCACTATCCAATTTGCACCACCGGAGCTCGTTTAGCATCGTCGATGCATCGACTATCGTTAAACGATCTCGTTTTCCCTAACCAGTGTGCAAACGCTTCCGTTTTGATAAACAAAGATTGTAAATATTTATATACCCTGTCAACATATGGTCTATATATTCCCAAAGTTTCAGAATTTTTTCAATTTTCAGGATCGAAGATCATCCCTTATCACTATTATAAATCGTTGCCCTTCCGATGTAGTGACATTTTTGGTTTAAAAAAAATCGTTTCAAATTGGAGAACAATCAATTTGATCCACATGACGGTCAGCGGACAGACATGTGTTGAAGATAATATATTGTAGTTGTTTGTTATTTATTCTGATGTTATCTGTACATATAATTTTAGCTTCTCAGATTAATTGTCTCGCGCGAACGTAACAGATATCGAACATGTGACTTTCGCGGATCGTTCGCGTTTATCGCGCCAGTCGACACCGTCGCTCTCCCTCTTTCTTGGACGTGCGAATCTGGACCAATGGCGTTCGCGAACGTCGACACACACCTTTCTACCACCTAAGCGTATTTTCCATCGCAGGTGACAAACCAGTTTCTTAATCCACCGGCCGCCCCTGCGATCGTTTAAACCAGCATTTAATCACCGGATTCCGCAAATTCCCTAATTGCTTAATAGCCACGTTGACACACGTTGAACACAAGTTCCTGCCGGCGGGAAAGGCGAGTCACGGTCACGCGTGGAACTAAACAGCGCAACACCCGTTGATTCGATTATCGACCTTTCCTTTCCTTCGTTGCACACCCGAGACGGAACCGTCCAAAAACGGACACATATTCTCATACGAACGACGACATAATAATTTTTAGAAATTTCCACCAAATTCATATGGTAATTAAATTGTCAATCAATTAAAATAAGAGGCATTCGTTTCACTGCCCCGAGGTTACTAAAGTCAACGAAGAGGATTGGTATAATTATTGACACTGAGGATTTGACTGGCGCCCAACCCACGAGAATCGTGGAAAATTTACTTTAAATAGAATTACACAAATTTATGCGTGGGCTGGTGTTTCTTTTCGAGAATTCTTCCTCTGAAAAAAAGTATATATATCCGTAACGAAGGACGGCTACTTTCCGAGCGAAAGGAGCCAAAAAATTCCACGTTTAAAGGCAAATCGAAAATTAGCGTGCTCAAAAAAAAAATAAATACTTTCCATAATACCGGACTAAAAATAGCGATTCCAGTTTCTTTCGCAATTTTTAACCACAGTATTGGAAAATTCCAATTTAGGATTTTAAAAATTCTCGAGATTCCCAAAACGCTGAGTTTCGTAGATCCGATGGGAGTCTATGATTTGCGAAAGACACTTTTAGAACAGATAATGTTCCGCGGAAAAAGCTATTTTTGGATGGCAAGAAAGATTCGATAGACCGTAAAAAAAAACCTAGACGCGTCTCGCGATTCTCCCGAATCAATTTTCTTGGAAACGAAATGTCTCGAGCAGAGATTTTGCTACTATAAAATTAGTTTTATAATTACAGATTATACATATCTCTTCCACTGTATCAGACTTTGATCGCGTTTAATAGGAGAAAATTACAAGCTACGACCAGTCTAACTTCCGTCTGTTTCGTTGAACGCGAATCGACGTAACCCTACATGCTCGACTAAGTAGAAGAATGTGTAATTGCAATATCAGCAAAAACCTATAATTTCCTACGAAACGAAAGTACCGTTATTAGTACAAAGGTTGCTGAATAGAAAGGGAATTATCCTTGTTTACTTTTTCAATAGAATGTTCTACACCGCGGAAACGTGTCCCACGAAGATAAATAATCGCGTTCTGTGCACGTTCTAATGAAAGTTTTCACCCGCGCGTCGTAAATACTTCACTTTAATTCCCTGACTGACAGCGTGCACATTCGAGTCGTCAATCATAACGCACCGTCGAGAGAAAACAAGCTCCACGGTAATAATGGTACCTGACAAGGAACATCCGCGAAATGACCCCCCCCCCCCCTGATTTTCATTAATTAATTTATTTATTTGTTCACAGGACAAATCTTTTGGTAGAGCGAGTAACAGGTGATGGGGAACGGACAAAGGAGAGATAACTGTGTTTACTGTACGGAGTCGTCGACGGTAACACGACACCCGAGCATTTCCAGAAACAGCTACCAGAGATCTCGTTCGTCCCTTAATTTGAGAAACACTGTCACCGTCTCACATACCGAAAGTCCCGTACGTGTACAGCATCAACCTGGATCTTCGTGTCGTCCACGCCATGTAATCGAGGAGGAAATCTTTACTTATTGGATACGCGGGAAACGACAAAACCGTTGGACGGTTCGTACACAGACGCGCACGTTATCGTTCCTGCGTCGGCACTGGCAGAGCCAAGGCGGCGCATCGTCGAACGAAACGACCGACGAAACGACGGAAAAGTATGGCCAGCCGGGCAATCGTCGCGAGAAACGAACGGAGGAGCGAAGCTTGGCAAAAGATTGAGTTTTATGTACGACGGATCGAAACGACACAATTACAACCAGTTCCTGTTTCACTGTGGGATTCGCGCGGAAGATCGAACGCGAAAGGGGAGGCGAACCGATCGATGTAACTGCATCCACGCGACCACGATGGTAACGCGAGAACAGGAACCGAGCAACCTCGGACATGCAACGACGTTTTTCCAACGAATTTGTCCGCGACGATACGATCGAAGAGACGTTCTACAAACTTGATACGAAACATTATTTTCTTCGAATGGACTTTGTTTTTCGGCGCGATAAACGAAACTCGAGTGGTCTGCTCGACAAATGATGTAATTAATCGCGAGTGGAAACGTAAGCGACGCGATCGAACAAATTGTTAGTCGACGATCGTGAAATATTGTTTTTAAAAATTAATCACGAATTGCGAAACGCGACGAAAGTTTCGAAAGGCAAGAAATATTATTTGGAACTACGAGTTTATCGAACGTCCGGAGAAGCCTTAAATCGTTTGATAGACTTTATCGGGTTTGTTTAACGTGATAGTTTACTGGCATCGGTCAACGTCAAGGTACATTTATCTCTATGTTGGACGAAATTGATAGTTTTATTAGAAGCACCTATCGCGGTGCCGGACTGTATTTGTTCTCGGGCTGCTGGTATATTCACAGAGCCGAATATATTCTTATCTGTTACGCTTATTTACAAACACTTAACATCGTCCTGAAATACGCGCTATCGTAAGTACGTATAAATAAATCTGTAGGGGTAGCTATGTTTGTATTAGTCTTCCGTCTCCGAATTCTCGATATCTTTGAGTTTATTTTGTGATATCAATTCGATAAAATATTAAATGCCTGTTTTGGTGGATATACATATCCCCGAAATCCTACGCGTTCTCGAGAAAAAAAATTGAACAGATGCCTAATTTTTTCGGCGAAAAAAAAAGTTTCAGATCGGTCCGGAAAAATTATTTTCTGTTGCGGGGGTCAATTACAATTATTTTTGGTGGATAGACATATCCCCGAATTCCTACGCGTTCTCGAGAAAAAAAATTGAACAGATGCCTAATTTTTTCGGCGAAAAAAAAAGTTTCAAATCGGTCCGGAAAAATTATTTTCTGTTGCGGGGGTCAATTACAATTATTTTTGGTGGATAGACATATCCCCGAATTCCTACGCGTTCTCGAGAAAAAAAATTGAACAGATGCCTAATTTTTTCGGCGAAAAAAAAAGTTTCAAATCGGTCCGGAAAAATTATTTTCTGTTGCGGGGGTCAATTACAATTATTTTTGGTGGATAGACATATCCCCGAATTCCTACGCGTTCTCGAGAAAAAAAATTGAACAGATGCCTAATTTTTTCGGCGAAAAAAAAAGTTTCAAATCGGTCCGGAAAAATTATTTTCTGTTGCGGGGGTCAATTACAATTATTTTTGGTGGATAGACATATCCCCGAAATCTTACGCGTTTTTGAGAAAAAAATTTGAATAGATGCCTAATTTTTTCGGCGAAAAAAAAAGTTTCAAATCGTTCTGGAAAAATTATTTTCAGTTGTAGGGGGCAATTACAATCATTTTTGGTGAATATAGATACCCTCGAAATCCTACGCACTTTTGAGAAAAAAATTCGAGAAGGTACTGAAATTTGTAGACGAAATTAAAAAATTTCAAATCGTACTATAAAAATTATATTTAGTTGCAGGGGGCAATTACAAGCATTTTTTGTGAATAGACATGCCCTCGAAATCCTACCAATTTTCGAGAAAAAAATTCGAAACCATCCAACTACCATCGCGCGCAGCTGTTGGCAAATTGTCGTTCTACAAACGGAACTTTAAACGTTAATAACTTTTTAACGAAGCCTCGATCAATAAATTGGTATTCTTGATTTTCGACTTATTTTGGTCTCTAGAGTCTCCCATTAAAATTTTTCCCAGGGGTGTCAGAACACCCTGTATGTATTTGTGTGAACAGTACATCACAGATTGCAATGCTACTTGTTGAGTCGTAAGGTAACAGACACCTTTTAAAATCTATAATCGATCATCCAGATTGAAAGAGTAAATTGCGTCGAACGCGGACACGTGAGTTTCAGTGTCAACGACCACACGGTGCTATGGTTCGTCTCTACCGTGTCACGATAGAATATCAAATTTCCTCGTGTCTCGTGTTCAAAGATACCATTCTGCCTTTGCGTTCGAATAATTGTCCGTGTACAGTTTACCTTCCTATGTAATCACACACGCCGTGATAACAAGGAAATGTTTGGACAGCTTAAAAATGTTCCATCCGAAATCACGTTTGATAGAAATGAAAGAACATCTGTTTGGTAAACGTGACACTACGATCTAAAAGTACATATTACGTAATAATATCAAAACACTTGCATAACGTATAAAATAACAAACAGAAGTACTCTTAAGTTCACAAATCTTGCTTAAAAATTATAATGCGTTCAAGTAGGACGTTTTACACAAAATTATTATTAGAATATTTATATTTATGATACATTGTTAACAAGAATATCTCCTAAATATAGCACTGATACTTAATAGGTTAAGGGCAGACCATAATAGTAAATTGCAAAGCACATAATTTTCACGTTGAAAAACCGTTCGCCACAGACCACACTACGTACATATGTAATAATCTCATTCGACGTAGTAAATAGCCCAATGGAATATTTCCAATATGGTATCCCACATAACATGACAATGGTCGATACTGCAGCCTTCATTTTAATAGAAACGACTAGCTACTTCAACGGAATTTTATAAATCGTCGCTATCGCACATATGTATCTAAATAGCGTAAAGCTGTCACGATAATCATTGATGGAGAACGTGTCAAATAAAAAATCTACGAGACTCCCGGATCACAATTTGTAAAATATTATTCGATTCGAATCAGGCCCCCGATAGGTTTATCCCCGAAGTCTCAGCGTCCGTGATTCGTGCAAGCAACCCTCTTTAATTCGAACTCCTAATACGACAGTCTAGCACTCGTACAGCTTCGAACTTCAAGCCTGCTCTTTCAACGTTACGCACACAATCCTGAATCGTCTACGTGCACGGAATTCGTCGTCCCGTGTGGACGACACGGGAACCCCTTTTTCCACGCGCTGGGTTCCCAACCGAACTTCCCCTCAAGGCCATCCAACGATTTTTTTTACAAGTTATTTAAAATCTAAACTCGACCTGAACTTGAATATTCGATTCAAACTGTCGGCGAACATAACCTCGAAAGTTGGTGGTTGTTAAAAAAAAAAAAAATTCTCCCGAAAGTATCGTGGAACATTGCGTCAGTTTCTATTGATCTTTCACAAACGACACTCCTGGCAGTCTAACGGTAACATGACCTGTACTTAAGCACCCGTCAAAGATAACCACGCGGTAGTATTGGCCCCTTGGTGCAGCAACGTAGATTGACAGACGTTATTATTAAAAAATTCTGTCCCCCCTTTTGCATTTCAGTGGCTGCATCCGACATTATTCGCCCTTCGAGCGGGACCGCGGCTTTCGATTAGAAATTTCTTACGCAAATAAAAATATCGACCAACGAAAGATAAACTGTGGCGGCCATGGAATACACAACAATTAGCGAGACCCGTAAAAACGATACATAAATATTAACATATCTGTTACTATTATTCTAATATATAATTATTGACACAAGATAAGCGATACATAAATATTTATCTGTTATTATCCTACTATGTACAAAAATGTATTTCGAGTGCAGTGTGCAGCACCTAAAATCTTTGATTGAAATGATTTCACGAGAGACCAGCAAGCCCAGGGTTCGGATCTCTTTAGAGCCACTCCTCCGTTTTAATATTTATTCTTTCCAAAATAAATCAATTTTCCAATATTTACTTTTAATTCCAAACGTTCACGAATGCTAAATTCGTGTACCAGTCTGGGTCTCCAGAGTTGAAAAATTCTAGGACAAGAAGTCGTATAGATTGAATAATCTATACCACATCTATGGTTTGATTTATAAACACAACAGGGGAATACATGCACGCTGCAAGCCGTCGACCGCTAACGAAGTTTTAAAAGTCGAAACATTGCACGAGAGTTCGTTCGAAACTTGTTTGAATATTTATCCACGAAAACGTTAAAAGTATACAAAATCGTGCAAGTTTGCCAAGACTGCGAACATTTCTGAATTCTTCGCGCGAAACACTCACTCGACTACTTTGCACGCGTCTTTTTATTATCCACCTTTCTCACGATATTTGAAGCGTATAAAAATAGTTATCGATACCATCGATCGAAGAACTTCCTGTAACGAACGTTGTAAAGTGTAAAATTTAATGTTGCCTTTTTTATTTACGGAATCGGAAGGAAATGTACGTTTTGTAAATTGTTTGGAAATAACCCCGCTTGTCAAACAGTCGTGATCGTTCTATTTGCCATGTAAACGATGACAATGACCCTACCCACCTGTCAGAAACTGTAACTAAACGTTTAAGGATCATGACAGCGGTATGGCATCGATTAGCTGGCTGGAAAACGGTCGATTATCGTGCCAAGGGGCGCAGTATATTTTGTAACGCTAGAAAGACGAATCGTCCCGCCAAACCTAACCCAAACATGACAATTCTTTATTCGGTAACATACAGAGAGTGGTTAAATTTGTAGTCCTAATTTTGAGTTTGCATAGCACCGATCAAAATAAGGAAAAGGCTCTGAGTAAATAGGAGTTCGAAAATCTTATTTCGCAACAGCAGATGTTCGAAGTGTTTCGAAGTGTTATATTCGCACAGTGCGTTAACCGATGGAGAAAAGGCCAGTTTCCACCACCGTCGGCCTAGCGGCGTGGAGGGCAAGAAAATCAATAGGCCACGTGGGTCGCCGACCGGGTTTTCCGAACCCAATTCCCGTCCTACGTTCGCGCTAACTCTGCAGAAACACGAATTGACGTCAGACAAAAGATTACCACGATACGACGAAAAAATAGTGTCATCCAGAAGACAGCGACATCTCGACCGCGGAAGGGTTGTTTCCAATCGAACGATAAAATCCAATCAACTTTTTTTTACATTACAAACCAACAGTGACTATTTATCGAAATGTGTACTAAATACTAACGAGAAATCGTCTTGCTACTGTTTACATTCGTTTCGAACTTGCTCCATCGTTCGTCGTATTATCTTTGCACTATTCATCGACACGATACGATTCTCGACATTCGTAACTCAATTTGCTCCATCGCGACCAGTGGTACCCAGGACCTTATGGTCCCGCTATTAACGATCGTATCCAACAACTTTTCATTCAACGTTCCGTCGAGAAAACGACAAAACCGACGTCACCGATGATCTCCGGCGACAGACGTAAACGAAAATCGTGTTGCGTCACTCACCCTGACTCGATGTGTTTCTCGGTGGTGGTTTTCTCTGAAAGTCCGAAAATGTCACTGGTCACGTACACGTGGTCGATCACGGATAAGAGAGGTCCGGCATTGACACAAAAGTCACCCTCGGAGCATGGTTTCTCGTTGTCTAATTGCCGATCTGGCTTCACCGGCGTCTGCACGGGCGGAACGTGGACACCACGCACGTAGACGGGGCGGATTTTGATCGAACGCGACGAAACACGAGGACGCGAGGAGCCACGAAACGTACCGCATGCGCACTGGTCGAGCTCTGAACGCTGTGTTCAACGCACGTTCCGTTCCAGGGCTTTGCGCATTATAAAGTGCGACCGACGAGAGTCGGCGCATGTCGTCTGCTCTTTCTCTCTCCCTCTCCCTGCCGCTCTCTATGGGTGTATATGGCACAAGAACGTTATGCATTTTATATACACGGGGCGTATACAAACAAAGCCATGCCACCCTAAGCTCGATCGACCCGTCTATCGGTTTCTTTCCGACAATTATTATATACCTGGAACACTGTCTAAATCTCTTTTTACAACAATCTTTCGAAGCAATGTACTTTCAACTTTTACAGGATTTACAATTCCCTTGGAACGGCAGAGATTCGGCTGTTCGAAAAGATGTCGTAGTGATAAAAAAAAAATAATACGATATACAAAATTTTGCTTCTCATAATTTACATGTTATCTATCTAAAAATGGTACCAACGCATCCGTTAGATTCTGCCAATTAAAACGAGTCCAAACACGACATAAATCGGACTACTTTTAATTTAATCAATATATACATATATGTAATATTACAATGTTAGGTAAAAGTGATGTGATATATGTGATGTTTGGACTCGTTTTAATCGGAAGAATCCCAGAAATTCATTGGTATAGTTTTTAAGATGAAAATGGTAAAAAACTAGTAACCATATTTATTCTCTAAACTTAACCTTATTAATTAAATAAACACATTTGGGACGAGTCGTTGGTGTACCGTAACGCTTATAAACGCTTGGAAACGCGAAGCGCAATGAAAATGAAACCTGCTGTAAAACGAGCACCATTAAAGTTTCGTAATACAACTGATTTGTAAGTCAATTTCGGCATTGAATGTAAAAGTTAACTGCTAGAAGTAATTAAGTAAATGCAAATAAACATACGATGACAGATAACTAGATAACCTACAACTTATTAAGTCATTATTCATTGCTTCGTAATGAACCGTTCGGTATCGCGAGTCGAATCGTTTAAACGGTGTTGATAGGAATGCTCGATACTGTAGTCATTAACATTGTGCTGTTTCATTTCGCTACATTTTTATTTATCTGATAAAATAACCGTGCAAGCGAATGCACCGATAGACGCATTAGAATTCTTACACATCATTTTCTTCTTTTAACGTGGTTTGGATATATTAAGTGTAATTAAAAATCACTTCGTATATAGATAGATACACGCGTGGCGCGACGTATGATGCCAGACGAGTCTGTATCGATTGGTCTATCGGCTGTCTACCGCGATGCGGTGCTCCTGTGGTTTCCTGTTCCCGACATCTCGTGAAAGCATCTCATTTTAATGCGACGAGCCATAATTTATAAGCTAATAATATCGCGACAATAACGAACGCCTATCGATTGATAAAACAACTCTTATTTAAAACTTGTCCCGGCACTTATTTTCCTAACCTCGCAAAAACTATGAAATTGATTTTTCGATGCATCGAATATATTCCGAATACGTTTCGTGGAAATATTATTTTTCGTACTTCGAGGCGAAAAAATTGTGAATCGAAGAGGTTAATAAATCGATGCAACGGCGTATCGACGAACGGAAAATAATCATATTACGCTCTTGCCGCGAATGTGCAGCCTCGTTTCCACTTGTGCGGTCGAATGGCATCGCCAGACACGCGACCAGCCACCACGATCGATAAAATTTGATTAATCGAATCCCTCGAGTTTATTAACCCATTTCTATCGTTTCTCCATTGTCCGCATTTCGCGTTTCGATAATTTGCTGACATTCGATAAACTCGATATCGGAGGCTTCGGCGATATCGTATCAGAAATTTCATGGATGGTTTTACGCGTATCGCCAAGTAGACTAGTCACGATTTATGAATGAACTATACGCATTCCAATCCGTAGAAACACTATCTGCGATAACGACTCCGTGAACTTTCTCGTAGGGACGCTCGACGTCGTTAATGATCGGTACGTGCTTTCCCCAGGATTCCACCTCGGAACTCTCGTTTGCCCGCCATTTATCTTGGATCGCTGTCGCTGAAAAATTTTACTCGATCGAAAGATACACGACGTCCCATTAACCAAAGTTGGACAAAATTTTAATAAAACCAACGCGTAACAATGAAACTTTTATTTTATTTTATACTAGATGTTCGAATATTCTCGAGACACTCTTTTACGTAGCTTCGACTTGACTTTCGCGAGGAAAAACATCACGAAGTTTGATACGGCGAAACTTTCAATGTCTGAACTAATAAAGAGACCGAATCTCCGTACAAGTGAATTTACGACACATTCGAGATATGCACGGTCGAAGAAAATACGTTTAACGATTACGATTTATCTCTACTATATATTATATGTTTACGACATGCTATTTTGCAGATTATGCAATCTTGTCTCCCGATCTTATTGTATTGCTCGTATAGTAAATGGAAATATAATAATCGTATTATATTTCGTACGCGACAGCTTGATAGCAATTACAAAAATAAAACATAACCTTCAAAGTCGTGCGTTGTCTCTGGCTGGTTTGAACACAAAGGGACCCGCAGCTGGACCCTGTCTAAGGACTTTGCGAAGGTAGACAAAGGAGAGGAGCGTAGTACAAAGGGGTACATGATCGCGCGACAAAAGAGAAAACCGTCCAATTGGTTTTCATCCTTCGAAAGTTCCTACAGAATCCCTCGGTCCAGGTGCGAGAGTCCTTTGTGCTCGTGTCGTGGCGTCCCATCGCGGGACGTGAATCAACCTCGTCGAATGATGCAACTTGCGTCCAAAAACATTCGACACGAGCTCGTGCACACGATTGCAATGCTCCCTTAAAAATAATCAGAGAATAACGTTGTTCCTGTAAATAATCGGGCACGTTCGAGGCACGTTTAGCGAAATATTGGCGATCAAAGACTCTGGAGTTTATCTACGGTCGATATATCGAAATCTGTTACAATGGCGGAATTGTGAAATATTGATTTTTCTGAGAGCACAAAGGAATCGAAGGGAGCAAGAGGGGGAGTAAGGATCGAATAACGTAATGCTCGTTCTTGCGTTACCGTGGTTTTTGTTTGTTCCTGTTGCAATTGTAAAGCAAGTCGAAAGCATTTTTACGACATTCCCCGTTCAAGAAATGGTTCATTAAACATGTAAATTCGTCAGTTGCGTCGACCTTCGCGTGGTCGAGCCTCTGAAAGCGATACGCGTAATCGTTTCTTGTCTTTCCCTTTTGTGGGCGATATTACTTGGTATCTCGTAAATTTACACGGTTACGCGTATTGAAATTACAAGTAACAGTAGCTAATGCACTCGAGGATACGATGAATAGGATACCGTTTCTTTTGCAAATTCTAGAAATGGTGTTGGATTTTTTATTTCAATTACTACACTCGAATAAAATAATAAATAATTTGATGGCACGAGTCAGACGAATGGGGATGAATCTCGCGAATTCGGGGTTACGCTTGTTGCGTGGGAAGACTCTCAATGACGTCACAGAATCAATACCAAAGTCTCAGTCGAACTACGTCACCGATGACACGTCCATCCTTGCTGGTTGACTCCGACTACTGGAAACCAGGGTACCGTGTCAACGTGCACCGTTCGTGGATTAACTAAACGTGCCTCTAATGCAATTTACCGACTCCACGTAGCCGAGAATAAGCTTGGAACAAGCTGAAAGCGTCGAATTACGAAGAAACCGTAATTGCACCTTTCCGCGGCACAAGGAGATTCCTAGCCAAGGTTAATAAATTTTGCAAATTGCAAAACTGAGCATAACCAAGAAAACTGAAAAGGGGGTTATGTTACTGACAACAAAACAGACACAATTTTTTGAATATTAACAGATTGACTGCCTTATTTTCCATTGCCTAAATATATTAGCGTGAAAAGCAGACAATGATTTATTGTAGACTACCAATTAGATGATTAACACTTTGTTTCATGAGCTACAGCTTCCTATCGAATGTTATATAAATAAATATATTCGTTATTTTAGACTATAAAGGTACAGATTCGTGATAATATCAATATTAAATATGTATATTCACAGACGAGGTGTAGGATAGACTGTATCTCATGAAAGTTGGTGACACACGAACTGAAATACCGGCCTGGTAAAAAGCTCGTGGATTTCGAGCGACCTCTTAAAGAACGGCGATCTTGAGAACTATGGCCAATTGAACTACTGGAATCGGTAGGGTTAGGAAACGTGGAAAAGTCTTTCTTCCCTTACATGGTGTACAAGACTGCTATTATCACAGACAAAGTATACGAGTAGACCTTACAACTTATGGACTTTCGTGGTTTAATCTGACTGCCATACCGATGTGAAAATTCGGAGGTGATTTTAGCGTCCTCTTCTCATGGATGGCGGTCAGTTGAGAAACTATTCACTCAATTAGTATTGATGGGCAGACAGCTGTAGTGTGTGTGTAAATACATATAAGATGGGATTGAAATTCATTTCTAAATCTGTTGATAATGTTGCAAATGACACGAAAATGGTAATGGGGGTTCGAGACCCCATAAAAATGGGCCGAAAGATCTACTCTTATACTCTTAGAATCTTTGATGAATCAATGAGAATTAAAACTAACCTAGCCAAGAAGCTCTATATTCATGATGACCTATGCAAGGCGGATCGCAGCCAATTTGCTAATATTATTTAGATTTTAATTAATAATTGCATTACCCAGCTAAGAGCGATACGATTATTAATTAAACGATAAATAATATTACCCAGGTCTCACCGCGTGGAGGTTGCTGCGAGTGGAGACCCGAACGGAGATAGATGGAATAGATGGATATGGACAAAAGCACAATATATACAATAAGCAACATTTAAGACAAGGATCCAAACAAATGAAAACGTGGAGAAACGATAGATCGAAGCCCAGCAGACATTTTAATGTTGAAAAAGAAATTAGAAAGAGGAGAGGCGGAACTACTGATCACTAATGGTCAATATTGGTCAGCAAAGTTGACCAGTGCTCGACCAGTGGTCAGTAGTGGTGAGAAAAGGTGGAGCGCAGAGCTACGAGGTTCCGCCACGTCCGCCAGCGCCGAGAAAGAGAGAGAGAGTGAGCGCCCGTCACCGGCAGTTAGCCTCAGGCAGAGGAGTCGAAGGGGTGGGGAAGACCGTCCTTGGCGAGTTCGCGAATCAATTAACAGTTAAACGTGCCTTTGACCGAAAAATGAATATTCTACGCACAATGGTATTAAAACAATTATTTATACAACCCACGCTATCGAGCATTATTTAACTATTGCCCGATGTTAATTAATAATTATTGCAAACAATGGGTATGAAAATATGGAGAAATTCGAGGAGACTGAAAGTTTCTTTGAATTTCTGTCGAGAACCAAGGTCGTACATCACGTATCTTCGATCTTCTGTCCTTTATACGATACTTTACTTTTTTTATCAGTAAATTATACAGGATTTTAACAAAGATACGTGGGTAACAGGGATTACCAGGTCTCGACACAGACGAGGTATGCTTCATCAGCCACAACGCTGGAGGTTGGTCACCGTGGGGTGTTAGCTGGTAAAAATTAGACACTACCCCTCCCCCTCCCCCTATTTAGGGGCCTAGAGGTGTCCATGGGGATTTCTTTGGGATTCGGTCAGGACGAGTCTCCATTCGCGGTGAGACCTGGGTAATATTATTTAGCGTTTAATCAGACCTATTCCGTATAATCTTTTATTTTGATTCCTTCGAAAATACAGAAAGATTTGCAAGCAAAGTTGTATTCTAACGCGTCTCTTTCGATTCCTGTCTTCTGTGTAAATCATTTATTCGAAAATATTCCGAAGTATACATATATCTCTTTTGTCATTTTTTTTTTTTTAATAAAAACACATTAATTAAGCTAATCTCGCGTTGTCCCTTAAAACGATCGTCGAGTCACCGTTCAGGGAGCAGCCTCGGCGATCGTTCGTACCGATTCTGCCGATACTAAAGCACAATTAATATGGCAGAAGCGTGTTTCTAATGTAAACGTATTCGCGTACAAATATTATCGATAATAACTTAACAGATAATCGCGTTACGCTGCTCCGTTTCAGAGCGCAGAGGAAGCACAACGCGAATGGAAACAATGGCAAAAATATTAATCGACTCGATTGTACGCGAATAAGATATGAAATTAAATAGATAAAAATGAAACGAATGATTCTTCATCGAGGAATTTACAACAATCTAGGATTGAAGCGGCCCATGTGAAGTATAAGGCCAGTCGGGTTGTGTCGTACGAAATAGAGGAACGGTTGGTCCAATTTCAGTCTGGGTTTGTCTTCCGATCTCTCGGTGTTTCTTATCGACCCCCTCGTTGGAACAGTGCGATAATTCTTTGACGGAACATCGGGCATCGAATCGCCCTCTAATTTCTCTTCGTTTCGAGAATTTCGCAATGAGGGACTAGCTGGATAAATTTCCACGTGGTGTCGTCCATTACCCACGTTTTCATCGCCGCACGTGCTGAACAGATTCATCTGAGAAAGGTTTGAGAAGTTTTCGCAAAATTAAGGACAACTATAAAAGGAAGGCGAATGGATATTTTAATAATTCGGGAAAATAAAATACCTGTAAAACATCTGATAGAAACAGTCGATTCCCGATTCCTCCGTTGATACCTTTGAAATCGGCGTCGCTGGAGAATAACCGATCGAGACCCATTCGTTTCAAGGCGGCGGTGGCGTTGACTACCGACCGATGACTGAACTTCGGTATCTGCAGTTCGAGACCGGGCCTGGGTATAAGAACCTTGAGAAGTTTGTTCCAGGTGCCATCACGGAACGCATCTTTAACGAGCCTTTGCTCGAGACGATCCAACGTGTCGCCTGGTGCAACGTGGCCTTGTTGTCCGGGCAGCAAGAATATCGTCGAAACGAGCTTATCAGCGCCACCGAGAGCCACGGCGGTGGCGTCCAAACTAGGTTCATAACCTATAAATTTTCACGGTTGAATATGCGGCGTATTTTGATATCAGGAGTAAGATTTGCACAATTTACAACAGCATGAGATGTTTGATTCCATATTTAAAATTGCAGAACGCGTAAATATTATTTTTTAATAATATTCTATATTTCTAATTTAAAAAAAAAATCGTATTATAAGTTAATCGTCAACATGAAAGGTATCAATAAATATACATCAATGCCCATAAATCTAGTGTTAAAAAAAGAAACTAACCTGCAAGCACGTTCGATCGCCAAACGGTAGCCGGGACCGGGATCAATTTTCTCAATCGATGGGCGGACGAAACCGCGAAGTACAGCTCCCCGTCGCGACCAGTGGTGCTGGCCACGCTGGTGTTGCAGTCCGTTTGGAACACGTTCGCCGAAATGGCGGCCAGCGGCGACCTCAACGGAACCGCGTTGCTCTTCACGAAATCCTTTATCCTGCCTCCGGTCTGCTTTCTGATCAGCAGATTGGTTCGACGTCGCGCGAGGTCGCTGATGGTGGCGAAATTCATCTCGGCCACCAAGCCTTCGTAAAACTGCTGCGCCTGTTCTTTGTAGAACGGCAACAGTTTCCTAACCTTAACCTTGTCGGCGAACAGCTCGCGTACGAACGCCGCGTTCGCGATGCCCTGATGCCTCGCCAGGCTCACAGCGTCCGTCACGTTCTGGAAGATCAGATGTGGATTGAAGGTGGCCACGTTGTCCAACCCTAGGACTTCGTTCATCTGTTCCGACGTGGACCCCCGCGCGCCCAAGAATATCATCGCCAGCATGCTGATCATACCAAACGGAGAGAGAGCTAGAGATCTCCCGGTGCTCAGTCCCTTGTTCGCCGATATCCAAAATTTAAACGCCAGCTCGTTGCACAGCCTGGAGAAATTCACTATGTCCATGCTCGCGTTTCTCGTGCTGGTGTCCAGTCCATTGGTGCTCTTAGAGGCGTTCAACGACACCGTCGCATCGGCCTCGCTCGACGGGGTGGTCGGCGTCGTTTGCAAACGCGTTCCCGTCGTCGATTCCGATGCTACTGTCGGCTTCTTGGTCGTCGTCGACCACGAAGCCGTCTGGTGTTGAGGTATCCGTTGCCATTTGTCGTCCGCGTCGACGTCAGTGGCGTTCAGCTTGCTCGAGCTAGATGGTTTCGAATGTCCAAGCGTATGATGAGGCGTCGGGTGCTCGGGTTTCGTCGTCGTGCTCTCCTGGGACTCCGCCGGTCTTTTGGTCTCGTTCTTTTCGGGCTCGTCGAAGCTCGCGTTTCCGTTCGACTCTTTTATATCGACGGCCGGTAAGTTGGTCGTCGTCGCGATCGATTCCTTCGCGTTGGTCGCTGATTCCTCCTCCACGGAACCCACGGTTGTCGCGTCGATCTTCGAACTTTGGATCGTCTCCTTTCTCTCGAGTTCCGACTTCTCTTTCGCCGGAACTTCCGTTGTACCTGCGTCCATTGGGTTCGAGGTTCCGACATGAACGAGATCCAACGGTTTCTCGATGTCTGTCAAATTCTGAACGTTCGACGGTTTGTCGTGACCAACAGTCGTGTCGCGTACGACGGTTTCGTTCGCGTTCTCCGTCGATGGCGTTCCAACGAGATTCTCCTCGGATTGCGTCACCGAAGTTGTGTCGTCTTTCTTCAACGCTTCCAAGGGAATTCTGTCCGGCCGCGAGACCACTTCCGCCATCTCTGTGCTAGATACATTCTGTTGGTTCTCCACCGTAACGCCGGAGACTTCGACAACGTTCGTTGAGTTTTCGATGCTCAATAATTTTATCGTCGTCGTCTCGTAAACGGAGCTCGACGGAGCTTCGTCTCGATCCGTAACGATCCGCGAGGTGGCGTCCATGACGTACGAGTCGGTCGTTGGCATCGAAGTCGTGCTTTTCGACACGGTCGACGGTTCTACTTTCGTTTGAGGATATTCTACGCTCGTAACGGACACGGTTCGTTCAGTCGTTTCCAACGCTATCGTTTCATTTTGCACCTTCTGTTCAGACGCTTCCAACACAGTCTCGTTCGTTGCATCTGTCTCCACCGCGTCGACGATTGGTAAAACAGATGTCGCGGTTTGCGTCTCGAGCACCAGCGAAGTAGTCGATTTCGAGCACGGAGTTACGTCTATGGATGCAACCTTCTCTGGCAACGGAGTCGTGTTTTCCGTTGCATTCGAGACGGTGGTTCCGAAACCAGCAATGAGCGCGCTCGCCAGAGTTTTGGTCGGAAGGTTCTCCAGCGAAATGTTTGGTAAAACGATCGCCTCCGTGACGGGAACGTTCGCCTCGGTGGAGACAGTTCGAAGTATATCTTCGACGATCGCCACCGATTCGACGCTAGTCTGTTGCCCGGCGTCCGACATCATCATGGTGGAATTAGAACTCGCGATTGTGAGGTTCGTTTCTGACGACTCGAGGGGACTGGACATCGTTACTTTATCCGTAGTTTCCGAGATAGAGGTAGAAGGACTTGAGTCGATCATTTCCGTCGCGTTTACCGTGTCCTGACTATTCGTTGAAACATCGACGTAGCTCGTCGTTTCTTCGAGGGGCGTCGAACTCGTCGAAGCTACAAGGAAAACTGGAGCAACCGTGGGAAGAATTTCATCCTCGACTTGGAGTCTCATCGTTGTACCAACGGTGGATTCTTGAAGGGGTTCTTTGAACGTCGTATTCTCCACGTTGACTGGAGGTCTTTCCTCCACCATCGTGGACAATCTCACCGTCGTATCGATCATCGTTGCCATAGTGGTCGTACTTGCCTCTGAACTGTTCTTGCTTTCCTCCTTCATGATCTGACGAGGCGGTTCCAGGTCGCCTGACATGGTCAAAACGGAAGAGGCGGGTCCCTCCGAGATCTGATTGATCATGCTCGACAGAGAGTTCTCCAACTCCGCGGATAACGGTTTCAAAGGCTGCGTGAACTCCAATTCGCTGGACTTCGTTACCGCATCGTACGCGATCGACGACTCTGTTTGCAAGCGCGTGGAGGGCTTCTCCGTGCTGGAGACAAACATTGTTGTGAATGATTCGTTGACCGACGTCTCGACTGTCTCAGACTCGGTAACCGATACCGGTTTGGTCGTAAGATCAGTTTCCAAATCCTCGTTGGTCCAAGTGCTGGTTGGCTTTATCTTTGTTTCCGTGGTCGACGGATGAACGATTTCTTCAGTGACCGAGACCTTCGAATCAGACGTTGTGCTAGCAACCTGCGTGCTATCGTAATTGTCATTTGTGGGCGAGAATGAGGATGGAGGAGCGTTGGACGTCGTTGATTCGTAGGTGGTCATAGACACGGGAATCTTATCGCGATCCTGACTCTCCGCGAACGCATTCTCCAGAGGCACCATTTCGGTTATCTTCTGGAAAACGAGACTGCTCTGAGTGGTGTAGTACATGGTTTGGGGTTTTTGCTCCGCCGTGATAACTGGCACCGGTATCATCAACTTCTCCGTGTACGAAGCCGTTGGGGACTCCGAAGTGGTCGTTAAAAGAGGCTCTTGCGTTTTGTTTCGCTGGCTAATCGGTTCTTCCTTTTGCTCCACGGATACGGAGTCGCCAGGTTGCTCCAGCGACGAGACGACCGTGGTATTCAGTCTCGATAAGTCTGAGGGGGGACTCCGGACGGTCGTCGTGGCTTCTTCGACGCGATGAGGCTCGTCCATCTTGTCCCCGTACTTGTCGCCTGCCAAAATGGCGGGCAAAATGTTGCTCCACTCGACGTTCACCTTGTCAGGTACAGAATTCGGGATGGAGCCCGTCAACGTCGATGGTTTGTCCATTGCGCTCTTCAGGACGCTTTGCACCTTCTCAACAACGTCCATTACCTAGAAATATTCACAAATTGATGTTAGAAACATAGCTAAAGTTTCCAACGTTATACAATAGTCGTTGCTTGTAATTAGAAATCGAGTCTCGGAATTTATGCAGCACGTAAAAGTAAGACAACCTTCTTTCCACCAGTAAGGATATCTTCAGCCTTCTGGGGCTCTTGAATCCCTATGTTAGAGTGATCCGGTCCTCCGGCCGCGATCAGAGCTTGTATCTCTTGCATGGTCATCTGTTTCGTAATCATCTCGCCTCTCTCGTTGTACGTGTAGAATTGGAATCCATCGGGTTTCAATAAATTAGCCGGCGAAGGAGGCAATCGATAGAAGTTTACGCCTATCGAGGCTGGCGAACTGTTGATCCCAGTCGAACGTATCCCGTTCTTCGCATCGTGATGCTTCGGGACCACCGCCATCGACTGGACCACGCTGAAAATTGTAAAATACTCCCTAGAAAGCTGTCGCGATTTTTTTAAATTTTAATTAAAATTAAACTTAAAATTTAAATTAAAAAAAAAAAAAAAAAAAAATAAGGTATTTATGTCTTTGTTAGTCGTTGGCAAAAAAAGCTGTCGCGATTTTTTTAAATTTAAATTAAAATTAAACTTAAAATTTAAATTAAAAAAAAAAAAAAAAATAAGGTATTTATGTCTTGGTTAGTCGTTGGCAAAAAAAGCTGTCGCGATTTTTTAAAATTTAAATTTAAATTAAACTTAAAATTTAAATTTAAAAAAAAAAAATTCCGGTATTTATGCCTTTCTTAGTGGTTGGCAAAATTATATTTGAGCAAATTTAAAATAATTTGTGTCGATGCAAATTTGCTTTTTAGAGCAATGTTTAAAATTTGACACTTCACACGTAACGGTAATATTTTATTTGTTAATTTCTAGCGCGGTGTACCCTGCACCGAGGACGAGGTTGAGAAACAGCGAGACAGAGTCGAGAGTAGTGGGGGGATAAGACCGAGGCTGTTCGAGAGATCAAAATTACGAGAACCCGGAGAGACAGTACGGTACATCTCCTCCAGACAGGCTGTTTCCCTCTCTTTTTTTTTTCCGGCTCGAACGGACGCCGCGCGTCCAGGCGCAGTTAACAAAATACTGACCTAGATTTTAAAAATTTCCTAGGCGTTAAAACGGTAGTGCGCTCCAGAAACGGCCAGCCCACGCTGGTACCTAAACACGTCCATAGCACTAGTGTCGTCAGTGTCACGTGAAACCGTTTCAAGGACATTATTCTGTTGCTCCTCCTTACGTCGAGGTGATCTGGAAGCAAGAATCGGTTGGAAAGCTTATCGAGAAACGCGTATTTCCATATAAAACCGATAAAAGCTGGGACGCGAGGCGATGCGAAAAAGGGCTACACGACCGCCAATGGCCATGTACGAGCGGAAAAATAGATCGAAAGAAAGACAGAAGCGACAGACGAGTCCGTCTTCTTTTCGGTTAACGACCCTTCGATTCCTTGCTACCCCCTTACGGGCCATCGCCTTAACATGACGACCGGTTTTCCGTCGCGTTGTAAATCGCTTAGTAAATGCGATACGCGCGTTCGACTGCAAATATTTAACAAATACGCGCGCGGCTCGTTCCCAAATCGAATATCAATTTATTTAATCGATCTGATTGTTAACACACAGCGGGTCGATTTTCACGATGGACCAACATCGCATATTAAATTGTCCCACAGGTACAGTTCGACATTCTTTAACTGACAAAAATTAAAATTTGTAAAAAATAAAAAAAACCGTTTTCCTAACCTATTCAATAACTAGAGATGAAACATGAATTTTCAAACTTTTTACTGGATAAATAATTTGGAAATGTTAGCACAAAGTTAACGAAGGATGAAAGATGTTTTATAGCGACGATATAATCGCCGTAAAAAAAAAGGAGAAGAGAGTCGTAAAAGGGCGAAGAGTTTGGTGACATTCCCGTGTCCTATTACGCGTTAGAATGTTTGTAAACACGAGTGTCTGCGTCCAATATCGACCGGCGTAAAATTAACTTTCCCGTGATACTGGAGGAAACGGACGGGCAGAATTACAGAAATATCTTATCAGGATCTAAGGTCCAACGAAGCTAACACGGAGCGAAATACGATACATTGGGCATATGGCTCTCGAACCGCGATGAACCCATCAAAGAAACGGATTTACGATTGAAACGAGTCCATCGAGAAACTACACTTTCGTATTTTATTTTTTACCGGGGAAATTGGATGGTAAACTTCTTCCAACTCTGGTGAAGTTTTTGAGAAATATAAAGATTACGACGATATCCTATTAGGATGCCTCGAACACGATACACGGGGCATATGCGATTGGTACAGATAAAATAGTCTTGTAGATTTTTTTCTATTCCGTTACGGTATATACCGGATCGAAAATGGGCGTAAATTATAGAAATATCTTATTAGCATATGTGCAGAGTTGGAATTAAATTAAATATGATAAGATAGAGTGCATGTACCAATATCGAGCAAAAGTTAATTGCAATTGACGATTGTTCGATCAACTGCTGCATTGGAACTTTGTACTTGGATAAAATTTGTAAACGAATATAACAGAAAATGGTAAAAAAAAAAAACTATCGCGTTACAAGTGGCGCGGAACGTAACACGATACGTAGGGCGTACGTGCCCCTCGTACCGCTGCGAACGAGCGAAAAGAAACGGATTCCCGGGAGTGAAACGAGCTCATCTTAAATCGGTGACCGTGAAAAGTCAAAGACCGAATTCTGACCGGCGACGGGCCGCGAGATCTGTACGCGTTAGTTGGGCCAATATTCCGATACTAGATACCTCAATAGTCTCTGACGCGTCGACGAATAAGGGGCATGTGTTCCTCAACGAGAACCGGCGTGTTTGCGCTCGCACTGTCTTCCGTGTTTTTTTTTTCCTTCACTTTTACTATCGGTTTCTTAGGTTATCTCAACGATTATCGCGCTCGGACATCGGTGGTCCGGTGACACGGCGGCGAGGATACGAACGATGGTTGTTGTCTAATCCTCGGGACGAGATATGGCAGCGACAATCGACCCGGCTACCCCGATTCGGAAGCAGTGGATCCGATCGATATTTCTTCCGGTGTTTGATGGTGTCCTCGCGAACGTTCGTTCTTCTTTTTTCCCACCTTTATTCGCGCGTTCGTCGGTTCTTTTATACCGTTCTCTTCTTATCCTTTTCGTGTGTTGCGAGAGAGCGTGCGCCGCCCTTCTTCCCGTACCACCTGTCGTCGTTTCCACTGTCTCCTACCTTGGATGAGCGCGTACTGCGTGGCGCTCGAATCCTTCGTTGAGACGAGTGCATCGGACTGAGAAAGAGAAGCGATATCGTAGAGAGGGGGCAACCACGGTCTTCGTTCTTTTCGAACGAAAAGATGGGGAAAGGGTGAACCGGGAGAGCCGAGAGATGTTGGCCGGAACGGTTCACCGTGGGGGGACAGACGGACGTCGGAATATATGGGAATATACAGGGTGTTTCAGAAAGCTGGCGCCAAACTTTAGGGGCATGCGACACGGATTTTCCGACAACGACGAAACTTTCAATCGAGATAAAATGGAAACCAGAGGAGATCTATTTTTATTTTTATGCACACGACTTGTACATTACGCGTGAAATGCAATACCGTTTCAACGACCACCACGATTGTGTTTACTTCGAGATCATTGACAATTTGTGGTTAGGTGGTGCATCTTGGTGGTCGGTCGACGACTGCATTTCAAGCTCAATGAGATGATAGGTTTGGTGCGAGCGTGACACGTGGCACCATCTTGTTGACACCACATCTCGGGCACATCAAATTCGCGCCAAAGAAAAGATGAAATCATCGAACGGTAACACTGACTGATAATAATTTCTAGTTTTTCTAGTATCAATGTTAATTTTGTTTTTTTAATGTATATATATTAAATAAAAGTATATCTAGATTGCAATTGTGATTATATTTTTTATAACTATAAAAACTATATTGTTTACCCCCCTTTAATAGTTTCTTCAAAGCTACTAGGTGTCTACCTGCAACTTATCGAGCAAGTCGTCAGGTCGAACAATTTAAACACAATACGCATTAGCACTAAGTAGATGTACCGATGTCATTCAGCTGCAGTAACGGAAGAATATACGTTGTCACTTTGGTATTACAGCGTCCGTGACCGTGTACACAGTGACGGATCTAGAGGAGCTCAATGGATGGAAGGAGGGGGGCTAACAAAGAAACGCGAAAAATATTCGATGTTTCTAGAATCTAGAATAGAAAAAGTTGAATTGTTCGAGCTTTAATGACTGGTCAACGTTTGTCAACGGATAGAAAAATTGCTCGAAGGGATTAAAATTCAGATAATAGATGTTTTTAATCGTTAGGGGGAGGGAGGTTCAAGCCCCTATAGCCTCCCTCGTATTCACCATTACTTATACAGTTATTAATTCCTCAATTTACCTTTACATTATTTAATTATGGTTCGTGCTTACGCGAATTCTGAAATGACGGACACGTTAAAATTATTGTCGAAACGAATGGAGGTCATATCGGACGTATACTATAGTCCAGTGGTTCTCTACCTGTCCAAAACGCGACCCAAATTGCACAATGGAACATTGGACTGTAACTAATTTGACAAACATTTACGTTTACTAATTTACGAAAATTAAACTTAATTTAATTTATATTATCGATCAATTTTTTCACGGAAAATGTAAAACCTTTTAGATACGTGATAGCTATAGGTTGAGAAACACTGCTGCAGACTAGTGTAAACACACTTAATAATTATACCAAACAACACTTATCTTGGGGCACCCTCGATAGCTGTTATTTTAAGTTTTAAATTTCATCGTGATCCCCTAACCCATTTTTCCGTGACACAGAGACACGACCAAGTTTCATTCGTAATTGTTTATTACTTACCCACGTGTACAGTCTATTCTGAAAAATGGACAAAAGTTTCATTGTTTTATTATCGGGTGAAAAAAATAATAATAACGAAAATTAGATTAAAAACGATATTTACAAGACTGTGTTACACGTTTGCGCAGAAACGGAAATGCGAGTTGAGCACAGTCGGAAGCGAGGTGAGCCACCTGTTGGTGATTCAGAATATATATGTTACACTCTTCTCTTTCACTTAATGTATAAATGTTCTCAAGAAAACGCGTAATTCTTTTTAACTTTCATTCAACGTACCGAATCGAATTTTAGTACGCGATAGAATGCTTGAATCGACCAAACCAACCAACGAAACATTAACTTAACCCTTCAAGTCCGATGCCCGTACAATGTACCGATCTAGAAATCTTTGTTCTCGGTCGATAGTTAATTATTGGGCGGAAAGCTGCGCTTTATCATTCGAGATCAAAAGTCGTGTCGTACCTAAAGGGTTAAAGGAACGGTTGCAACGACGGTCGGAAAAATACAATCGTGTTTCTGGCCGTATCTGATGAACATGTTTGCACATCCAGCCGTACATCTATTTATATTATTCTTCCATAGATATTGCAAGTATACAGACTTTTCTTACGATGTCGCCAGCATTAAAACCAGAAGTATCAATCGTAAGTGCATGTCCGCCACTGTATATCGACACACGGGGTGGAGGGGGAGAGAAAAGGAAGAAGGGATATAGTATGAGGTCGAAGGACCAGCGTGGAACCCGGCCGAACGAATAAAAGGAGATGAAAACAGGGAACGGAAGGAGAGATTACTCGGTCGGTGCAATAATATTTCGGAACCGTGGAATGCAACGGTGAGAGAGTTTCTCGCGATCGTGCGCTAAAAGTTTCGAGCTTCGACAAAGTGATTAACCGGTATCTATCGATTTTTATTTGTTCGATGCTTCACGATGTTATGTACGGGGTCTTCGATTCACGTTTTCCTCGGCCGGACGAGTTTCGAGCTCGATCGGCGACCACGTCTCGGAGAAAAACATCGAACGGTTCCGATTAATAAATCGCACAGTGGCACAGTGGACCAGATATTCAACATTTAGCAGTTCGAATAAATTCTCTTAAACAATTGAAATATATATTCCCTACATTACCAACTCGTTCAACTCGATAGGTTATGAAGCAACATAACCAAACAAATTCCATCGAAAATTTCACTGACCTCATCCATATACTTTGGAGATTTTATTAAATTTTCTTTAATTTAGTTTCATAAGGAATTTAAATTATTCTAGGTTAGATGATAGTTCTTCTATTAGATTTAAAACGAATGATGGAAATAACCAAAATCGACTGGGTTCATTTGCGTATGATGTAAACAGTTCGTTAGAAGAGTTTCTAATCAGAATGATGAAGTAGGAAATGATTCTCGCCTAATTATACAGGGGAAAGTGTGTTGGAAGTATTCTAATTTGCAATAACGCGGAACTATTTGGGTCTCGAAAGATATTGGCGTTAATGCAGGGAGCAAGGAATGAGTTTCTTTTATCTAGTGCTTTTATTACTGTGCGTGATCGCGACTAGTAACTTTCGAATACGGTCAGAAGCAACACCAAACTTTTTGGTGTACGATTTTACTTGGTCAACAGACACACGACGATTAACGGTACATCGACCGAATAAATTGCTTTCTTGATGGGTATATTCGTAACGTTGCCTGGAATTTCGGGCAAAACGTCGCTTCCGTGAACGTGGTTTTTGCCCGTATTTGAATTAGGTCCTCGGAACGTCTCGTGCGATTCTTTTTCTATGCCAATTCGAATAATCGAATACAATTTATGTACTATTCGTATACTCGACCATTAGAATACTATCGGAATATTTAAATATCAGCTGCATTGATCAAGTAACTGAACGTTCGTAGTATTTGAATAATGTGATAGTAGAATTTGTAATTGCTTTGCAGAACTGCAAATTAACATCGCAGATATGACAAAAACGGTTACAAAATACTGGCTAGAAACGTTGTATATTTTGCTCGTTAAGGACTTGATCGATTCAGTTTACCATTTTTCTTGTCAACGAATAAATGGTTATTCATTTCGAGCTCTGAGTATACTCATTTGGTATTCATGTATCTACGGCAAGTAGAATATATATGTATACGGTAAAAAAAGGAAGAAAAGATGACACGATTCGCTTACACGCGTGTACATTATTCCTATCCACGATTGGGAACATCGCTGAACGATTAACGGTATACGTTTATTCTGTTTCCCTTTCCACTCCATCTTTCGACTGTTTTAAGAAATATTTGGCCGGCGGGTCCCGTTCAAGGATCGCGAAGAGCATCACGGGAGGAAAATACACGGAGGCTCCGTTAGGAAGTTCCCCGAGACCCAATCGCTTACGCGAAGTTGTTTTAAGTAACGTTATCTCTCGAGTATCTGTTTAACGTCTATCGATCGTTGAACAGATACTCGTTCGACCAATGACACGAGACACGAACCGATACCATAAGACTATCAGAAAATAGGAATTATTTATTATTAGACTGTGAATGTTTTTGCAAACACATATCTTTACAAATTACAGGCAGAAAAATGGGACTTTGTCCTAAATAATATTAATATTCTTTATGAGAATATCTGCTAGGAAAACGACGTAAAAACGACAATAGCGGTTAGTAGCGGTACGCTGAAAGTGTAACGGTTATTAATGCGCTCGAAGAAACCGAGAAAATATGCCTCGTTAATTTTCCCTGTCCAGGTTCATCCTCGACCATTTTCTCAAATTATACTAATAGATGTGTTCGATATTTTCCGAGCTAATAGTTGATTGAGCGTTGTTCAGATCGTAGCAATTAAATATCGTACGAATAATTGAGGCTAACGAACCGTGACACTCGTATTCAAGAAATTTCGCGTTCGTTGGGCATCGAATCGGGACCAATCGATGAAAACATCCTGAAACTGAAAGGAAACTTTCGTAGAATCAACTTGGACAACATGAACGTGCAAATGATAAATCTCGAAGAAGAAGATACGCATTTTATAGATGGCAGCGAGTACAATGGCACATGGAGCACACTCGGCATGGACGGAGTCGGCAAATTCTGTCTACCCCACAGTTAATACGATTTACGAAAAACTAACCTAAAAATATGCATATTTTCTAAGTAACAGATAGCTTCGTGTCGTCAAATATTTCGATAATTAGACATCTTAACAATACTTAGTTGGCAAAAATATTAATCATAACTAGACAAATTTTTCTTTTTAAATAAAATATCTATTTTTCAAATAACACTCATATTATGAACCCTATCAGTCTTCTAATTAAAAGTGGCAGAGAACTTGCTAGCTTATAAACCTAACCTCACAGTTAATAGGATTTACAAAAAACTAACCTAAAAAGGTGATACTTATATCATAAACCCTATCATACTTTTAATTAAAAGTGACAGAAAGCTAGTGGCCATCGTATAGACTAAACAGAATAAATTTCGAATGGTTTATCCATTCCCTCGACTTTCGACGAGAAAGTTTTTGTGGTTGACTGTATTAGGGGTGACCGAGGAAAAGAAAGGCGGGAACGGGCACGCGTACGAATCGGTGAGACGTCGCCTATGATTTTTCAGACACTTAAGTTTTGTAATGTACCGGTGGACGAAAACGGGGACGACAAGGTGTGCATACACGCTAACGCCAATAATTCTGTCTACGAGTTACGTTATGCAGGGGCACACGTACTGGTTACGAGCACGAGAGACATCGAGCATTTCTCGCGCGTAAGTCGACGGCGTACCGTTACGCGCGACCATTTCGGTTACTTCGTACTCTACAGTTCGTACGCGTTTTTCATTTACCGATAGTTCGAGAATCCCGCTCTCAAAATACGTACGTACGTACTGTTCGACGTGCGAATCTCATTAAGGTTATAAAAGCTCGTGCCACGAATAAATGGAACGAGAGCACATTCTCTCTTCCCCCCTCCGCCGACTTTCACGATGATTTTTCGCACCTGCGACTCTCGTGCTACCGCCTATGTTCCAGCCTAACTACAGTGGCCCTCAAAAGTGTTCCCGTACACGGGAACGAACAATTCTCGAAACAGAACTAACAGGGGGGCAAATTCGAAGCGATAATCAGTCAACACTACAACTACCAAAGCAGTCAAAATGATTCATAATTTTCAATAAAATTTGTAACAAAATTACTCGACTGAATTTCTGAAAATTTACCACAATTTTCTACGAAAGAATGAACGAACAGTTATTTCCATTGCATTATACATTTCTTCGCGTATCTATCGTTTTAAATACACTATAATTGTTGATAGTTCTAGTGTTAAGAGAAACCAACGTAGCAACTATGTAATATGGGAGTCTACGATCAGAACTTTCGATCGTCGTGGCCGCCATATTTGTTGTTACGCTTACAAGTGCTTCTATCAAGTTCGATATCGAGGTATCGATTTTTACTTTATTCGTTTGCCCGCGATAGGCGCCGTATTTGAAGGGGAGTTCCGCGATGGCACGTTTCACGGCCACGGTAGCATGTATTGGCCTCGGGGGCAAAGAATGGACGGTATTTGGCACCAAGGTGAATGCAAAGAGAAACGATACACATTTAACGACGGTTTGGTCTTCCGGAAACAAGGTTGGGAGTACTGCAAGTTTCCCGACAGACGGTTAGTAAAATGCACACTTTCAGAAATCGTTCTTAACAATTAATTAATAATTAATTAATTCAGTTTGATAAGAACTATTTGAAAATAATACAACCTTCCATTTTTGAAAATCTGGGGAATCCTCCTTCCACCTAAAAATTCTAAACAATCTTAATTTTTGTTTAACGAAGAAATATTTCTTTTAAGTGACACTAGTTTTAGAGAAGATCGTGTAGATCGATTAAAATTGAACACCCTGTATGGATGGTCAAAGATGTGTTAAGGTAACTTGCCTTCTATTGACTCCTTGAAGTTGAAGAAGCACGAGAAGACTGACATTGAATCTTAAACACAAGCTTATGTCTGGGTTAAGTTAGGACTTCTCTTCTGGAGATCAGAAGACAAATAAGGAAGAGCGTCGAGCGGTCTCAACGACCACTTTTATTCTACTTTTCGATTCTTCGGCATCGAGTCACCTTCAGAAATCTACAAATATGATAATAAAATTGATAAGATTAATTATACAAAGCAAATAACATTTTCAACCAAAAGGTTGTGAAGCGATTAAAAAATTGAAATTTTTTGGAATACCAAAATAGTATTAAACAACCTGATATAAACCACAGAGTCTCTAGTTGAATAAATAATATCTAATAGATACCACGTATGCGTGGAACGCGGATTAAGGCCCGCTGGAGCAACATTGCGTACCAACCACGAAGAAGATATTACAATTCCGCCTACGTGTTACGATTCGGGTATTGGAATCTTTAATCCACGTACGCATTGTATCGTGTCCTATCGAAATTCGAAAAAGGTACACCGTGCAACAAAGTTGGGCGAAAATTTTATTTCACATTGTTACGAAAAAATACTTAAAAATTACAAAAATTTCTTTTTTCTAAAATGGCTAATTTCAAAAAGTCGAAAGCAAAGTTTTTTTTTAAGAAGTTAACCCAGTTTCTAAAAGCTTCAAAATAACCAAAAAACCTTGAATCGCGAAGGTACTGGAAATACCAACCGCGTCGATGGTTCGATGGATAAAAAACAATTGTCAAAAAGGGTGGGACCAGCCGACGGGGCATCGAGAAGATCTTTACGAAAATTGGTTCTCCAAAAAGATCGATTCAGAGGCACTCTTTCCTGGATTGCTACCGTTTTCGAACGACTCCCCTGAACCCTGGTGGAAAAGGTACGAACGAACGAGCCGTTCTTCATGAAAACTGTGTAAAATCGATTAAGAAAAAGGGAACCAAACTTTTTACAAGCAATGGTCAATTATTTTTCTATAATATGGAAATTTCTTTTAACCCCGAATCAACATGTTCAACTGTCCATGGGCCACATAGGGGTCATAACACGATATAGGGTGGTGCATGATCTGATGCATATGTCTAATGTGTGAAAAATGTTTAGTTCAAAAGCTTCAGATACTTTTATCGTTCACTTTTTTTTTTATTTATTATCAATAAATATATGTTTTATATTCAAACTTATTAAATTTATTAACATAATTAATTTAACATCCTGTCCTCTATACACTGTTTCAGTTAATTTAATGTTGATACAATAAGTCGCTTAAACATACTGAGAAAAGTCATTTGTCCGATTTATACTATGCACTCAACATTCTTTTACTATTTTCACACACGGTACAAAGATCATTTCGTTTCGATAGAAAATATATAATTTCGTGTTTGTAAAAACATTTGCTACTCGGAAGGCACAAGTTCCACTCCCGTTTCAATGCTTAGAGCGAACATTTGTGCAAGTCCACAGACTTTTTAAATTCGATAATTATAGAAATGGTGTCCATTTGTAATCTCGTAAAACCATATGTTTCTTCGGACGACGTTTATATTATTTAAATATTTTATAATATCGTCGATCACCAAAAGCATTTATCAATATTGTTCCATTCATAACGAACGGCTCAAATATTGAATAATTTTGTAACTTTATTTGCATCGTTTTCTTTTTCACTCTCCACTAAAGATTGACTACCTTTCAACGAGACGATCGTATCAAGAAAGAAGACAAACTGAGGAGTTATTGTCAGTGTGGAAAAACACTCTAATCGTCAACGAAAATCCACAATACTTAAAGAAAACGTTACGCCGCCGCAACTATATTTTTTCCGTTTAAAACGAACATTTGGTACTTTCTCATTTCTCTGACAATTTTGGTCACGATACGTAAATTGTGATTTTAATTAGTTCGTAAAATAGAAAGTTAAAAATGTTAAGAACGTGATAATGGAATTAGAAAACATTTATTATTTAATAACGAGGCTTTTTTGTTCCGTTACAACGCCCGAAGCATTCGCCTTTTGGTGCACGCGATATATCACGGACAATTTCTTTGGTATACACTCGGTAGTTTTACAAGCTATGATATCCAAAATCACGTGTACCTCGTGCGTTCCGCTTCCTTCGGAAACATTCATCGACACTGGACTCGAAAGATCCCCGGACCTCGACTTCGTCGTCCATTTCCCCGTTGATGGTAAACTCATGGTCCACGATTGAGGCGCGTCCGGGTTCAATTTCAAGTCGCTGTCGTGAAAAGTTACGACGAACGTAACGTTCAATTCGCCGCCATTTTCGCTGATGGTCGTATCAAAGAAATAAACGTTGTTCGTGCTGTCGTCCAATTCGATTACGGGGACTTTTATGGACAACTGAAACCGAATACGAATAAAACCACGTGTGATGGGACCGTTTGGCGATTTAGTTTCTATCTTTTTACAATAGATCCGCATAACAATTTACCGTGGAAATGCTTTCATTCTTCGTATCGATAACCTTGATGGCATGATTATTAGTGTCAGCCACGAACAGGAGATCTCCGTTTGAACCAACAGCGATGCCACTGGGTTCATCGAACTACAAAACACACGAAATTCGCGATCGTAAATATACACCAATCAACGTCAATGACTTTTTTAAAAAAACTTACTAAAAATTGTTTATTAGGTTTTCCGTCCCCGTACACGGTTTTACAATGGTCAGTCGTCCCGTCGATTCGTTTAATCTTGTGATTATACGTATCGGTTAAATAGACAACCTTTTCTTTCGGATGCCACGTTAATCCCAAAGGATGTTGAAGTTTAACGGTAAATCGAGCACCATCGGAATCCCCGTAATCGTGTAGATCCTGCGATATCAAGATTATCATTATTATCATTTATTATGGACGAGTTTAGTTTGCAACACAGGTTATTACCGATGGATTTTTATTTGCGCCACAAACAGCAGAAACTTGTCCGTTTTTCAAGTCTATGCATCTGACAGCGCTGCTCTCGCTGTCTGCGAAAAAGGCAAGCTTGTTCTCCTGAGCGACAACCAAACCAGACGGTTGTGCCAAACCAGCCGTGTGAGGATACGAGTTATTGCGATTCTCCTCCTTGCCGCTTCCGACAATGGCAGCACATGTACCAGCTTTGTACGTTCTGCAATGTTTCGAGGACAGAACAAGTTAAAACAAAGTCCTACGAATATCGAACAAATTGTCAACGTTACCTGTTCTTCCACCAAACGGTGTCCTCCAAGAAAAGCGCCCAAATCTGATGCGTACCGGCGACCGCGATCAACAATACGGGTATGGTACTTTTACCATTCTCGTAGTTGTAAATAGCTACATCCCATGGAGAAGACAAGCCCTGATCCTTCCCAAGTTTACCGCCGACATAGTCGTTGTCCTGAGAACCCGTACCAGCGACCGTGATTACAGTTTTCTTTATTAAATCTATCTGAAAACGATTTCACGCTAATCCAGAGCGACGTGTCGAAAATACGCATCGATTCTTTACCTTTCTAATCGCGTGGTTCTCGTTATCGGCAACGTAAATAAAATCGCCTAACACGCACACACCCTGAGGTGCATTGAACATAGCATTTTCGAAATCTCCGTCTCTGAAACCCGAATTAGAACTGCCTATGATATACTTCACGTTCCCTGTAACATCTGTCACCAAGATTCTATTGTTTCCGGTGTCGGATATCATCAGACTTTCTCCTTGTTCGCTCTGAAAAACCTCTACCTTGCCAGGAAACAAAAGATTCTCTTTCCCACCTGTGGGCAATAAATGCCTTGCCAACTGTAAAGGGAGATCTTTCTTTGATATTTGTTTTAACGATTTAAAGTAAGTTAATGCTACATTCGCGTATAGGAGCATTTCTTTTCTGTGTCCTTCTCCTACGAAAACAGCCAATGGTTCGCCCGAAGGACCTGGAGCATACAAGAGGAGTTTTTCAGCTGATAGTCTTTTGGAAAGAAAAGGATAGGAAGGAGCGTGTTTCACAAGTCTCATAATAATATATTATTCAATTTACCTATCATTATTATCGTTGGCCAACAAGAGATTCCTAAATTTCGCCATGTTGATAATGTTGTATCATTTACAACTGGATGCTCTATATTATACCTTTGTACAGCCGATAACAATCTCTTCGAATCGCGTTCGTTTGTAAACTTTGCACTATGTACACCGATCTAACAATAAACATTATTACTACATCTAGTTATTAGGAGACATTTAGGGTATATAGAAAAGAACTTACAACAACCAGACCATCTGTGACCGGAAACTGCTTTTCAAGAGCATCTAAATCTGGTAAAATGTGCATACAATTGATGCAACAGTAGGAAAAGAAATCCAAAAAAATTATCTTTCCAGCAAGATGTTGATACACAGATAATCCCTCTGTGACGTTGAACCATTCTAATCCTGACATATTCAAAAGAAGGAATTCCTTTGAAAATATTGTTACCATTCGACATAAGATAACTTCTACATCGAAGAATGAAAGAATAATAACTAACTGAGTGACATCGATGGTATCAAACGAATCATTCGCAGAGGATGAAAATAAATAAACAAACAGTATGCACAAGGAACCGTAGCAAAAATAAAAGAGATATAAGGAATAAGGACGATATAGATTTAATCTTCTTCCGGGGATAAACCGTAACGTAGATACAAGCTCTTAACTGTAGTTCTATTTGCTACAGCTATTTCCCCCATGACTGCCTGAGTTGCATCTTTGATATCATTGTACTTGTGCAATAATTCCATAATTTCTTCGGTGGAACGAAATTCTCTGTCCTGAATTCTCAAATCGGATAGCTCTCGATCGAGAACTGTCTCGAGTTCTTTGAGCTCGAGATACTCGCGTTTCTCCTCTTCCGTAAGAAAAACAGTTTCTTTACCGATCAAACCCAATGGTCGATTCGATTTCTCTACATTCGCCCCCCCAATATCTTTCATGTTTTGCTCCTTGGATTTCTTAGAGTCTCCGTTGCGCGACATTGGATACTATCACACAAGATATTTTTCACCTAACGAAAACCAGAGAGAACCGTTAAAATCTTTCTTGGGTAACCTCGATACACAGATTTCACTATGGTTACACGCACTAATACGGATTTACAAGTGACACGAATGCGATTCAAATTTATGCAAGAATCCGAATCAAAGGGAACATTTACCGGATCATCGTCAAAGGTTAGAAACAACAGATTACTCACTTGCTCGTCAAGAGTATTCGGAAGGATTTCGATGGTAATGAACGATCGATATCGATCGATTTATGAGCGTCGAACAAGCACACACGCGTTTCAATGCAACCGTACCTACCGTTCGATATGACAACAATTTCTTTTACATACACAACAAAACACTTGCATGACATGTAATTTATAGATAATCAAATATTAAAAACAATAACCTGTTTTGAAATCGGCGACTCGCAACCCTTTTCCCGCAAATGTTTTGATATGCTTTAATATTAATTTCTCTTGTTCCTTTCTATCGTGCGACGATTTCAGGCTACGGCGAATCTCTAAACAAATTTGCGTCAATTCGCCCACAGTGTCTCGCACGCTCATATTTCACTTTCTACGTTGGACTATACGCAGTAATGATCGACAATAAGCACCAAATTATGACTCAAGACGCGTTCGAACGATACTTCAGGACGAGGGGAAGAAGTGGAATGAAATCTTGTAGGAAGAAAGCAAAAAGGTTCGTAGGACGGACCGAGGCGTTCTGCGCATGCGCGTTGACAATCTTGTACAGTCTATTCAGACAAAGTATCCCATTCTAAAGGGATGACAGGGCTGTCGTAAAATAAGGGGTTTACTTTCTTATGGTGTAATTCAATGTAATGAAAGAATGCTATATTATACATTAGCTATAAAACATGTACGATTAATTGTTCTAAGAAAAATACTATGCAAAACCATTGATATGCATTCATTTCTTCAAAATTTTCATTTTTAAATATCATGATTTTGTACGGGGTGTAGAACCATTCGACTACAGCTTTGAAGAGTATATAAATATGTATACGGCATCAAAATAACATTTCACGTTAGATTTTTTACGAAATAATTTTCTATACGTTGGTGTATATGTAGTTATTATTTATACCGTTGATTCGGTAAACATTAATAAACACATGGAGCGTGGGTAGCAACGTCGATGATAGATTGCAACTAAATTTTATTAGAATTTGGTTAACATGACGTTCTGGTATCGCTGACATCGGATGTGTTTTCCTTCTTAACTCAATATTTTCATCGTTAAATAGCACATAAAAAATTATTGCAAAGTGCTGATGGCTAATCATTACGAAGTGCCCAATTGGTACGTGTGCAAACTTTCCGTTGGTATTTCTGAACGAGCGTTTAAACATTTCGGTGTCATCGCATTTCGATGTGCATCAGATATCATAGTTTACATAGGTTATGTTTTTCAGGGCTGGGAAGCCACCAGTGGGATTGCATTTAGACGTATTAAAAAATGATAAATTAATTCAGGTACAGTAATCGTGTGTTACATACAATAATTAAAGGATCATCTATCTCCAGAAAAGGGATATCAAGAACGGTAACTGCTTTGTTACAGAAATTAATGGTGGATGAAAAGAAATGCTATTTGTTTGGCCGCAATCAACAATTAAATGACTTTTGTATAGATCACGCATCTTGTTCTCGTGTTCATGCTGCCCTTGTTTATCATAAACATCTAAATCGTGCATTTCTTGTCGATTTGGGCAGCAGTGAGTATTTAAATAACAATGATAAGTAAACACAGATAATTTGGAAAAATAAACTGTTTCAAAGAAATATTTATATTATAAATTTTGATTTTCTTTAGCACACGGAACTTTTATTGGTAATATGAGATTGGAAGCTCACAAACCTACACAGTTACCGATCGATAGTACATTTCATTTTGGAGCTTCTACTCGTTATTATATCATTAGGGAAAGACCACAAACAGGCACAAGACCTATTATCGAGGAATTAGAAAAACTGTCTGAAGATATAGATGCCGGTGGTTTATTAGGTTTACCAGAAACAGAGACAGAACTTGATGTATGTGGACATTAAACAATAAACTGATTTTAAATTATATTAGAACGTGCGGTAATAATCGTATGATTTATTACAGAATTTAACAGAATTTAATACCGCGCATAATAGACGTATATCTATGCTGGGTATAACGGACGATGAGATACACAAACAAACGAGAAAACGAAAGAAAAAGGGGATTACTTTCAACGATGACGAGGAAGTAATAAACCCGGAAGATGTCGACCCGTCGGTCGGAAGATTTCGTAATCTTGTACAAACAACCGTCGTTCCCAGTAAAGTATGAGGTTTATGTTTCCATAAAGCGTAATTCGATTTCTAACGCATATCTAACGCGTTTAATATCGACGTGTATTTTAGAGAATGCGTATGGAAGGCGGATTGATATCTTTGTCAGAGGATCACAACCCTTTGAAGCACCTTCAACCTACATCGACTGCGCCTCAGTTGTATCAAGATCTACCACCGGAACAGTTTACTCCGTCGTCGTTGTCTCTTAATCCATTCTCTAGTGCGTTGTCTTCGTTAACGTCGCGGCTTGGTATCGCGTTACCAAATCCAGCGCCCGAGGTAGAGATGGCGCCTAATCAAATACCGACGGAAACGCCCCACGTACCGGAAATACCAGGACCTACCGAAACACGAACTATGGAACCAAAAAAGAAAAAATATGCCAAAGAAGCTTGGCCTGGGAAAAAGCCTATACCAACGCTTTTGGTGTAATAGTATTAAGAAACTTATTTTTACTACATAGTTCTATCATACAGGTTTTAGACGTTAAGTTATGTAAGGATTTGTGTATAAATTCGTCGTGCGAAGTTTTAGAAAAAAAAAAGTGTTTAGTTAACGTCGCATTAACTGAATCGGCTTTGAACGATAATTGTATTTCTGGGTCTGACAAACCAAGCCTGTCTAATAGGACTGATCGATCATTTATAAATAGTTTTTTTTGTAAAGATTAAAATTGTATAAAATTTGCTGTTACGATACACGAATATAAATAAACAGAGCTTTTATCTTACTTCGTACGAATAAATATTAGGATTACGATTAAAAGAACTGCGTTTTGCGATGAAATACTTACATGGCTACTTCACATATTTTATTTTGTTCTACCGAACACAAATCTTTTTTGTAACTGAAAAAGAAAAGCTGTGTTATATTCATGTATCAACAGTGTACTCCTTGAAACATTACAGTATATCGTTATTAAGCGATTATTTTATATCTGCGAACAACCGTTACTCTTGTATATAGTGCAATTTTAAGTTTAGAAAATTCTTCAAGTTCTTAATAAATGCCGCTTTAATACACACGAAAACAATGTATGTTCAGTTACGCATTAATAATGGATAACTCCAAGAAATTTAGTCAAGTGTATATTTGTTTTATCGTCCACAAAATATCGACTATTTTATTACAAAAATAAACAAATCACAAAATATTGAAGCGAGGTATAAAAATAGATCTTTATACGGTACAATTTATCGTATCGGTTTATCCATCCGTTCTTTGAGTAGCTGGGCAAGCGAGGGTATATCTCAAGTAACTGTACAGATTTATTTTCAATATTCCATCGAGGCGTTCGGTGTGGTCGACGATTCAAGAGCGACCTCCTCGTAATCCCTTTCTAACGCGGCAAGATCATCGCGGGCTTCCGCAAACTCGCCCTCCTCCATACCTTCGCCCACGTACCAATGAACGAACGCCCGTTTATGGTACATAAGATCGAACTTGTAATTCAGTTTCGCCCATGCTTCCTCGATGGCCGTAGTATTCGACAACATCGAGACCGCTCTTTGAACCTAAACAATTTCCCAATTCTTTAATCTCTCGCGGGTTCGCGATTACTCCGAATAATTTAAAGAACAAAATTGTAACGTGGGATCAGACTTTGAAATTGAATCGCGTATCTAGCGCCGAATCGCTGAAAAAATGTTGCCAACTACCGGAACCGTACGGAGTTACGCTTTTACGGTTCCCCGTGTGGAATAAAACGGCAGATTTGGAAAAGAACGCGACAACTTCGTTCTTTCGATCATTATCCGCAATGACGCGAGACGTTTGCGCAATAATTGATACCTTCGCGAGATCTCCGCCGGGAACAACGGTGGGCGGCTGATAATTGATACCAACTTTAAAGCCGGTCGGGCACCAGTCGACGAATCGTATGCAACTTTTGCCCTTCATAGCGGCGATCGCCGCGTTCACGTCCTTCGGTACAACGTCGCCGCGGTACAGCAAACAGCAGGCCATGTATTTCCCTTCGCGCGGATCGCACTTTACCATTTGATTGGACGCCTCGAAGCATTCGGACGTGATCTCCGCAACGGACATCCCCTCGTGGAAGGCCTTATCGGCCGACACCACCGGGGCGTAGGTCGCCAGTGGGAAATGAATCCTAGGGTATGGCACTAAATTCGTTTGGAATTCGGTCAAGTCCACATTTAAAGCGCCATCGAATCTCAACGAGGCGGTTATCGACGAAACCACTTGACTGATAAGGCGATTCAAATTCGCGTAAGAAGGACGCTCGATGCCGAGCTTTCGCCGACAGATATCGTAAATCGCTTCGTTGTCTACCATGAACGCGCAGTCCGAGTGGCTGATAGTTGTATGGGTTGTCAATATGGCGTTATATGGCTCCACGACCGCGGTGGACACCTAAACGTTTCTCTTGTTTTTAGTGGGAATTAAACATTTACTCTTACAGCCGTATGAAATGATCACTAAATGGTAGAAGATATCGGTAATTTGGCGGCAGACGGGTTGCCAGGGCCATACCTAGGGATTTTGGCCTTTGCCCATTCGTTTCGTGGTAGACATTTTTATACGGTTTAGTTCGATCACATGTCGTACGTATGTACGAACGTTGAAAGTATTTACTTAAAAATAAGGGGAAAGAAATGTTGTACGAAGTTTATTTGCAAATGCTTTGTTACAAAGTTATAGGCAAATATTGAACATAGCCTGAGCATGTAAGTAGTAGCTTATTCCAAAGGATTACCGTGCTTACTTTCCTTATACTTTCATGATACTTTCTCCTTTTCTAACGATTTATCGCGACCACATGAATCGTACAGTTTGCGTATAGATTACGCGATGACGGGGCAAAATGTCAGCAAATACTTCCGACAGGAAGAATACGTCGTTCAGTATTTATCAACGCATAGAATATATTTGTGTAACTTTGCAGCAAAGCGTTTACAGACTTCGTATAACAATTGTTCTTTTTTCGATAAGATTGTTTCTGTGTTTTTACACGAATTATACGGATAGTAAAGTGTTAAAGTAGCTAATTTTATTCTGTTCCGGCACGTGATCTTTTTGTACCAGTTTTGTCACGATACTGGGCGTAACTATTCAATAATCGGCAATTTTGGATTTAAGAGTTGAAGTTGGCTTAACTTTGAAGTATTTTCGTTAGCATTATACCGATATGTCTGCTCGATAAAGTGATAAAAAGAGATTAACGATAGCATTTCTAAAGTAAACTAATTTCAATTAACTCAAAACCCGGACAATTATGTAGCGATACGCTTCTGATACTAAACCACTACTAATAAAATAAGATTTACGAAGTAAATGACCTCGGAACTATACGCTAGCTTTGCAAAAAACTTGACAATTTTATCGCGTTCCCGTATATCTCCTATCATCCAGCAAATATTACACACAGTGCTTACATAAACACGTAATAATTCCGTTATATTAATAACCGACAAATAATACCAAAAATAAAAAGAAACTTTTTAAATATTTTCGAGTTATTCGAAGGATGTCTATTCGATTCTCAATGCTATCGTACTTGTGGTGCCGGATACACGGCAAATTCTAGTTTGCTTTTCTTCCCGTAATCGTCTGACAGTTTTTGCATTAGCAAGGAAGTGAATCCCGACCCGGTGCCTCCTCCAAACGAGTGGAAGACAAAGAATCCTTGGAGGCCTGTACACTGATCGGTCAACCTTCGGATTCTATCCATCACAGAGTCGATTACTTCTCTGCCGATGGAATAGTGACCACGTGCGTAATTGTTGGCAGCGTCCTCTTTTCCGGTAATCAATTGCTCAGGATGATACAAATGCTTATAAGGTCCTATTCTCACTTCGTCTACGAAGAGTTTTCAATTTTAATACGCGTGCGTTCTATCGAATTACGTCGAGCTTTCTCGTTTTAAGTTTTGTCAGCAAATACAACGTAACGAGTCGTTCGTTCGTTAAAATTGTTCACTAACCAACGACGGTGGGTTCGAGGTCGACCATCACAGCGCGGGGCACCATCTTGCCGGAGCTTGTTTCGTTAAAGAATGTATTGAAGCAATCATTTGTTCCGGACACTTTGTCGGATGGCATCGTTCCATCTGGCTGGATTCCGTGCTCAAGACAATACAATTCCCAGCACGCGTTGCCCATTTGAACGCCGGCTTGACCCACGTGCATCGAAATACATTCACGCTGCGTAACGAAATACGAGTCTTAACTGCACACGGCTACGCCATTTAAAACTAAATGTTCCCCAAGGACGGGGACGCTTAATCGGTTTCGTTATTATACAATACCATTTGAAAGCAAACACGGCGACTAAGTATTAACCTTAAGACGCCGGACAATGTGTCTTTACTTGGTATTGTCGTTAATTATACGAGCTTACTTGGTGTCATTATTACCGTTATTTACTGAAAATTAGAATTTTACAACTCTGAAATTTTCATGAGCCCAAACGAGCCCGGAGTTCACTGGTCGAGGGTTAAATAATTATTAATCTCGGATATGGAAACTTTTTTGCGATAACTATGAGTGAATTTCAAATCTTATATATTTATATATGTCTTACCATTTTGACAATTTTTTAACGGTAGGTCTCTTGAAGGGAATATTATTAAAAATTTTCATGGATCGCCGAACCAAAAAGAAATTAAAGATATTTATCAGTTACAAGAAATTTTGCATGTCGTCCTTCCGCCACCCCGGATCAAAATACTGTTAACAATTTATTACAGTTGCCTGGACAACGTGTGCGAACAACGTAATGAAGTTGAACGAAAGAAAAGTTGAAAACACTCGTCTATTTTTCCATATAGGGTATAAGCGAAATAATCAACTTGGCTGATGGTAATTTGATTTGGTGTCGCGTTACTCGACAAAGTAATTAACGTTACGTGAATACTCGAGCTAAGAAGTGGAAGAATTCCAAAGATGGCAGATGGCGACAATGAATTAATCGCAAGATTTAATCACGAATAAAAAATAGCGGTTTGAATTATTTTTTTTTTTATTGGAATTATGCCCCATTGTTTATTTATGGTGAATAAAGCTGAATCTGAAGACTGTGTCCATTTTATTGCCATTTAAATCAATACGATACTCGTTCTATTTGTGCAACATTGTTGCAGCGTGTAGCATGTGTGTGATGTATGATTTGTACAAATGTATGATGGTATTTGCGAGCGTCATGTACATGACTCATTGTTAAATACAGTGTTCGTTGTCCAGTATGTTCTTCACGTTAAGTAAGTGGTGCTCGATATTATTTTTAAATGTGTCGAGGAAAAAATCATAACCAAAAAAGTGGTAGAAACTTGGAAATTCATATATTCATGACATCCACTTTATTCTTTATCTTGGAAAATTTACTGGAATCAAGTTTCATTCCACTGAATCTTTATGGTAGACGGGAAGTCTTCCATATCGATTCTTCCACTTGTCGGCAAAGATACTTCTTTTACGCTACAAAATATGGAGAGTCAAACGTGTATGATTCAAGTTCTAGTTTCTATTAAACGAGTAATGAATAATAAATTGTTCATCGTTTTATTCGCCAATTAAAAATGTTTTAATTGAACTTTACCCATTTCTGACGTGTATTTACATAAGTACGTATATGTTCGTAATAATCGTGTAATCTTTTACGTGTAATCAATTTAGAAAGTTATCGTTCCATATCACGGATGCTATCTACAGGCTGCAATTTTTGATTGGACGTAATGAGTCAACACAAATTATTATCCGCGTTCTTTCGCAAAAGTGTATTAACATTTTAAATTGAAGCATGCAATAAATTATCAATTAAATTTGCAAAAAGAAAATTAAAATGAACGCGTGTATCTGTATTTCTCATTGACTTTGCGTCCCATCGCGGACAGGAGGAAAATAATATGCGACTTTTTCATTTTTATTGTTCCCATTGTGGTTGACTTTGATGAACGTAGACTACGCGTATCTGCCACTTCCAAAAATAGATGGTTAGTAACCCGTTAGTGATTCGGCGGAAGTCAGAGACCTTGACATTTTCAGTACATTTGTATCTCGTTGAAAATACTGTATGATGTATTGCAATCTCAAGGGACTTATATAATTACATTGAATCGATCATGCGCGTGCTTGCATACGTGTCCCTATCCGTAAAATCATTGCTTAATAGATTTCTTGCTATCTGTTCCCGTGACGAGAAAGATCCTACCAACTGGTCGACAGAGTCCGAGTAATAACTCGTAACTCTTCGACGATGACTCGAAGAATTCCGACGTGTTAACACGAACTTTTTACGCTTCGGACATACTTGCAACAAATTCAAACTATTCCCCGAACGGCATGGTTCGCTCTAGTACGAATAACTTTAACACAACTAATAAAACCGAGAATGGACGCTAGTAAAAAATACGAAAATCCTAATCCCAAATTAACGGCGAATCCATTTAGTAAATTGATATTTTGGTAAGTGTTCAAAGTGCAAATACCGAATAATTCGTTCCACGTGTGACCGTTTTACTTTTTTTTAATTCAAGGTGGTTGAAACCACTATTCTGGTATGGGAAAACGCACGATCTTGAAATAAAAGATATCTACAATGTAATGCCAAAGGATGTAAGCCAACGTCTTGGAGATAAACTTGAAAGGTAAATATCGAAGAAACGCGGTACGCACGGTATTTGACAACAATGACGTTGTTCAAACAAAACTTATGTCACCGATTGTGTAATTGATACTATTATCTTTGTGTTTAGAAACTGGATCAAAGAAGTGAAAACGGCCGAGGAAGCATCTAGAAAACCAAAATTTTTTACTGCCTTGAGAAGAACGTTTGCATGGTCATTTTCTTATTATGGAGGATGGCAATGTTTCTTGGCAGTTGTTTTAAAGTGAATATTACTCATTACCATTATTACATAATTATTACATAATTTCAAATTACATAATTTCAAATTACGAATAATATCATTACGGTGTTCCAGAGTTTTGCAACCGTACATCCTAGGGCTTCTTATTTGGCATTTCGATCCTAGATCAACATCCACCGTGTCTGAAGCGTACTTGTATGCTACGGCTGTTGTACTTTTAACTTTATTTAGCGCTTTCATCATTCACCATGCAAACTTGGGTCTGATGGAAGTTGGAATGAGAATGAGAATAGCATGTTCCTCTGTGATGTACAGAAAGGTAAGAAATTATATTCTCGTGAATTTACATCTAACAATTGATTCTATACCAAACACTTTGCTTCACTAGATTTTACGCTTATCAAAAAGTTCCTCGAACGTCACCACACCAGGGCAGATCATAAACTTAATGTCAAACGACGTTGCAAGATTCGAACAGTTATTTATAGCATTACATTATATTTGGATTTTACCGATTCAAGGTGCTCTGATTGCTTACATGATTTGGGAAAGCGTTGGAATTTCTTGTTTAGCCGGTGTTTTTCTTATAAGTATTCAAACAATACCTCTGCAAGGTATGCACAGTTGCTTATTATTATTGCAATTTTTAATTAAACAAAAATGATAATAAAGTTGTTTTTCTTTTTAAGGATATATGGGAAAGTTACAATCGAAGTTACGATTAAAAATTGCAGTCAGAACGGACGAAAGAGTGCGTTTAATGTCGGAGATTATTAGCGGAATTCAAGTCATCAAAATGTACACTTGGGAGAAGCCGTTTGAGAAGCTTGTTAGCATTGCAAGAAGGTTCTTATCGTTGTTCTATTTGCGAATAACAAAAATGGCATTGATCATGTTTACGTTTACAATGATTTTTCAGTTACGAGGTGGACGTCCTTCTACTTTCATCGTACATAAGGGGCTTCACTTTGGCTACTTTTGTGTTTACCGAACGATCTACATTATTTTTTACAATTATGACATATGTACTTCTTGGAAACAATATATCCGCCGATAAAGTATTTTCAATGGCGCAGTACTTCAATGTTCTCCAGCTCACCATGGCAATATTATATCCTATGGCTGTATCAGCCGTTGCCGAGGCTGGTGTATCTATTAAGAGACTCGAGGTAACGAATGATCATTTAGACAATCGACGGATTAATTTTCGATTTCACGTTACTTATTAAATTTATCGGTTTTTAGCATTTCCTATTGTTGAAAGAAAATAGTTGTATCAATGATACGAAACAAATTAATGGAGATGGCAGTATTAGTATGAAAAGTGTTACAGCGACCTGGAACGAAAATTCAATTGTAAATACGTTACACGATATTAGTATTCATATAGAACCTGGCAAACTTTATGCTGTTGTTGGTTCAGTCGGTGCTGGAAAGGTGAGATTTTTAAAAAAAAAATTACGTTAAAACTGGATTCTTACGCCTTATCGTTTTCAGAGTTCCTTCCTTCAATTAATTTTAAGAGAATTGCAACAATCGAACGGAGATGTACGAATAAATGGGAGTGTATCGTATGCCAGCCAAGAATCGTGGTTATTTTCGGGTACGGTGCGCAACAATATACTTTTTGGCCAGCCTTACGATCAAAAGAAGTATAACGAAATTGTCAAAGTGTGTGCTCTTACGAAGGATTTCCAACAATTTAATTATGGCGATAAAACATTGGTCGGGGACAGAGGCGCCGCACTTAGCGGTGGACAACGGGCGAGAATAAATTTGGCTAGGTAAAACGAAACCGATGGAAAACAATTTTTATCGATATTTAAATTGATACTCAAACGATATACACGATTGTTATGACAGGGCTATATACAGAAGTGCAGATATTTATTTACTGGACGATCCATTATCTGCAGTGGACACTCATGTTGGAAAACATTTGTTCAACGAGTGTTTTAAGAACTATCTTCACAACAAAACAAGAATCCTTGTAACTCATCAAGTACAACATTTAAAGTATTGCGACTACATCATTGTATTAAATAACGTAAGTCCAACGGTTAAAAACATTTTGATCTGTCGTTGCATCGGTATTGTCATGATTTTTATTTTAGGGTAAAATAGAGTATGAAGGTACTTATATGGAGCTTCAAAACAAACACGTAAATTTCTTAAGAATGCTTTCCGTGGACGAGCACGAAAAAGATACGGAAAGCGTGGAAATTGATGAAAGTAACACGCCCGATATATCCATTCATTCCGGTAATAGTAAGAACGACGACGATTCGGAACCACAAGAAACAGAGGAATTAATGGCCAAGGGAGGAATTTCGAAATCGCTTTACTGGAAATACTTTCGAGCCGGGGGTTCGATTCTGATGATCATGACTTTTGTGGGCAGTTTAATTTTGGGACAGTTTGGAAGCAGCGGTAGTGATTATTGGGTTGCTTACTGGTTAGCATTTACATGCATATTACTTAGCTCTTTTACATAAATTTGTATATCATAATTTTATCTACTTTCTGTTTACCCAGGACAAGACAAGAAGAATTACGTGTTAAAGATAGTAACAATCGCACGTTACAAGTATTCAAATCAAACGATACAATAGCCCCTGTGTTTACGGGAGATACAAGCGAAACGATTAATAAAACGGTTATGTCAGCCATAGATAACTTTAACGAGACAGCCGCGGAATTTTTAACAACCTCGGACAACAGCAGTTTGGATAATATTGTTGGTAACTTTAAAAAAAAACAAACAAACAAATAACAAGTAATTATTCTTATTTTTTACCATGTATAGACATGGACTATTAACAGTGGATCACATAAATCGTACTACCTCGATACCGATACTGCCTTATGGATTTACGGAAGTTTTATCATCGGAAGTATAGTAATGACTACTATCAGAAATCTTGTATTTTATAAAATATGTATGAATGCTAGTAAAAATCTCCATAACCAGATGTTCTCGAGTTTACTGAAAGCGCCGATGCAATTTTTCGATACACATCCCTCCGGTAAGTATCAAATGAACATTATGTTTTAACAGTTCACGCGGTATTTAAATATTATTAGTAACATTGTAACGTTAAATTTCAGGTCGCATTCTAAATCGTTTTTCGAAAGACGTTGGAGCGGTGGACGAAATTTTACCAAGAACAATGATAGAGTCTATTCAAATATTCACAGTGATGATCGGAATTTTAGCTCAAGTACTTATTATTAACTGGTGGACAGTTTTTCCAATGTTTGTCATGGGTTTCTTATATTGGGAGATACGAACCATTTATCTTAAAACTGCGCAAGACATGAAACGTTTCGAAGGAGCCAGTAAGCATTTCGTAATTTCTTATCGCTTTGTGATTTTGTCTCTTGTAATATTATTGACGATCGTTTAAATTTTCAGCAAAAAGTCCCGTTTTCTCCCACGTTAGTTCATCGTTATTAGGTTTGACTACGATACGTTCGGCGTCCGCGCAAGAAATGCTTCGCAAAGAATTCGACGTTCATCAAGATCTCCATACGAGCGCCTATTACTTAACACTAGCAACAAGTACCGCTTTTGGATTTGCATTGGACATCGTGTCCATTTGTTTCATTACTTTCATCACGTATAGCTTTATTTTATTCGACGATGGTAATTTGTTGTTTGATAACTTCATCAGATCTAATTATCGACATGTTAAAGACCCGTACATTTGTGTTTTCAGGAAATACATTCGCGGGAAACGTAGGTTTAGCCATATCGCAAGTGCTGATTTTATGCGGGATGCTTCAACACGGAATGCGACAGACTGCAGAGACGATAGCACAAATGACCAGTGTAGAACGAATTTTACAATTTACACAGCTTGATAAAGAGGGACCATTCGAAAGTGAACCTAACAAGAAACCGTCCGCGGAGTGGCCTTCCAATGGAGAACTTAATTTCGATCATCTGTATTTACGGTACGACGAATCAGCGCCCCCTGTTCTCAAGGATCTATCTTTCCTCATAAAATCCGGTGAAAAGGTAATTTTTTTTTATCAATCAAATACCGACAGTTTGTGTATCGAAAATTGATTATAAAATTGTACGTTTCTAGGTTGGAATCGTTGGCCGTACCGGTGCTGGTAAAACTTCTCTTATATCAGCGTTGTTTCGTTTGACCAAACTCGAGGGTAGCATTTACATAGATAATTACGATACGAAGCAAGTAGGTCTTCACGACTTGAGGAAGAAGATTTCTATTATTCCACAAGAGCCCATATTGTTCTCGGCGACGCTTCGCGATAATCTCGATCCGTTTCATAATTTCGACGACATCACACTTTGGGCCGCTCTCGAGGACGTGGAACTGAAAACCAGCGTTTCCTCTTTGGATTATTACGTCGAACAAGGCGGAACTAATTTCAGCGTAGGCCAGAGGCAATTACTTTGTTTGGCGCGAGCTATCATAAGGAACAATAAAATCCTTCTCCTCGACGAGGCCACGGCCAACGTGGACCCTACCACGGATGCTTTGATACAGAAAACTATTAGACAAAACTTCAAGAACTGCACCGTGGTAACTATAGCGCATAGATTAAACACAATAATGGATAGCGACAAAGTGTTAGTTATGGATCACGGGCAAGCGGTTGAGTTCGATCATCCGTTCGTTTTACTTCAAAATGAAAAGGGTTACTTCCACAGCATGTTGAAGGAAACCGGGCAAAAAATGTTCGAACAACTCAAGAAAGTGGCAGAAGAGGTACACTATACGTTCTTCTGTTAAAGCAATGCCTTATAGTTTCAATAACTTATTGCTGTTTTTCTTTCAGGCTTACAACAGTAGATTTATAGATGAAGAGCCAACATCACAACCAGAAACTCTTAATGGTAGTACAATTTTAAAGGATAGCTGAGAGAACGTCAATGTGTTCATACTTCAAAGGTACTTAGCGCTTAGTATACATTAAAATTTTTATACTTTTTTTTTCATGCATATACCAATATTGATTAATTTCTGCTGTTGCAACATTTGGCAGTTTTTGCAAGATAAAGTATGTAATTTTACCATACTTTACGCGAACTCACACGGCATTGAGAACTTAAAATAATGAACGAACTTGTACTTTATATTTTGATACTTACGAATATTGTTCCTACTTAGCAATCATAAAGTACTTCTTTAAGCGACTTAACTACATTTAACTGTAATACGAACCAATACGAATCAATTTTTAGAGGTTCTCCGAAGACTCGAATTAATCGAAAACCGACAAAAATGATTCGTAATTTTTTAAGCTCAACGAAAGCATTCGCAAATAGAGTAACAATAAATACATCGTTACTGTATTTTGTACATTCATATTTTCATATTTTTTGAACATTTTTCATCACGAAATATATTCTATATATTCTGCTTAAATGAATATTTATATACAATCTTGTTGTAAAAAAGATTTCTATGTATTATGTACACAACAATCGAATCTATGATTGTCTCAAACTCTGTTAATAAACTATGTACACAGGTATTTAAAGCTTTTTTTTTCTGTAACCTTCTACAAGACACGTAAATGTTTATACAATTTGTGCGATTAATGAAATCATACATATTCGTTCTATCAAAGTATCTTGTCTTATGCACCGCTATCCGTAGAAGTTCGTAACCGTCTATAAGAAATTTTGAATTTCCTTATTTCTTTATAAAAAATTATTCCGTGTGTAGCGTTAGATTAATTGAACAGCACCGCTTTTAACTAAATCTGCAACAGCACTATACTGTATAATGTGTTGGGAGCCTTGTTCGAAATCAATTTCCTCGTCCAACGAGTCGGGCAGTACGATTCCATTAATTTTCTCGTTAGCCCGTAAGAACACGTATGTCTGCATGTTGGGCTTAACGATCATTTTGTTAACTTCGAACGCCTGGAAGCTACCAGGCATGTGCTGCAAAGCGATCGTTCTAAAGAGTGTTTCTATACTAGCGAGAAAGTCTTTAGCGAATTGTAGCTCTGCGGCTGTTAAATAACACTGGTCCCCGGATCTGTTAGCTTCCTGCGAGAGTATATGTATGGTGTATTTCTCGATTTTCTCCAATCGAACCCTGAGATAGCTAGATATCACGAATTTAATCCTGTCCAACTCCATTCTATGAATCATAAACCTCAGATCCCCTTTTTCTAACCTCTTTATGTTCTCCTCCATGTGCGTGATCTGTTGCAGCATACAGTCAACCAGGTCGGATTGATGGGGCAGAATCTCGGGGGCAAATTTCTCGTTTAACCAGGCATCCTCTATAGCCAATAAAGCACTCTGAGCGGTCAATTCTTCTTCGTGCTCCTCGACCTGGGGCGATACCCGTGCTCCCGAATCATCCTCCATATTTTACACCTTCGTTCAGGGAACAATTCGCTTCGTTTCGAAAACACTGAACACACTTTGGCTTTCTTATATCGTTACGTCGATTTGTTTGTTTAACGTAATCGAGTGTTTCTCGACAGGCCATTCAACCGTGCGTTTATCACTTTGAATTGTAGAATAGTACAGCTGGTCACGTGACGGAAGTCGATACTTATCGATACTTGGACGTGAACTGATTGGCGATTTATTTAAATCATTCGAAGGTATTAAATCGTAATATTTTTCTTGAAAATTCAATCTGTTGCTCGATGTTGATTGATGAAATCAAAGAAATGGAAAGAATTTTGCCAGGGAATTAATTAGTTTCTTCCAATTCGCTAACGAGATAATTTCGAACGTGGTTTCGTACGAAGTTGTTTCGCCAACTCGATCTCTCACTCTGTACGTTTTAAATGATCACGTTGAAACGTACTTTTCACAAATTAAAATAATATTGTATTAACGGTAATTTCAAATCGACTGTTCCTAGTACTGCAATATAGAAGTTTAATGATATTAAACGAACTTACGGAGCAATTAATTATTTTAAGAAAATTGCAAGAAAATTCGAAGATTCTAGCAAAGCTAAATGACAAAAACATACACAAGCTATTATAATAATCTCCTTATAGCATGAAACCATATTACAGTTTAAACTTGAACCAAACCTATAGAGACTGCACTCGCGTTTCAATATTTCTTTGAGTTATCGAATATAGGTGAAAAGAAATACGAATGAAATACGCTTACGTTACTCGGAATGCATTCGAACGGCTAAACCAAAGAACGAAAATGCAGTTAAAGACGGTTCCGGCCGATCGAGCGTAGAAGAGCATGGAAAGATGTAGGGTGAATCAAAGGATAGGGTAATCCGTTGTGTTCTATTCCTATTTTAGCCTCGTAAGGTTTCTGTGTGCGGCACTGAAGATGCACCAAGGTATTCTTAAATCCTCGTTAACTTAATAAAGACCGTCTTAAGACTGTTTGTCGACTTAGATCGCGTCGACATATAGAAATGTAGGCGCAAGGGTACATATAGCAGGGTCAAGCCAAGATATCGGTGCATATTTAAACGGAAGCCGAACGACGTTGACACGAGCCGCATCCAACAGTGGACCCAAACAAGAGAAGACCTTCCTACACATCCTTCTGTTAAATTACAACGACCCATCTGCGTGGCCACTCCGAAATTAACAATCTGAGACGTGTACTTGGACTAGTTCGTTTTAACACGTTTTTCTCCAAGTAGCCTGAAGGTGAGCCAGGGGACGAGTGATCGGTGACTACCCTGTAGAGTGCCCTGGAAGAATCGTTAATGCGAAACAGTGTTAATCCAGGACTCATTTGTGCAAACGTTTAACTAGTCAAAAAACATAGCGTTGAATATAAACTGCTTCGAGTAAGTTTAACAGAGGAAGGGCGGTCACAGTGGCGTTTAATGTTCACAGATTTAAGAATGACCGTCATTTCGGGACCCAGCTACGAGGCCTACTCATGGGGAGCCCAAGGTTCCAAGTTCGGCAATCAGACTGTAGTGGACAAGGTTCCACCCGAAATGCTACATCTGATCGACGCCCATTGGTACCAGTACCCGCCGCTAAATCCGTTATGGCACGCGATCCTCGGTTTCGTGATCGGTGTGCTCGGTTTCGTCTCCGTTAGCGGTAACGGCATGGTCGTCTACATATTCCTATCGACGAAGAGCCTTCGTACGCCGAGCAACATGTTCGTTATAAATCTTGCCATCAGCGACTTCTGCATGATGCTCTGCATGTCTCCGCCAATGGTGCGTGCCACCATAAATACGCTCTTGTAGCTCCCGTGGAAGATTCTGGTCGCACCCTACGGTGAAAATTTGCAAAGTTAGAGATCGGTACACGGCGTAGCTCGTTTATTACATTCGATCTTTATCGTTCTTTCAGTAATCGGAAAAGTTCGAAAATGCGATAATTCCATTCCCGACAGGTGATCAATTGCTATTACGAGACATGGGTACTTGGGCCGCTCTTCTGTGAAATCTACGCGATGACGGGCTCCTTGTTCGGATGTGGCTCCATCTGGACGATGACGATGATTGCGTTCGACAGATACAACGTAATCGTGAAAGGTTTATCTGGTAAACCGTTGACCATTAACGGAGCTATACTCCGTATACTGGGTATATGGGTCTTCTCTTTGGTTTGGACCGTCGCGCCTGTGTTAGGCTGGAATCGGTAATTGTCCATCGTTTGGTCGACCATTAGAACTTGTCACGTTTAATACCATCAACTGTAAACGTTATTTTTTTGTTCGTTAGATACGTACCAGAGGGCAACATGACGGCGTGCGGTACCGATTACTTTAGCAGAGACATAGTGTCTGTCTCTTACCTCATCTTGTACAGCATTTGGGTATACTTCTTCCCGTTGTTCCTCATCTGTTACAGCTACTGGTTCATCATCAAGGCGGTCGCCGCCCACGAGAAGAATATGCGGGAACAAGCCAAGAAGATGAACGTGGCCTCTCTGCGATCAAGCGAAAATCAAAACACCAGCGCCGAGTGCAAATTGGCAAAGGTACATACACATGTGTATACTCAAACGGCGTGAGTCCCGTTCGCCTACAATGAGACGTTGTCAAACGGTTCCAGGTTGCTCTTATGACGATCTCCTTGTGGTTCATGGCGTGGACCCCGTATCTGGTCATCAACTTCTCCGGCATATTCAATCTCATGAGCATCAGTCCGCTGTTTAGTATCTGGGGCGCTCTGTTCGCCAAAGCCAACGCTGTCTACAATCCAATCGTTTATGGAATCAGGTATACAAAATCTATTAGATAAATACTCGATCGTCGACGCTAATTTTTACTGTCTATTTTCTTCCAGTCATCCGAAGTACCGAGCAGCGCTTTTCCAGAAGTTCCCATCGTTGGCGTGCGCCGCCGAACCTGCGCACACGGATGCGACCTCTACCGTTTCCGGCACCACCACTGTCGCCGACAGCGAAAAGGCAAACGCGTAAAATCAACGAAACACACACTTTCGATCGAACGATCAAAGAACGATGAACAATACAAACAAAAATACGACCGACTAGGATAAGGAGGGACGATGCTAGGTTTAATTACAGACACGATTTGTAAATAGTAATATCGTTTGTCGTGTTGAGAGATCCTTTTTTTTACATGTCACGGGAGTGCACGTTCGGCTTTGAAATTCGGTATCGAACGTGCTCGGTTGAGGAGAAACATCGTCTGACAAGCGTATCCCATTCGATCATATGTTCCCAGTGTACGGAATTGTTCCAACATCCGGTATTAAATGAGAAATCTTTCGACCGCCTATGATTGATGGAACGTGTGATTCCCATTCTCACCACAATGCGAATCATTTTAACGTCAAGCCATAGGTAAAGATTTTGATTTTGTACATTTTATTGCCCAGCAATATACATGGTCACTTTGGTATAGCAGGTACCAGCTCTGTGTTTACTAGATAGGTAAACGTGTATCATATTATCGTAAGATACGATGAGAGTGTTGTATCTGTACCTTAATTTTATAAATGCAAATAAACTCTGCAAGCAACAAGACAATTGTGTTCGTTTGATTACTACCAGATGGAAATCATTTACTGTTAAATAATAACTTTTTTTTTTTACATACAATTGAAAGTACTTTGAGTTACCGGGTATTCTAAGAGTTTCCACCAGCCTCCGCGGATTTTTCTCCGCCTGCGGCCTGTTCCTCGGTATCGCCGCATATCAAAAATGGTAACTTCTCCTTTAACGCGGCTCTATATTTTGGATGGCTGCACAGGATACGTTTGTAACAATATTAATAATTTACTATAGCATTACTGTATTTCTATGATATTTACCTGATCCCATACACGATTGGATTGTATATGGCATTAGCTTTAGCAAAGAGTGATCCCCATATAGTGAAGAGGGGGGTGAGCAGGTTACGATTGAATATTCCGATGTAGTTGATTACAAGGTACGGAGTCCACGCCATAAACCAGAGCGAGATTGTCGTCAATGCAACCTGAAATAAATTTTATTTAAATTAGAGTTTATGTTAATCAGATTGGCTTGGTCTCATGTCACGGGGCCGCGGGCGCTGGTGACCAGGCGCCTGCGCTTGAGGGGGAATGCGCTGGGAGTCTGTGATGACTCACTAGAGTCCCAGGTCCCTCGCCAGGCGCCTGAGGATGGTCACCGTGGGGTTTCAGCCTGTAAGAGTCCGGCACTACCCCGAGACCCCCCCTTCTTGGGCCCTAGGGGTGTCCATGAGGATTTCCCCACGTACAAAAAAGTCGAGTTCGTAAGGCTCGAAAACTCAATGCTATCCTTAACCTAAACTCGGCTTCCCCTGTCAAGGTGACGAAAACGCGCAGCGCTAACAGGTGAGAGGATTGGTCAAGCCAATCCTCAAAGTCGTCACCTTGCCAGGGCGTTTCCTGCTTTTTGCAACGTTCCCGCCCACTTTGCTGTCCAACGTCCAGGTAGACCATGCAAGAGTGAGCGAGAACGTTGCCTTTTTTATGAACATTTGGGGAAAGCTAAGGCCTCCAAGACCTCGATGGTCCAATCGCTATTGAGGCAAGGAAGAGCTCCAAGGATTCCAAGTCCCTTGTGGAGTTTGGAGTTTCCTTAATGACCGTAACCTAATTTGTCAAGTAAAAATGTCTCGAAGACCTAATCCTCAAAACTAGCGAAGAAGTCACGTCCCGCGATGTGAAGGTCCCTTAACCCCTTAGCTTACAATGACGTCTCAGAGACGTGATGAGTCTACCGAACCAAAGCTTGGTGTCGCTTCTGGTTGGAAATTAAATCGTAAGACAAGGGGTTAAAAAGTAAAGGTAAGGGGCCTTAACAATTACGAAATACAATCGATACCTTTGCTAGCTTTACTTCGGCACTGGGGCCTTGGGTCTCTCCGGATCGTAGAGACGAAACGTTCATTTTCTTCGCTTGCTCTCTCATTCCTTTCTCGTGTGCCGCGACGGTCTGTTTAAACGTAAATAAGTAATATGTAAATGTAAACGCGATTAGGCGTGTTCGATTAATGTTAATTTTATGTATCTACCGAGACGATAAAGTAATAACTATAAATAATAGTAGACAACGGCGTGTAATAGACGAAAACAGAGTAGACTAATATGTATGATTTGGAGCCCCAATCTAAAGACAGATAGTCCGTTCCACACGATGTCATATTACCCTCTGGAACATATCTAATCGCCATATTAAGCGTTAACAATTACAAGTGTTCATTAACAACACGGAAAAATAGTTTTCTTAATTAGAGAAGCATTACCTGTTCCATCCTACTATGGGTAAAATTGTCCATAACAAACCAAACAGCCATATGATCAAGATTTCGAGTATGGCTTTCTTGATAGTGAAGGGTGTTCCAGACATCCCCTACAAAATAAATAATTTTATTAGAACGTTAGTTTTATCTATAATTAATTAGAGTATATATACCTTCACTATCACATTGTATCTATCTAAGGCAATGGCTGTCATTGTCCATATAGATGCACATCCACACAGTGAACCAACCATTGCATAAATGTCACACATCAAAGGTCCTAAAAAGGAATACAATTATTTTTAATATTAAAATTTTGAATATTCCATCTCTAAGGCGATTTCTCTTACCAAGAACCCACGTTTCGTAGAAACAACAAATTACCATGGGGGGGCACATGAAACCCATCATTATAAAGTCTGAGAAAGCAAGATTTACTACAAGCAGATTACTTGGTGTTCTCAGTGATGGTGTCATTATAAATACATAAACCACTACACCGTTTCCACACCATCCTATAATTCCTAGCACAATCATAACAAGGCCTAAAATTTTATACCATAATGGATGCAAGGGAGGGAATTGGTACCTGTGTTTAAAAAAAAAATATTAAGATATAGACGCACGTCGATCGAAATAAATAACGACGGAGAAAATTACCAATATGTATCGATCAAATGAAACATATCTTCCGGTGCTGTACTAACAACTGTTTGATTGTTAAAACGCATAAACTGTCTTGCAAACTGTGGGCCCATAGTGGTTGTTAAGGTTGAATTTGGTAAAGGTATAACTCCGACGAACGAAGGAGTAGACACATTGCAGGAATTGGCAGAGCTAATTATCTCCATCTCGTGAAAATATACATTTAATCTTAACACTTTTAAACGAACGAAAATAAGACTTTATGGAACTATCATTCTTCACATTACAATATTCATATTCAACTGCAGCTACAATTGCTTCACCCTTCTTTTATATGCATTCTGTGAAATGAGATCCAATAAAGTCATCCAATAAAATATTCAAATGAATCCAACTACAGTTCTATCAAACGCGTTAGTACAGCATGATGTATAAAAAGTACTGTCAATTGGGATGCAGTATAATCTAATTACAGTGAAACATTACATATGCATTTATGAATCAGATCGACAATCGGTTTATATTTGTCCGACATTTCATAATTTATTGTGAAAATGTAATCGTACATTGCAATTGCGATAAATATTATTTTATTGCTCTTGAGAGCCTACGAATGTGTTGACTATGACCCTCCTGAAGAGCCTCCTCTAATTCCTGCACCATATGCAACAAATTAACAGGGTCAGTTTGAAGCAATACATGCTCAACATTTTCGTTCTCATCCGAATTCTTTACAGACAAATCCAGAGTAATAAGAGGAGCAACTTGTTTTAGCAATGATCTTGATGCAAGCTACAAACACATACACATCGTGTAAAACATTTAAATTTAATACATTAGCGATATAAGGATGAAAGTATGATAATCTAATACCTGAACTTCAAATCTCCATTCCATATCATGATACTCTGGCAATTTAAATCCAATAGTTGTAAGTATGCTTGATATCTCATCTTTCTTGGTATTGTATAATTTGCTCAATGCTGTTTCCTGATCCTCCGAGAAACCTAAAGCTATCACAGAATCTCTAAAGTCCTCCGAGCTTAACTGCAAAAATATTATTATAGAATATATGGTTTAATTTATTTATTACAAAAAAGAACATTGAAACTAAAAAACTTGTATTGCCTTGTATCTACAGCTCTCTAGCAATAAATTAACAAGTCCCTCGACTGAATTTTTAATTACGTTCACCTCTACCTCCAATTTCTCTGAAAAAAAAGATAAAACAAATTAATACAGCATCGAACTACTGTCAGAATTGACAGAACAAATTTTTCGGTTTGCTTACGAGCGGCTGCATTGTACAATTTAACGTTTGGTCCTTTCTGCAAATAATCTAACGCCAATTTGCAAAAATCCTGTAAAACTAAAGAGAAAATATCGACGGATTATTTGTTATTCGTAATCGATCAAAATTAGAGGGAAAAATAATTTATGTACCCTGTGGCGTGTAATCCATAAGAAGCAGCACATGTTTTTTATGATCTGGTTTTAACGATAATAACATTATTGTTTTATTACAAGTATATATCTGTACAGCAGTTAATTACTTTGTATTTTTCAATTCAAAAGAAAACGTTCTTCGATTCCATAACCGGGAGGGAATAGATAAACCGCCATATTTATTGTCACGTAAACACGAAATATTTGTTGATTAACAAAATGCTTAATTCTTCAATTAGACTTCATGTCATAAAAATTGCTAAGGTCTCATTATTTTATTATACACGAAATATTTAATTGAAGCATTGATCTCGGTACTTTTATATTTATGATCATAATGTTAGGTTAGATGATCATTAACGATTGTACAGATAAAGTTAAAGTTCGCTTTAAATATAAAAATATATACGATAATAAGAAGGCAATTTTTATTAGGTCTGTAAATTTATTCTTCACATGTTAAAAGCAATAAACTTTTAAAACTATAAGATACATAGAAATGCAAGAGTTTCCAGGAATAATAAACTTTCGATTTATTTCACAATTCATTCATTTTTTTTTTCTTCCTTTTTTTTCTTATTTTCTATCTTAATTGAGGATAGTATGACATCGATGTAACAAAGTGAAACGCCGTAAGTTCATTGAGATTTCGTACATGAAATTATGTCTTAGGTTGAGAAGCGGACGCTTTCACTTGAGCCTGGTAAAACATCTGTTGATATTTCTCCAGCATTTCCTGGTGCGATTCTTGCTTTTTATCTAACGTAACTATCAAATCCTCCACTCTTTTCCTAAATAGATACAAAAAATTGATTTACAATTTCTGGTCTTATACATTGTCTGCGTGCAAATTCACTTACAATTCGGAAGAGATATATCCCATACGCTTGGCAACATTCTCCTTCGCTTCTTCCAAGTCCTGTTTAATAAGAACCGGCCCTATCAGTTTGAAGACATTATCGTCTGGTTTCAAGAGATCCAACTCTTTCTTAACCGCAACATTTTCATTCAATTGCCCGTCCAGTTGTTGCCTTTGGCTCAATGCTTTGTGGTAATCTGATACAAACAGAATCTACATGTAACAGGATGCTCAATTAATTACAATGTTATGGTATATTGCAAAGAATATTGTTTGTTAATAAAAAGAATCGGTAAAATACCTTTTTGAACCTGTTTATATTTATCTATCTCTGTTTTTAAATTCTTTTTAATTTCTTCCGTCATGTTTCTCTAAAAAATGGAAAATATTCACGCGTTAAATAATAAAGAACGAAATATTGACAAAAGAATGATGAGATGCGGTTAAACAATGAGTTTCAAATAAATATTACGCGTCTAAGAGGTTATGGTATCGCTTCAAACGCGAATATTCGATTACACTCAAACCATTGCTCTAAATATATTGCAACTATACTACAAATACATATGATTTTCTTAAATATGTATATTATAACCGTTATAGATCCTATCGCTTCATTTTAATATTATCGTACCACGTTAGAGAAAAAATGTCTCGTATTAACCTTTTTTACAAACTGTGTAGCAAATTATTTTTACCGGTCGACAACGAATTGGGGAATCTTACATACAGGATTTTGCTTTCTAATCGAATTAGTACTCTGTTTCTTTAGCTGCTTTATTTCGGAGTCTTTCAAACTTTAACTACTTTTAACATGTTACTGCTATACGTATTACACATTTATATATGTATGCATATATATGAACGTGATACCTGAGCTATAGGGATGCACAAATTAGGAACGAAAAACAACTGCGTACGCCGATATTAAAGAACTAAGAATTAATATCACGATAACATTACAGATCGATTTCAATTCAAGAGATATATTCTGTCGTGTTCAAAACAAGATTATTTTTACAAAATGCAAAGAGACGAACAAAATTGAAGACGAAAATTGGGGTTCCAAAAACTTATAACCTTTCTAGTATCGATTTATCGATCTTACAAGGAATTGCTTAAAAAATTCTAAATTCGATGCTTTTGTTATTTATCTATGATTTTTAATTTCACGCATATATGCTATTTTTAAAGTTTTTAAATAGTTTTCTTTTATCATTGGATACGCTAATTTTTTAAAATACGTTGTACAGCAATTAATGTAAATGTAATTGAAATATATTTTTTTTATTCGTTTCAAATGGTTAATTTTGATCAGTAACGCAACGTTGGTTTATCATTGATATTTCATTTTCTACTCCTAACATTATTGAATTTGCCGCAAAGTTCGTGTTTCCTTGTGGTCGTTGTAAGATGACGACACTTTTAAAACGCGTAAAATACTCGTACGAATTCGTTTCTACGTTGAAGCGTGTTATAACCTTTCTATAAATGTCAATTATTTCGTAAATGCTGTTCTGTTTGCATACAAATCGAGAAAATGGAAACGATATTGGAGCAACAACGGCGTTACCATGAGGAAAGGGAAAGGTTAATGGACGCGATGGTCAAGGAAATGCTGTATAAAAAACCGGGGCACAGGGAAAGTATAAACTCGGAACATCGATTGAAAATGCTACTCGACCAGTATATGGACAGTACGTTACATTTGCAGGATTTGTACGAGGATAAAGACGGGCAAAGGAAAGAGGAAGTGCGTCGATCGTTTCTCTATTTCGTTGTTAGTTCGGTTACAAAAACAATATAAATCTTTTTTTGTCCAGGTCCAAGCACTGTCCGGTCCAAATGAATTTTCGGAGTTTTATTCACGATTGAAGTCCATAAAAGAGTTTTACCGGCGGCACCCTAACGAAATAAGTATCCCGATGTCCGTCGAGTTCGAGGAATTGGCCAAAATGAGAGAGAATCCCACAGAGGACCTCTCGAATCTTGTAGAATTTACGGACGAAGAGGGTTACGGAAAGTACCTGGATCTCCACGAATGTTATGAAAAATACATTAACCTCAAGGGGATAGAAAAAATAGATTACATCACGTATTTATCAACTTTCGACCATTTGTTTGATATTCCTAGAGAGAGGAAAAACGCTGAATACCAACGATACGTCGAATCTTTGTTGGAGTATTTAAATGACTATTTGAGCAGAGTTAGACCGTTGCTCGACATGAATGCGGAACTTCAAGAAGCTAACAAAGAGTTCGAGGCGCAATGGGAGAACAACTCCTTCCCAGGATGGCCGAAAGAAACCGGCAGCGCTTTGACTCACGTCGGAGCTCATTTAGAACTCTCTGCCTTTTCTTCCTGGGAGGAACTTGCCTCTCTCGGATTGGACAGGTTAAAATCGGCTCTGATGGCTTTAGGGTTGAAATGCGGTGGCACTCTGGAGGAGAGAGCTCAAAGACTTTTTAGTACGAAAGGGGAAGCCTCTTTGGATCCAAATTTGTTAGCTAAGAATAATAGAAATAGGAAATCTGGGAAAGGAAGAAATTCGGAAAAGCAGAGGGATGTAGCGTGTTTGGAAGCTCAAGCGTACAGGCTTGCGGAACTAGTATCCACGCAACGTGTTGCTACGAAAGAGAATGTTCAGAGGAAACAAGCTAGGACGGAAGGCGAACGCGGTGATTCCGATGCAGAGGCTAGCGCTAGCGAGTCTGAAGAGGAAGACGACAACGGAGTACCTTACAATCCCAAAAATCTACCCCTCGGATGGGATGGCAAACCTATACCGTATTGGTTGTACAAATTACATGGCTTGAATATCAGTTACAATTGCGAGATATGCGGGAACTTTACGTACAAAGGGCCAAAAGCTTTTCAAAGGCACTTCGCGGAATGGAGGCACGCGCACGGTATGCGTTGCCTCGGTATTCCAAATACTGCACATTTTGCTAACGTAACGCAAATAGAGGATGCTCTAGCCTTGTGGGAGAAACTGAAGGCACAGAAACAGGCGGAACGTTGGCAACCGGAGCAGGAAGAAGAATTCGAAGATTCCCTCGGGAACGTAGTTAATCGTAAAACGTACGAGGACTTGAAAAGACAAGGTCTTTTGTAAAATATTGCATTACCGTTTAAGATAACTTTTTTACTCTGCAGTATATTACTGACGATATTGTATGTTCTAAAATAATTGTAATAATAAATAAAAACGATAGCTAGAATTATTTGTCCATTTCGAAAGTGAGAGTTCTAGTTATTTTGGAGATCGATAAGATTACGAGTTTACTATATATTTATGCCCAAAGTAGCATTACCAATTTCCTACTAAAATTACTAACCCCGTAAAAACTTCGAGGAAACGTTTGAAGATGTGGGTAGGAGCAGCAAACTTCGAAATTCTTGAAATGACGTTTATGCTGATTATATGTAGTATATACACGGTTAATCTTAATATTACGCACTGTCTCGAAATTACTAAACACGTCAATAAGCAGGGATTTCAGAACTCTTTAAATATCCGTATTCGACCAATGAGAACGCAACAAATTTTATACTCGAATTGTCCAGAACGCGTGTGGTTCGTCGTTCCGTTCACAGTGACGATTGCCTATCTGTGCACTGTTACCAAATGGCAGACCGGTGCCCGGAGGAAACAGCCCCCACCACTCACGCACACTAGTGCGCAGCCACGCGTACGTGAGGCTCTCGCGCTTCGGTCAACTTCGGGAATTAGAGAGAGAGAGAGGGCGAACGAGAGTCTGTCCTTCTCTGGTCGATGCAAATCGGATTTCAGACGCGTCGAGATCGAGAAGGAAAGACTCACATTTTCCGTCTTTCTCGAATCCTCGAAGCTATCAAAATTCACGTACGCGTAACTATGGATTAGTGTGTGTAAGTGGAGGGGCAATTTCCTCCGGGTACCGGTCTGCCGTCTGGTAGCACTGCTCTCGTGTCATCTTGTACTTTCTCTCGTAACAGTAATTTCTGCGATCCTCCGGAAAAAGTATTTTAATTTAGAAACATATTTTCGTAGCGATACGTTATCAATGAGATTAATAGAAACGGAACCGGCGAAATACTACAGAAGTCGAGTAAATTTACGCTTTTAAATGTAATTCATTATCGTTTCACGTTCGGTTCGATCGAAAGCACGATGTTTCGTCGGCATGATTAAAACCACGTGCTTCGGGAGGCCGATCGTTATTATGAAAAATGATCTAATGTGAGCATTTCTCGCTGAAACGGAATAATTGTCGTTCGTGCAATACGTTGCGAAAAAAATTAATTTTTTTTCTTATAGTTGAAAGAGCATCGATCAGAGAACAAAGATCCCTCGCCACCATCGCGAAGAGGTATGCTGAAGCAGGATGACGGAATTCGTGGACGGTTGGATATTCGGGCACACTTTAGGAGAAGGTGCTTACGGCGAGTACGTTCACGTATTTTTTTAACTTTCACGTTCTACGATTCGACGTATGTTATCGATTATCTTCCGAATTTCGAATTTAATATTTTCAAATATTTTTACACTGTATGCTCTCGTAAAGATCAAATTTATCCAAGTTGATTTAACTCCTTTTAGTATTACTCGGTATCGCTACAATATTCCATTTCACGTACAATTTAAATATCACTAGAGATAAAATATCTTTTAAATATTCATACGTTTGATTAGAAGTTTCTGTTAAAAAAAATAAGCACTCGTTTTTTTCAGAGTGAAATTACTTCTAAATAAATCTACAGGCGAGGCTGTTGCTATGAAAATGATAGATTTAGAAAAGCATCCAGACGCTCGGCAAACTGTTCGCAAAGAAACCGCTATCCATCGTATGTTATCTAATCCCAATATTGTACAGTATTTTGGAAAGCGTAGCGAGCCAAACATGGAATATATATTCTTGGAGTATGCTTCGGGCGGAGAGCTATTTGATAGAATTGGTAAGCTATAACATTGTTACTAGTTCATAAAAGGTACAGAAAGTTTGATATTTATAAAAATCTTTTTAATCTAAATAGAACCTGATGTTGGTATGTCTGCATGGGAAGCACAAAAATATTTCAGACAGTTAATTTCCGCTGTCGAGTATCTCCATAGTAAAGGAGTTGCACACAGAGATTTGAAGCCGGAGAACTTACTGTTAGATGAAAATGACAATTTGAAAATTTCCGATTTTGGTCTGGCAACAATATACCGTATGCAAGGCAAAGAGCGTTGCTTGGAAAGGAGATGCGGAACGTTGCCATATGTTGCTCCGGAAGTATTATTGCGCCCTTATCACGCCGAACCCGCCGATATTTGGTCTTGTGGTATAATTCTCGTGGCTCTGCTGGCTGGAGGTAATCTTGATAAAAACGTATAGATATCGTTTCTTGAAGATTTTATTAACCCCTTCCCGTGGCATTTGGCTCGACGAAATCCGGGCTCAAACGATGGGCGTCGTACTAATACTAAACTGCTTTGTAACAGAGATTACAAAAATCGTGACCAACTCTTGTGGCATACCGATAGGAACTAAAACTCGTTAAAGTACGGGAAGGGGTTAATAATACTTTTTATATAATTTCTTCTTGTCGCTCGGGTACGCTTGAATAAATAAAGAAACGGATATTAACAAACCAGCAAATTTATATTATTATCAAACTGTTTAAACGTAAATGCAAATACATTAAAAACAAATCGATAACAAGTTCGTATACAAATTGCAGACCTTCGTAATCGTTAGCTCGATGATTAATGTCTCTAATGTGTAACTTACATTTCTTAGTTTTTAACCGGTCCGTATCTGAACTATAGAACTGCCTTGGGACCAGTCCTTGGCAGAGTGCCCAGAATATATGACATGGAGAAACGGAAAGTACATGTCTTTCACGCCGTGGAGAAAGTTGGATAATTCTTCATTGTCTCTGATTAGAAATATTCTAACACACTCCCCGTCATCCAGATGTACCATACAGGACATCAAACGGCACAGGTGGTTTGTCAAGAAATTCCAAAAGGGTACGTAACGTATCTTGCACGCGAAACATCGTTACCTCGTTTATTCGTAACTGTGTTTTTGCAAAATCCTCATTGGAAATGGTTAAGAATTTACTTGGTCAGGTACTGAGTGACTCTGAGTATGCATTAAATTACTCAAAGCAACTTGGTACCTAACTGAGTGGGTACTGAAAGCACCAAACCTTTTCCATATATTTGTAAGTATCTAATATATTTTCTTTTTATTATTAAACATCGAAATAAAAGCTATTGTTCTTCAAGATTATCTAGGCTTTTGCCTTTACTTTGGTAATACAGCTCTATGATTTTAATTAAGGATCATAAAGCTAGATTACCAAAGCAAAGAGCACTGGCATATACATCCGACCGAATCATTAAAAATTTCGATTTACGAGTAAATAAATACTTCGGTAGTTACTGTTTCGTTCTTGCTTTTCTTTTCTGCGGTATAATTTAATACGTTAAGAAAATGTAGCAAATTCGGTTTTAAAAAATATCGTTAACAATTTTTTATCTTAGCTGGAAGTATAGAAGGTTACATTCGACCCGACGAGACGGACTCGAGGCAGGTGTTGGAAGACGAAAACTTGACAAGATTCTGCTTGTCGCAGCCCGAATTACCCGGAATAGAAACTAATACAGTACAAATTAATTTGGAAGAACGAGCAGGATTCTCGTTTTCGCAGCCTGCTCATATAGAAGATTTATTATTATGTACACAAGTACAAAATAAATTTACACAACCAAGCCAGGTAGTGCAACTCATCTGCAACGGCTGATATTTAAAAATAAACAATTAATCCGTTTGTATTTATTTTTATGTTCACAGCAAAATACGTTCCAACGTTTGGTGCGACGAATGACAAGATTTTTTGTTAAAACCGAATTGGAAGAGACCGTGAAAAGGCTAATAAATAGCTTAAATAACGAAAGTTACACTTGTCGTATCAATGACTGTGGCACGGTAAGTTTGTAAAAATAATTATTAAAACCAACGCGTTTGTAAAAAGTTATTAATGTATTACACAATTATTTTGTACAGATCACTATATCAAGCATGGATAGAAGAAAAATGCCCTTGGTTTTCAAAGCAAATATCGTCGAAATGGATGGCAAGATACTGGTCGACTTCCGGTTATCGAAAGGCTGTGGTTTAGAGTTTAAACGAAGATTTGTTAAAATTAAGTCCTTGTTGGAAGATATTATTTTAAAGGGTCCTGTTACGTGGCCGATTGCTGTTGCTACGGAATGTATGCCTTAACAATAACGTAGAGAATTGAGATTTAAATAAACGTTTTATATACTTTTGAACATGAATTAATTTTCCTTTCACCTTTCCATGTTAAATCTATTTGTAGATTTCACGTTAACGCGATAGTTTTCTAGATTCTTCCAGCATGATAATTTTATCGTGTTTTTTTGGAAATTTCGTGTCGTTGGAATATTTTAACAACCATACCATAACCTCAATTTCCGATATAACTTCAAAATGCACGTGGTGACACGATTCGTCATATTTACAGTAACCAGTACGATAGTATTCGTATTTAACAATTACCTTACTTTCATGTACCTTTTTGACAATTATAAACATCAGTTTTTTGACGATGTTAACGATTTGGAGGCGTACGATTATATCGTTGGTAAGTTACATTTCATAATCGATTTAACGTACATGTACAATATGAATAGACAAAAATAAACTTTATAGAATAATTAAATGACACAATTGTTTCATAGTTGGAGCTGGTACTGCGGGTGCAACTTTATCCGCGCGGTTAACCGAACAGGGATATAAAATTTTGTTACTCGAGGCTGGCGGAGTTGCACCGCCATTTCTCGATATTCCACTCTTAGCTCCTCTGATTCAAAACAGCCCCTTTGATTGGCAATATACGACCGTACCGCAACAAAATGCTTGCAAGGGTTTAACCAATAATGTATTACGCTTAATGAACTCTAAAATAACTGTGTTCTAGCCAGGTATATAATCGAAAAATTGTTCTCAGCAAAGTAAATGGCCAATGGGCAAACTTCTCGGCGGAACTAGTCGATTAAATTATATGCTTTACGTTCGTGGCCACCCTTCCGATTACAATGAATGGTTTCCAGATTTAATCGGTAATTGCATTAATCTGAAGAATTTATTTATTTTTTTTTTTTAATATCGGAATATATTTCTAGAACCTACTACAGAATATAGTGGACCAATGCACGTAAACGATTTACAATGGAGTACCGATCTTGCTGATATAGTTTTAAAAGGATTAGAAGAATTGCATCAACATATCGGCAATATCAACAAAGATTCTAAAACTGGTAATTTTTTAAAATATCGAGAAGTGTTGTAGTTCACTGATTCTGTCGTTTTAGGTTTCATGAAAGCACAAGTATCAATGGAAGATGGAAAACGATGGAGTACGGATAAATTATTATATAAAAATTTTAAAAAGAATATCTCTATCGTTACTCATGCTAGTGTTGAAAAAGTACTGATGGAATCGAACAGAGCAATAGGCGTACAATTCGTTAGATTTAATAAGATATTTAAAGCATTTGCCAAAGAGGGTGTTATTTTGAGTGCTGGCGCGATCGGTACCCCGAAAATATTAATGTTATCCGGTATTGGGCCGAAAAAACATTTGGAAGACTTAAAAGTAAATTTTTTTGTTTCATAATGATTTTCAAGATTGCGTTTGATTATATTTCTGGTAATAACGTTATAATCTATTTAGATAAACGTGATCAGCGATTTACCCGTTGGTCAACATTTAGTAGACCATGTGCTCACTGGAATCGATTTGATTATGCTGAACACAAGCATAGGCTTAAGTATGACCGATACCTTGAATCCCGCATCAGCGATAAATTACTTTCTTTTTGGAGCAGGTAAAAATTTTTAGCTTCGATAATTACTGATTACGACTAATTGCATTTCGTGTAATTTAGGTCCTTGGACATCCGCGGGGGTTGAGGTTTTAGGAACGTTTCACAGTTCGTTCGAAAATAATAAATCAAACGTACCGGACTTACAGATAATGATGATGCCGCTTGGATCATCGAAAGACAACGGTATTGTTTTAAAAAAGGCCATGGGAATTTCCGATAGGGTGCGTTGCAAAAAAAAAAAACAATTAATTGTATAGATTTTTAAAAGTATCTATTAATATGCCTAAATATTAATTTCTCGTATATCATTTTATAGGTCTATAACGAATATTTTGCTCCCGTTGCATATAAGGATACAATAACAATTGCTCCTGTTCTATTACATCCAAAAAGTAAGGGAGAAGTCAAGTTACGCAGCAGCGATCCTTCCGATCCGCCATTGATCGATCCGAAATACTTATCAAATAAAGACGACATTTCGATTCTCGTAGATGGTACCATAATTTTAACTCTCAGTTATAAAACGTATAACGTATCAGTTACGATTAAATTGCACAAATATTAAATTTCACAGGGCTCAGATTCGTGAAGAAACTTGTCGAAACAGACGCAATGAGTACCGTCGGCGCGTCTATTTACGAGAAACATTTTCCTGGCTGTGAGAACGAAACATTTGACAGTACAAAGTATTGGGAATGTTACATACAACATTTAACTTTAACTTCCTATCATCCTGCCAGTACGTGCCGTATGGGCGATGTCGTCGATCAAACGTTCCGGTAATTCTACAGTTTTGAACACAAGCTGATGTTCTTCTTTTTTACAAATATTATGAGAACTGTTTCTTACACAGAGTTCGTGGCGTGACAAATTTATACGCGATCGATGCATCGGTATTACCGTCTTTGCCAAGCGGCAATATCAACGCTGCGGTTTTGATGCTCGTCGAAAAAGCCGCGCGTATGTTTAAACAAAATACAAAAGTTCACGAGAATAACGAGGAATGTTACAAGCCACGTGAGTACCACCACAGATCCAGTAGTAAACATGACACATGGAATAAACAATTCTTTTATTCGATGCAGATTTAAACTCGGCTTAAATAATTTTGAAACATAAAAAAAGCTATACTCTCGCTGCATTAAATATGTGAAATGAAACGGTGACGTTGCACTTGGATATTTGTTTTGAAAAGTAATGATTTTACAAAGATATATCATAAAATTCTACGAATTGAAATAATATATCTAGACTTTGTAAGCGTGCGTTGAACCGAAGAAACAAACAGTGTGTATCGTTAAAAGTATACTAAATTGAAACCTTATAATAATAGAAATTAGTTTTATACCATCTACTCTGTATATTAAACAACATCAACGATAATCGCGTCTACTGCTTTTGTAATTTTGCCTAGAGAAGTTATTCGATCGATGGTTATTATTGTGATTGCTTCTGGATCCGTGATCTTTGTGATGATTGCCCGTCTTACTCTGCTCTCTGTCGTAAGGATGTGCTCGCCTAGACCTTCTACTGTCTTTGTAAGAATGAACGTCTACGTGGTTGGAATGAGAACCTGAGCCTGGCAACATATGCGTTCCAAACATATCTACTTTCATATGAGCTGTATTATTTACTATTAACATCTGTTGGCCTAATTGGAGCAGATTGTTCACGCTAAAAGAAGGGTCCTGAGAATTTCCTATTTGCGGTGATTCTACGTTGTTCCTTGTGCTTATACTAAGAGGACGATTAAATAGCTTTGTACCATCGAATAGTTCCATAGCATACATTACGGAATTAATATGTTTGTATGTTACAAATCCGTATGCTCTTTGCTTGCCGTCGCGATCTTTAGGAATAGTAACACTTTGCACGGGCCCGCCCTACAACATTGCAGAAATGTATCTGATATAAAAATAAATTCATTTTAACGGGTCAATGAAGAAAAAAAAAAAAAGCTACGATAAAATGTGATGTTAAAGTGATGCGTATTAACGAAAGTTGTTAGTACGTAACCTTAAATCAGATGCTCAGAAATACATGTAAAATGTGATTTTAAAGGTCGTTAGTTATGACGTTAGACGCAAAATATAGTTCGATATCTTTAGAAATATCTAGTTTTTTAAACAATGACTTTATTACTGTGTACAATCACAAAATATTTTTTGCTTCATGTTTACGCATTTACACGAATGTACGAACCTGTAAGAATAATTCGTACAGAATCTCTTCCGTTACTCTCCCGTTCAAGTTCCCACACCAAAGGGTACGTATATCTTTATCCATGATGCTATAGAATGTAACAAACAGTAAATATCCAGATTTGATCAAAATTAGGAAAGTAATTTAATAAACAATCGACTAGAACACACTACAAGAAACGACAATCACATTCCAAGCGTAATGTTTGTAATTGACACTAGAGGGCATTGCGGTTCGAACAGTGGATCAAAGACAATTTTAACGAACTTTCTTCCTTTTGAATCTAGATACTTCGAGAAAGAAAATTGTGGGTTCGAATTTACACACACGTTCGTTAATTCTTGCGATTTAAGGGGTACATAGTCAAAGTATATGGTGTAGAACTACTTTTGAGTGATTACTTCGCTATCTATGGTAGAATAATTATAATATATTATTTGGTAATGAATTTTTCTTTTCAAAATCTCTAACGTCCGCCAATGCGACTTTTTCTCGAAATACGAAAGAAATAATTGAAAGAAAAAAAGATCGAAATCTATTTATCGGAATTAATTCCCTTATTGCAAAGAAAAAAAATATGTCCGTTCGCTACGACTTGAAGTTGCCTTCGATAATCGACATTTGGCCGTTTGATTATCGAATTGTCATTCGATATATATAGTACTACAGTATGGCTTACAATGGAACCAAATAGTTTTAGGTTTAAATGTCAATGTCATTGGTATTGATAGCGGCGTGATTAAAATATATATATGTACATGTAGATAAAGCGTTAAACTTTTATATTGAAAAGTATGTCAACGGACAAAGATAACAGTTCCTTGAAGGATCAGGATGAAAAAAACAAGTTCAGGGTATACTGTACATTTTGCCCGTCGAAAATGCTGAATGCAGGTGCAGCTCGTCTGGTAAACATCGAGGTGATTAATTATCGATATAACTACGAGAAACTTAAACAAAAACGAAACTGCCAATAATTTGTACAATTCTAAGAATATCTTTGAGCGTTATACAGTGATTCGGATGCACTCTTTTTTTTATTATTGCGACGCTAGAGAACCTAACCTCAATATTTGTTTACTTTTTAATGGTTTGTTGACCGATTTGTTTAACGCGAAAATAGAATGAAAGAAAGAGCACAGTATTTAGTTAAGAGATCAGGATTTAAGTAGGCTAAGGTATTTGATAACATTTTAGTTTAATCTACCCTATGTACAACGTAAGGGAGAGGGTGAAGCTAATCAGCAGGAATCGATAACAGACTATTGGTTGGTGGAGGACATGTACACATTTGAAAATATCGGTGTCTCGCATATGGTAGACAACGTAAAGTATTTAGCATGCGCAGATTGCGAAAGGGGTCCAGTGGGTTGGCATGATCTCTCCACGAAGAAGTCTTACATTGCGTTGAGCAGAGTCAAGCACGAATGATTTATAAATAAAGGTATTTTTTTTTTAAATTTTTACGAGCTATGGTTTGATTTCTTATCCAAGAAGATACAAGAGAAATAGAAGAAACGTCTCGGAGTGTTTTGGACGAAGAATGCACATTGCTATTTAAGTTGATAGTTTAATATTCAATCACGTACGTTACAAACACAGCCGAATAAATCAGATAATCAATCGTCGTTACGATGTAATAATCAATAAATTACGCTTACGATCAGAAATCATTTATCAATGTACTTAATACGTATGCGTTCGTGTGAATCAAGTTTTTATCTCAATGCATTGAATTTTTTATGCCGCGACACGTGGGGCCGCAAAAATGTTTATGCGCTGTGCATATCGGTATAATTAATTATTTTATGTAAAGTGTTAGACGCGTGGGTACCTAAGTGTACAGTACTTATATATGTATTTGTATATGCATATAAATCAATGTTTTCTTAAAAAATGATATCGATATTCGAATTAAGCATCTTCGATGTATTTAAAAAAAAAAAAAAAAAAAAGAAAAGAAATAAGAAAAAATATTTAATATTAATACTTCATTGTTCATTGTACTTGGCTCTCTAGATAGAGGAGATGATATTCGTTTTTTTTTTTTTTTTTTAAAGGCTTTGCTCAAAGATACAGAACATTTGTATGGCACTGTGCTTTATTAATCAATATTTCGTTCTTTCGACTATCGGATTATTTTATCACGGAGAAAAAGAAATTCTTGCATACATACAAAACATATATACGCGCACATGTATACACGTATGTGTGTTGCAAAGCCTTTTCCGGAAAAGTTAATCGTAATTATTTATCATGTATTTCCTCTAGACGTTTTTTCGGTTTGCCTTAAATATTGCAAAAATAGTCGCGCGTTCGTTCCTAGCCATGTCGCGTCGGCCTTTAATAACATCACAGTGTTTTTTATATTTTTTTTTTTTTTTTTTTGTCTCTCTATTCTTTACTCCCTTGCGCGTTGTCTCGAACAATTTCAATACGTAATAGGTAACTGCGAACGAGTAATTTTTAATAATTACAAGTAACAACTGCGACGGTGTACATTAATCGTCAGAATTGCGCGATATAATACGAAATATACGAGACGATGATGACGAATGATGATCGATGATAATAAGAAAAATTTCAGCTACGATGAATGAAATTGTGATAAATCACGATTAAATTAACGATTTAACGATACTATTCGTAGTAATTATACAGCTCGCAATAAATAATAACGTGTCGATAAACTGTAACGGTGAATATCGGATCAACAATGCGAATTCTAAACTAAGAGAATTCTTTTTCTCGTTCTCTCTCACTGGCACGCACACACAGACGTACACTCGCTCTCTCGATATTGCATAATATTCGTAAAATGTCGATTTCTAATGAATTAGCGTTTATAAGGCTCATATCTAATACGGTTTACTCGTTTCCATCGGCCACGATCGCTCATTCAGGAGCTGCGGGGCGCAAAGATTTCTTCTACAATGTGTCGTAATGTGTTCGAGCCGCGAACATTGTTCAAACTGTCGTATCGACGACGGTTGTAGAGACAATTGTACGAAAAATCGTTACGCCCGTGGCTCCTATTTGCCCCCCCTGCTATCGTCAGACGCATTTAGTAACGAAGCTTTGCGATAGGCGGCACTGATATCATACATGTACGTATATTATAATCGCGTAACACAGAATCTGTGCCTTCTACCCTTTGGCAGACGCAGTGAAAAGGTATAAAAATAACCAGAATAAAATCGGATAGACTGGAAAGGATACAAGGTGTGCCAAAAAGAGAAGCGACTCCCTCGGGAATATACCGCGTATTTTGGATCACCCTGTACGCACGTGGACGTTTATGCTACTCGTAAATGTCCGACAATCATTGTCGCCGATGGCTCTGCGAGATCCACTCGATCACGAGCGACGATCGATCGTTGAACATTTGTTCTTTTTTTTCTTTTTCATTTTTTTTTTTTTTTTTTTTTTTTTTTGAAATACTTTGAAACTACTGGTACCCTGAACGCTGTTTGGATCAAAGCATCATTCCGAGCAGTAACAAGTAGCAGTAGCAGATTTCGGACATTTAACTCTAACATGTACATAATCATGCACGTACTTTGTCTTCTTCGTTTCTTTCTAACCATTAAGCACTCTTCGACCGTACAATGATAAGTTTCTTCGAGAGCCTCTCTCTCTCTCTCTCCCCTTACACTCTGACTAGATTTAAATTATCGCTCGTTTCTCCTTGAAATCACCCCTCCACCTCGTCCTAGCTACGTTTAAACGTTCCACGTAATTGCAATGGCACACTAAGTCGTTATTTTTGTTCCTCGTATCGGGAAAGAATAGGCGTGATCGAACTCGGTCGGATTCGACGCAAAGAATCGCAAAATCGATACAGTTTCATTGTTATTTACCAAAGAGAAACGGATAGAAATAAAATGGACGTTGAATATCGATTTCCTTTTCTCGATTCTGCTTGTCCGTGAAATAATATCGACCGATCGATTAATCCTAACGCGATTGCTCCGCTCGGGAGTCGCAACCGACGCGACGCGACGCGACGCCACGACAGATCGAGCAATTTCGAAACAACGGACGAGACGATCGAAAGAAGGGATGCGCGGGGTGTTCTGGTATTCGAGCTTGGTTCGCGTAAAACCGTGCAAAAAATCGCGTGGTAGAAACTTCGCCGGTGCGAGAAGCCACGTGTCGTTGATCACAATCCGATCAACGGTTAACCTAAAAAATCAGTTTCGATGCGGAATGCAGAACGTATTTCTGCTCATTGAAGACCCACTCGACGGATCGAATTTCCTTTCGCGGTTCGTTCGTTCGCTGTAGATCAATTTTCTTTCGCGAGAAACTAGAACCTTTTCTCACAATACCTCCTAGGAATGACTTTCGATTTCTCGAGGATCAGCTTCGTCGTACAGAATCTGAAGCACTGAACCAGCGATCAGCGACGGACACTCGTGGAAACTTTGGACATGCGCACTGGAATTTTCCCTCGCGGGATTCCTTTCTGCGCACGCGTAAGCTCTCGTCCGCTACCATAGATGTATCTTTAGCGAATTCTCATGTTTTGTACAAAATTGAACTTTCTACTTCAAATGCTCGCCAATCACACAAAAATTAACTTATCGAAGATCCCATACGTATTTCTCTAGCTACACTCATGTAGTTTAAGAGGAAATTTTTTGTTTTTGTCTCTAACTTCCTTAAATTTTGTTTCTTATTAGGATCCAACGGTATCCTAAATTCTAGTCAAGTGTATACTCCAGTGCGCATGACCAAAATTCCCACGAATGTGCATCAACTGCACTGAACCCTTCGAGCACGACGCACGTTCCATCTATCGATCCACAAACGACTCACATTTTACAACCGTGTAACAGATGTCTACCTATTTCTTCGATGTCTTTTTTTCTACTTCGTAAATTTAAACTTCGAGATCGAAAGTTGCGTCGTGTTTCGAGGGGTTTAACGGAGGGACGCGGATAAAAACCGAACGTACAGACTTTTTACGATAACATTAACTTTAACGTTGGATATCGGCTGGAAACGCATCGGTACAAGCCGCTTAAGCTCTCGGAAAAGATCGAACGTTTACGTGCAAGCGACGAATTCTCGACATTCGCCGCCTACGCATCGGTGTAAGAAATCAATCGTGAAAAATTCGTCGGCGAGGCTCTCCGGCGACGATTTGCCTTTCGTTTCGCGGTTTCTAACGCTTAACATCAAAGTACAGTAATTAAAATATTATTCAATAATCATTTTGTCGAAACGAAAACCGGTCGGTAACCATTGGACACGGTCGATAAAGTGTTAAGTTGATCGTCGATAAAATCAACGAGTGTCGTTCGAGAGATTGTTGATTCTCGTCTTTCTCTCAGCGATACAATTGGAAAATGATACCGTAATTAATTAGATGCGAAACGAAGGACGAATCGGTTATTAATTTTCGTGGGGGAGCCCCGCCTCGGCTCGCATACGTGCACAGCTAATTAATTATATGACGCTAAAGAGTTAGGATTACGTGTCTTGGTCCGTGGAGTATTAAATGTTAACGACATTAATTAATTTATTTACCAACGCTCCCTATCACCTAAACGACAGCTTGTTCACTCACGGCAGGTGACGCATATAAAACGTAGTAATAAGTTTAGTAGTAATAAGTTTATTCCTTTTACCATCGATTCTCCAGGCTCGGTGCCCTCGAACGTAATTTCACCGGTTGGAAAATATTCGAGAAAATCCACCGAGTCTGGACGAAGATCGACGCTCTCGTACGATTATAAACGTCCCCGATGAAATATAATTTTCCTCGTCGAGAATCGATCGTTTTTTTTTTCCTGATCGTCGAACTCGATTCTACGCAATATTCGTTGTGTCGATTACGCGTTATCCTCGGATATACTCGTTTCAAATCGGCGCCATATTTAAGAGAAGCTTATTTTTACGATGCCCGTTGGCATTCGTACGAATTATCATCTACGATCCTAATTATAATCGTAATAAATATAGCGGATACAGTATAATTATATTGCCCACAATGACACCATAAAAACGTATCTTCTCGAGGGCTTGTCAAACGAATCTTCGTCTCTCAACAATTTTTCAAGCGTGTTTACGAACGTTGGAACATTTTTTTTTTTTTTGGCTCTTTTGTATAAAAAGAATCAGAATGAGACGCACCTGGTCGTGATGGAGTCATTGCCCGCGACCGATATAACTATAAGGTATTTGAATCTGATTATCCTAGACACGTAAGACAATATTTTTTTTTGTGTGTTTGTCGTGTAACGTTATATTGAGCTTGCTGAAATCGTTAAATCCCGTTCCTATCGATCTTTCGATCGTACAGCAGAGCCGCTCCGAAAACTTGAAATACTTGGAATAAATTCTTGGGAGTTTCTAGTCTCTTTGGTCTGCGATCGATATGGCTTGTACAATCCATCCGAAGGTCCGTAATAAGAACTATGGTTTAGAAGTTAGCGATAATAACGATACAGTAGTACGGTAGCAGCGGTATCAAGTAATATAGTGGTAATAACAGTTATTTTCTCTTACAGGTAATGGTAGTAATAGTAATAATAGTAATAGTGGTAGTAATAGTAATAATAACGACAGCGTCGATAGTATCATAGCGATATAAGATATCTCTAAAGGTACACGGGTCGCTCGGAGAAACGTCGAATGTTGTACTCACGAGTATACGATCCTAAAAAGAGTTCGTTTCTTTTTTTCTCATTTTTTTTTAACTTTTCTTTTTTAAATTCACCGTTCCAGACAGCGCCATGTTTCGTAATTACTTTCAACGTTACGATCGAACTTCGCTGACATCTTCACGACACACATAACCTCTACCGGATTCTTCTAAGGTTTGTAATCCTGCGCGGGCAAAGCGTTACAGCATCGGCACTTCGTTACACCTAATCGCAAGCTTTACCCGTAATACGTTAAATTTCTTCCCCCCGTCGCGTTATCCCGTGTTTCTGTCTCGCTTCGTTCGAACATTCATCGAATAAGAAAAAACCAAACGAAAACCATTTCGCGAGCTTGCTTTCGAGCTATCATTTTTTTGGTTTTTGGTTCGTATATCGTTTTCTCGTCATTTATTGCGTCGATCGTATAACTGGGATACGAATCTTTAAAGCTATCCAGCCGCGAAAGCTACTCTGAACGATCGAAAGAACATTATTCCCACTCGTATTCGTACGCCTATAATGGCGATTCGCTATTAAGCTTGTTACTTATGAATTCTTTCCAATGTTGTGTTTATTACACCTCTGTAAATTCACTTATAAATTAATTCCTAATTGCAACACTGGTTATCGTATAAACAGTATACAAATAATGCCAATATACACGTTTTTCTCCGCCTAGTGGTCGGTCACCAATCCTAACTCGACTGCACCGAGAATGCAGCTTCCACTTCAATGATCAGGCGCGAGCCAGTGTTACCAACGTGCCACGCAACCGTCCACAGTTTTATCCCTAATTTATTCAAACATAACCCTTAAATATTTCAATGTACGAAAACATGGACTCGTACCAAACACAACGGTTCAATTAATAAGAAACAAGCTTCACTTATTTACAGCTAATCACCATTATAGTGTACGAATACGAGTGGGAGTAATTGTATATGTATATACGACAGCGTACAAAAGTTTTAGACTGTCTTCTTCTTCGTGGATTTCCTCTTCACGAGGAAAGAAATTTATATATTATAATCGAAACAGAGTGGAGCAATATTTCTATACAACGTATGAATTTAATAAAAATTTCTCTGTGAAAGAACAAAATTCAGATTTTCGTTTGTTTTATATTTCAATATCGCGAAAGAATTTTTTACCAAATGTGAGCGAATGAAATCTCAGAACTAACCGCGTAAAACTTCTGTCCACCGTTGTATACACGTGTGTATATATACATATATTATGTACGTTACGTATACGCAATAATATCTACCGAAAAGCTTCGACGGAACGACGATTGATTAACCAAATTTATATGTATACACGTATATGTATATATACATATAAATCGTATATATATTTGTTTCTTTTTGTACAGCGGAATTGTTGCAGCCCTGCTCCCTTAGTTTAAAAGCGAACGTCTGTATTTTTTTTTTTTTTCTTTTATTTCTTTTCTTTTCTCAAAAGGTCTACAGAGTACAGAGCTAACCTGCGATCACGTTGAATTTGCCGCGATTGCCGTTCAAATCGACAAGATACCGGAAAAAAAGAGGTCGATCTTTAAGTAAAAGGCGAATCACGAGTTAGCGATTTCATGGACGACACTTGCATCGACCTTCTCCTATTTGTAGTGACATCGTACGAACAAGTATAACACGTTCCCTTAAGCGAATAGAGTTTGATTCGTTCAGCTAATTTGTCAGAAGCATATATCAACGTCGAGAATCAGCGGCGTGACTAACCGACGATAGAAGAGAAATTAAAAGAAAACGAAGCGTGTATATCTCGTGTTTGGTTGGTTCTTCGCCCGTCTTTCTTTTTTTTCATTTTTTTTTTTTTATTCCTCCGTTTCCGTATACGCGTGCCCATCGAGTGTCGCATGTGTGTGTACGTGTGTGTTCGTAATCGATCACCCGCCGGATCGACCTTTTATCGGGGAAATAGGGGGTGCTTTAAAGAGTTATCACATGTGAGAAAAGATGAAAACGAGGCAAATCCATCGACTCGACAGTTTTTCTACGCGACCGCCTCGTTCAACCTCTCGAAGTCGAGGAAAAGACGCCCCCCCCCTTCGCTATTTCGGCGTTCTTCGCGGAACAAATCGTCGAACACACGTTTTCTTCGATCTCGCGGCTCGAACACTTTCGTGTCTGGGCTTCCCCGACCGTTCTCGATCCTCCGTCCCAGGGCTCTTCTTTCCACGGACCAGCTTCGAAGTATCGTTAACGGACGCGTCTACTCGCGATAGAGTTCGTCTACTCGATGATCGACGGTCGCCTCAGGTGCCAGTCTACGAGGAGCCCTTGTAGTGGATGAAGAAAAAGGTGAGGAACATGAAATAGGCGACCGGGAAGGTGATTCGTGCTATCACGTCGATCGTTTTTGCTACTCTTATCGGATGCGGTGGCTCCTTCTTTCGCAGCTGGAACAGAGACACCTGTGCGTCACTAAAATTTTATATTCTTCCCTCGGCGGGCGTTCCAAACATGGTCGAGAGTCTTGAAAAACTTGGATTGGAAAAGTCGATTAATTCACTAGCGATCGATAACTGTTTGCAACGAGGTGTCTATACGAATAGACCTTACACATTCGATGCATTTTTCTGCAACTCTAACCTCACTTTTTTGTTTTGGAAAAGAATTTTTTTTCTACAAAGTGGGTAGGATTTCGGGGGTATGTCTATTGACAAAGAATGATTGTAATTGACCCCCGCAAACCGAAAATAATTTTTCCATAAGGATTTGGAATTTTTTAATTTTGTCGAAAATTTGTCCACTTACTCGAATTTTTTTCTCGAAAACGCGTAGGATTTCGGGGGTATGTCTATTGACCAAAAATTATTGTAATTGACCCCCACAACTGAAAATAATTTTTCCAGAACGATTTGAAATTTTTTAATTTTGTTGAAAAATTTCACACCTTCTCGAATTTTTTTCTTGAAAACGCGTAGGATTTCGAGGGTATGTCTATTGACCGAAAATGATTGTAATTGACCCCCGCAACTGAAAATAATTTTTCCAGAACGATTTGAAACTTTTCAATTTCGCCGAAAAATTTCAGCACCTATTCGAATTTTTTTCTTGAAAACGCGTAGGATTTCGGGGGTATGTCTATTGACAAAGAATGATTGTAATTGACCCCTGCAACCGAAAATAATTTTTCCAGAACGATTTGAAACTTTTCAATTTTGGCTGGCTGTCCATCATTGCCAACTCAGTGAATAGTTTCTCAACTGACCGCCATGCATGAAAAGAGGGCGCTGAAATCACTTTCGAATTTTAATGTCGGTATGGCAGTCAGATTGGGCCATAAGGTGTATGATCTACTCGTATATCTCGTCTGTTTATTAATTGACTAGCGGTCGATAACCGCTGATAATGAAAAGTCGATTAATCGACGTATCGAGCAGTCGATTTATCGAAGAAGATGCATCAAAATTAATAGGTTCCTCGTCACACAGGGGCACACAGGAATTGACGTACTGTTCTCCCTCAAACAGAATAAATTACTTGGAAACACAGTACTTCCAATTAATCGATAACTACGAGGATTCTAAATATTTGAAAATTTTAATTATCGACAGGAAATTGGAAGGACATTGATCTACAATTTTTGCTATCACGGTTCACTATTTTCTCTACTTTTCCTAAGACCTTGGATACGATTGGAAACATTCAAGATGGTTCCCGATAGCAATCGAGTTTCTTTTAATCAAGTGACTCTTGTGTCGCGTTCCATCAGAATCTACACCAGGCGTTGCACATTTCTTATTAGTTTATATCAACCTAGCTTCAAATCAGATTATTCCTAGCATCTAAAAGAACCAGATTCAACCTTTCAATCTCAAACTCTAAATTCCGGAACAATAACACTCTAAAATACTTCTACTACAAAAATATATTTTTTTTTTACTCGAATCACGGTTCAAAAATTTTTGAAACTCGCTCGAACAAAAATCACCGGTATTGTTTTCCTTCGATGTTTTATATTTGTGCACGGGCAAGAAATACAAAAAAAAAAAAAAAAAACTGGTCCACTATGGGTCTCCCCTATTTTCTACGGAAGTGTGCATTTGCATAAAGATCGGTGGTCTAGTAATTACGAGTGGAGAGGAACGAGAATGGGAACGGAGAGGAAGAGGAGAGAGCCTCGATGACATAACGCGTATCGATCGAGAGGATCACTTGGGGGGCAGGGGGAGGGGGGGTCAGATGTTTCGGGGTTGATAGGGATAGGTTAATTAACATACCTCGGCGGTGCATCCATTGGTGGCCGTGTGCGTGCAAGGATTAGGTCCACAGTTGGTGCAGGTCACGATCTCGTTCGGTCCTGTCGTGCCTCCGGTTGGTGGACCGCCCTCTCGCTTCTTTTTACCCTGCGACAGGGTCTCCGTAGAAGAAACTTATAGTCTCACGATCATTCGTGCAAACAACGATCCATCCTTCGACCAACTTCTCCGTTTCTCTATCTCGTTACGTCTACTTCCCTTTTATTTTTTTTTATTTTTTATCGCGTTCGTCGATCGACGGGTCCGTCGAACGACGAACGCGTAACCCGAGACGCGAAACACGACGGGTCTCGCGTTACGAAAAGTCATCGAGATCGCTCGTGTTTCCGTCGAGTCGTTTACAGGGATTATTTCGTCGGATGGAAACGGCCAGCTTCGATCTCTATGGTAATCGATCGGGTTCGAGATGACAAGCGTATATAAGTCAAGCGTGAATATGGAGGCTTTGATTGAGGCGGACAAGCTTGCACGTTGTACAGGCGTGAATTTGGAAAATTTGCACCGTAGACCGGAATATCGCGGTGGTACGCGCCAAACGCGTCACGGAATACTTTTTCCGACCACAAACGGTCGAACGGGAAAGTGGTGTGTTAACGCAAGCTCTCTCTTCAACGCTCAACGGGCAAGCAAATGTTATAAATACTTTACCGACCGATAATACACTTTTTCTCACACTAATAAAAATATTTAATCATACTCTCCGAAAGAGCTTGCTGTATTATTCAATTTCTATTAATCTAGGGTAATTCGATCTAGTAACATTTTTCACTTTCATGAGAACCGATTAATACCGGTCGGTAATGCGTTGAAAAGCCGATCAACCGGTCGGTAAAGTGTGAAGCGTTGGTCGGTAAAAAGGCGACCAATACCGGTCGGTAAGTGTCAAGCGTTGGTCGGTAAAAAGGCGACCAGTTCCGGTCGGTAAAGTGTCAAGCGCAAGAAATCGTATTAACACGGTCTATGGACTATGGATTACGGAACTAAGAAAAACAAACCACGTTGAACACTTCCCAACTGTTCGACCCTAAGGGCGGGTACCACCGGGGACACGCGTGAAATCGTCTTCTTCGCGAGGTCTCCGTTTCAAGAACTACGGTTCCACGCAGACTCTGGAAATCGGGTTCGTCGAAAAGTGAATCGTTGTTTTATCTTTTTCCTTTTCTTTTACCCCTCCCCCTTAACAGTACACACGTTGTATGTATAATATATCGATCAACACTTTCGTGCCTCTGCGTATAACTTACGAATTACATGCCGTATAACATCTACGTTTTTACGCAGTCGCGCGTCGGGCTCGAAGCGTCGAAGCGAGACTCGTCGCTCGAGCGTTCGTTTCTCGAATGAACGAGCTCGTTATCTGCATTCGTTCGACCCCGACGCGAACATCCACTCTCTCCTATGACAACTGTACATTTCTAAGTCGTCGGTTCGACGATGTCTTTCCTCGAACACAGGTTCACCGCACGATGAATCTTTAGATTTCTCGAACCAAGGATCTCTTCCGTGGTTGTCGCGCAGTTTAATGGTTTCGTTAACCCTCCATTCGGATTACCAATGGTTCCAAAACTCGTAACAGTTAAATTATCCTACGTTTTCAATTTTTGAATAGGAAATAAATATTACTGTGCAATGCAACGATAAAGCATCGTTTCTTCGACGATATTTTCTCGTAATCGCACGTAATTTTAACAAAAAGTTTTCAAACTTTTTTTTTTGGTACTGTATCGTACGAATTTCTTTTTGTTCATACTCAAGGATCAAAAAATGTAGAATAATTTTGGCCGTACAGTTGACGTACTGAACAATATTCGATACCAAAGTCCGGAGGTGAGGCGGCCATTAAACTGGGCGAACGTTAAAGCGGATCCCCGTACCGATTTGCGTTTTTAGAAAGGTATTTTATATGTCAAGCTTATGCTACATGTCAAGCTTCAATCGGGGTAAGTTCCATGGCAAAAAAGCGATTGTTGGTATCACAGTCAAGGCATGATATATATATAATACGTTACATACATATATACATACAATATATATACATACATTCGATATAAATTATATATATTTATATATATATGTATATATGTATTACGACTAATTACTGATCAACGTTAATCATGGTTAAGAAGAAAGAAACGTAATTAAACGCAGAATAAATTGCGCAAACGGAACGACCAGCCGGCACGGCGCGCGTTAATTTTTAATTGTTTTCGTTCAGGCGCGACTAATCGCTTTCTTTACAGCGCGCTGCTCACTTCGACAATGGTTTCGTTTCGATTCACCGGGGAAATGTTAAGCGTTCGCGAACGGCCATTCGTAGATCGTGATCTAGTTCGTTTCTTGTCTTCCCCTCTTCTTCAACCCCCGAAAATGCTGCTTCGGTTATTCCCGACGTAATTTCGGTACAGAAAAAGGAACACATATACGTTTTACTTTCGAAAGGTTACTTGTTCGTTGTCTTCGGAACAGGCGATCAGACTCGACGATAAACGATCGAATTCAGACGAAAAGCGCCGCTCGCGAATCGAAGGATGCAAGCTGATGGTGCTCGAACCTCGAACTTCCCTGGGAGTCTATTCTTTGCTCCACCGAAGCGTGAACTGTGGAAAACGGTTGCAAATCGACCACGTGATTCGTTTCCCTTCGATCCGCGAGCGGCGCGGGCGAACTGCGACTCGAGTAATCGCTTCTACCGATCTCCATCCGTGTTACGTGTTGCAAACGTGAGCGATCAAGCGACATCGAAACGTAGACAGAAGAAAGACGATTTATATTCGGATGCCTCGCCTCGAATAAGCGCAACGTTAACAAGCGTTAATGACTCCGTGGAGGAACGGGACCAACGCTACGTATCGCGACTGTAAAACTATCTGTCGAAATCGATTAGTAATGGGAATAAAAAGAAATTAAAAAGGACGAGTTTCGTAATTTATATTTTTCGATCTGTGAAGTTCGAAGTGTGAAAATAATTTTGAGTTAATATTTACGTTAATTTGAATAAAAATATTTCTTTTTTTTATTCAGGCAAATTGATAGGTATTTTATTTTTATTAAATTTGTTGGCTTTTTTCCAAAATTGTTGAATTTTTGAATAGTTTTACAGTTACGACGCTTAGCGTAGCTTTCCAGCGGCTCACAGTGGGGGAACGCCAAGTTTGCGTAAAAGTAGTGCAACTTTTAATAGAGACGAGATAAAAATTTGAATACTCTTTTAAATTAAAGTTCAAACATAGAGTAAAGGACAGTTATACAGGGTGATGGACTTAAATATCTCTAATTTGTATGCTATTTCAATGGTTAGAAAAAATTGTATTGCAAAAAAAATTTGTTCAAACTAGTCAAATAGCACACAAAATACTTTTAACGATTTAACACACACTTTTTTACTCAGAAAATACGTGCTTGTACTCCTGGAGTAAAATTGCAAATTTTTTTATTTTACACAGATTTTGATACGTCCAGCTTAAGCTCAAAGCTGGTCGTAAAATTCGCTATAATTTCCTCCGGGCTTTAATTTAAAAAAAAACGAAGTTTTTATCCTCTATTAAAAGTTGAACGATTTTAACCAGGAAGTTGGTCGTTTTTCTCCCCCCTGTAGAAAACCGCCCTTGTTCCACAGCGAGTCTCGCGCAACTAAAAAGAGTCTGTAGCTCCGGTCGAGGCAACAAGGTACAGTGTTGGTCGAACGAAAGTATCACTCGACGATAAAAAAAAAAAACCATGCATCGTGTGCTCAACTTACGCTTCGTTCATGCATCCCATGCGTCTCATGCTAAACACGGTCCAACGAGTCTCCGTCGTCGGCTCAAAAATGCGTATCCCATGCACGACGCCATCGCTTGGATTCGCAATACACCCGCCCCGCGTTCTCTCTCTCTCGTTCCAGTTCCGAACGACGATCACGAGATACGTTTCCAACCGATCGGGGTATCGTTCGTAAGTATCGTTGCAAATCCAAGCAAACGGCGCCCCCCCCGCGGTCGAAGTAGTAAAACGAGCAGAAGAATCTAGCAGGCGCAGGCATTTTTGTTGGCTAATATCGTACGTCTACCTTTTTATTTCTGTGCAGGTTGCTCGCAAAATTCGTCGTCGGGTCTGGAAATTATCGCGAAAATGTACTCGATGTTCCGGGTGGGACGAGATACGACAAACGTAATTCGTGGACGGGGTAACTGGCGCGGTGAATTTTGCGGCACCCTGCGAAGCTTTTATGCAGTTGCGTCGCTCGCGAATGCATGCACTTTGTCCATGCACACCGTCTGGAGGAGTTACGGAAATAGAAACTAACTCTACTCAGAGAGAAAGAGAGAGAGAGAAAGTGTGAGAGAGTGACTGAGAGTCGGAGAGAGGAAGAGAAAGAAAAAAAGAAATAAAGAAAAAGACAGAGAGAGAGAGAGAGAGAAGAGATAAGATAGAATAAAGAGAGGATAGAAACATAGAGATGGCATGAGCACAGGCGAGGAGAGTTACAATTAGGTGGAGGGGGAGGATTTGACAGGGGTCGAGAGGGATGTTCGTTCGTCGTAGCGCGTGAATTTTTCCAATCGTGGTCCCGAAAATTCGAAAATTCGTCGGATGTTATTGTCGTCCCGGCGGCTCGAAAAAAGAGGTGGGCAAAGAAGGAATTGAAACGCGAACCAAGCTGATGCTATATAGATATATATATATTGTATATATATATATATGTATAGATATATTTACCCGTGAACGAAATTTAAGCTTACAATTCCGTCGGAACATCCCGCTCGACGCGTCCTCGATAAAATGCACAGCAAAGGAGGGCCAGAGAAAGATAAAGGTAGTCCCGTCCTCTCGAACGACGGCGAGAGAACGACTGTGTCCGTGTTACGATATGTATGTGTCTGTATTGTGTGTGTTCTGTGCCTGTGCGTGTACGTGTGTGTGCGTGTTGTGTGTATGGTCCGTCAGGACGCGGTTATGACCTTGCACGTGCACACCCTTTCTTCGTAAACGCTATTTTTTTTCTCTCGAACGATAAAACGACGGGAGCAACGTAAGTACGCGTCTCTCGATATCGTCGAACGTACACAGTGGCGTGGAAACGTCTCCTTCCACGGGAAAAGAGATTTTCATAAAATCGACCCGTACACGCTAGTGTAAATTCTTTTCTCTCAATTCATCGATAAAATTTTTTTCTGTTCTTCCCACCCCCTCCCTCTCCCCTCTCTCACGGTTGAGAGCGTTTGCAAGCGACCGTACGTGTCGTTAGATAGCGAAAGGAGGATCGAAAGCAAGTGGGTTGTATCTCGTGTAACGCGCCAAGTCGTGACCGCGCCCTAATGCTATGGGGGGTCTTACCAAGGGGCTGGCCAATATTATCCCTATCCTGCTGAGCACCGCTGGGAGCCGCTGCAACATCACAGACACCAAACAAAGAGACTTACTCACCAACATTTCCACCAACCAGATTCTTACTAATCGTGTGTGTGTAACAACGTGTTTGTCTTTCCCTCATCATCAGCATTTTATTTCTCCTCACTTTTCCCGCGTATCTTTGCGTCGTTTTATTTTTTCTTTTTCTTTTATTTTCCGTTCCCTCATCGTACCTCTTTTTTCGCACGGCGATATTCTCCCACCGGCCGTAAACGTCGCGCCAACTCGCGGGACAGAGACGAACGAAACTTCCGGTCCGCCATCTTTGATCGAAATTGACGGATCTTTTAAACCAAAATTTCGCCCGCCTTTGCCTCGCGGAAAAAACCTACCCCGCTATATCTATCTCGGTCCCTTTGTTCCCCCCTCCCTACCCCCACGAGGATCGTTTCCTCTTTGACGGAATAAAAGATTCACGAAGAAAGCGACCCCGGAAACGTGGAACGGAATTTGCTCGCGCGTCTCGCGTGTTTCTTTACCGACCGAGAGAAATCCGATTCCATTGCGGAAAAAGCCTTTTTTGCCCCTCGATGCTCGGGGCTTTATCTTTTCCTCGTTTCACGACAACTCTCGACAAATTGTACATGCAAGGAACACAAACACAATACAATCTGCCAGCGGAGCAGCAACGGTGGTAATACGCTCGGCGGTATTTTCTCGTGATCGCGACAGAACCGCGAATAAAGGGATTGAAGTAGTTCTACGATCGTTGGCGTCACCGCTAGCTTGCGCGCGTGCGCGTTACGAGCACGTCGATCGAGATTCGCGCGTACCAGCGAAGTCAAATCAGCTGTTACGCTTGGGAACGAAAGCGATTAGGATTCTGCGGTTAAAAATAAGTCCTGAATGATTAATTTTTTCGTTCGAGCTCTCGTTGTAGAGATTATTCAATTTGAAGATTGAAAATACGAGTGAAACAGAGTACGATATGTCTGACTCGTCTGACCATTAATCGCTCTTTCTACTTGCAGTAGAAAACAATTTTCTTAACACTTTATCGATTATAATTGTTGAAATATCATTCGAAAGTCGATTAATCGACTACCTGTCGGTAACTGTTTGCAACGAGAAGTCGGTAATCTAGCGGTCGGTAACTGCTTGCAACGAAATGTCGATAATCGACTAGCGGTCGATAAAGTGTTAAATTATTGAACTTCGTTTTCTTCTCGAATTAAAAATAGTAACAAAGGAAAGCACATACATAATTCTAAGGGGTAAACATTGAAATTCGAGGTGTTTGAAATACGATTCGATTTGACTTCGAGTATCGATCGTGTCGCGATCGTAACGCGAGTACACGCGCGAGAAAAGAGAGAATTGATCAGTGAAACGGTAAAGTTTCGGTAAACGACGGTGCAACGGTATCCGTGAAAAAGGAACAAGTATAATATCGCTTTGTTCGGGTTACAAAATTGTAAGGATAAAAAAGAGCAAATAGAGAAGATTGTACAGAGAAAAAGAAGCAAAGAGAGTGAAACTGTTGGAGACATGCAAATACTGCAGCCTCGGTCGAGTCTGACCAGAGTACGGAAAATTCTCGGGACACTCTGGATTAATTGCTTCCCGTAAAGCTTCGAGTCGTCGTAAAGTGAAGTGTTCTTCTTTGATACTCGATTCTCTTGGTTCACCGAGAACATTCGTACTTCTCGAACGTGTTATTGGCACGGAAAAAATCTCGGCGATCGTACCGTCGAGATCGGGAAAAGAAAGAAATCGTGATAGTCCTTACGGGAGAAATAGACAATCGAAAGAAACTATATAGACAATAGGCGTAAATCTCGAGAGATGCAGCGATTGTTAAGTAACAAACCATACCGTGTCTGTGCAATGTTCACGCCAACGAGTTCAGATGTGCACGATGCGAACGCGATATAAGAAAAGTAATGTCAGCGATTACTCGAAGCGACGCGGAACTTTTTAGGTTAACCCATATATGGCGCGAAGAAAGAAAGAGGCACGGAAGAATCCATGATTGTTCTCGGATCAGGGCGGGACTTTCAAACACGGTTGCCTCGTGCCTCGGTCAAAATTCGTTCTCTTTTTGTCTTTTTTCTTATACTTTTTTTTGTTCTTTTACCTGGTTTCCGTGTCTCGTATTTTTCTCGTGCACGACCCTCTTCCCTGGCCGGTCAACGGTTTCTCGAGCGATCGATTCTTCCGCGAAACGATATCGTGCCTTGTCGAAAACGAGATCGCGCGTTCGGGGGATTACAGGAGCGAAGTAGAAATGCATTAGCGGAGAGATCTCGACAGAAGTGGGCAAACCATTCTGGCGCGGAACAGTCGTAAGTGAACAAAAAAAAAAAAAACATAAAAGAAACACGCGTCTCGAACTGTTTGCTCACCTCTACCTCACGCATGGAGAGTATTAAGATGAAAAAAGAAAAGAATTAAACGGAAACTTGAATTTCGCACAAACAGGTGCTCGATCATTCTTAAAGAACGTACACTTTGGTGTCAACTGTGTCGTAGAACGGAACGATACTGTGATCAACTATTGTGAGTGTAATGTCGTCTGGCGGGGATAATAAAAGTAAAAGCGTCGCGCGTCCCGTCGCCGTCGGAACAATCGACCCGTCTCGAGGCATCCTTCCGGAGCGGAACAGCGCGGCGACGCGCGTCCCTTTTCCTTTTAAACATCTGTCAAAGATGCTCTCCTCCCCCATCTCGTCCAAGCAACGCAGAGAAAGATCCGTACTCCCCCGTTCCCGTTTCGAAATCGTTCACACGGTGGTTCGTACACCGACACACCAACGACAGAGAGCACTCTTCTCCGCTTCTTTGTGCGTTTCGTTTCGCACGCGACGCGAGCGCGAGAGTACACATCCCGTGCGATTACTTGGAGCGTCGGCAAGCCAGAGTCCTTCTTTATCGGTCGTGAGAATAAGGTCAGTCGTCGGGTGTTGTCGTCGGCGTTGTGTCGCAAAAGTACCTGGGTGACGGGATTCTCTCCGGGACGATAGACGACGTTGTGCATCGGCCGCTTGCGACCTACGTAGTTGACGCAAACGAACTCGAGAAGGCTGGCGTAGATGAAGCACATGCACACGCCGTCCCATACGTTCATGGCAGTCAGGTTCGACACGACGGGCAACGTCGACCGGAAACCGTTCGACGTCGTGAAGAAATTGAGCATCGTCGTCACGCCTGCGAACAATTATTTTCATTACATTCGAACACATTTAACCCAACAACGTTATTAGAATATATCTTCTCGGTACTCGTGCATGCTAGACACACACACACGCTCGAGAAGCAGTGGGGGGGCGTGAGAGATTGCTGTTTCCGTTTGCGCAGCGTCGTTTTATGCAATTTTAACCGCCCCAACGTTATTTCTCGAGGGGATTTCGCTGAGATTATTTTTTCCCTTCCGACGGCGTTTTATTAAAAGTTAATGAAGGGAGGGCGTGAAAGATTTTCAAGATGGCGCACTACATCCCAGCTTCCTTTTTATTAGCCAGCTGCATACGACGAAATATATATGATGCTCCCGGGGTTTCTGAAGTTTCAATTTCGCGTGGAGATATAACCTATCTCTAAGGCATCGAATTATTATTATTATTTCCACCGATTAGGGGGAGGGTCTTAGAGTTCTGAAGGAGCCTACTATACATCGACTTGTCGATAAAGCAGCTTATTAAAGCTCAGTCTTACACGTTAAGAGATATTCAATGCTCAGTCGAGGATCGTATATATACAAATGGGTGGCCCGTCGAGTACTTGCGAGAGTTACAAGAGCGTGGCCCACTGGTGGCGAGTGCTGGAGTTACGTCGCTAAGCTTTGAAACTTTTCGTCATTTTTACGATTCGAAACCTAAGTGAACAGCAATTTCAAGCGTGATGCCCTTTCCAAACGTGATCAGAAAATTCTTGGGGAACGAGAGGCTTACCGATCATTACTCGCGCTGGCACGGCGTTCCACTCGAGCCAGAAGGTGATGAAGGAGCTGGTCACCAGAATGATCCCCGGTATGAAGACCGTCGTGAAGTAGAAGGCACGATCTCGCGTGAAAATCAGATCCACCTTCAGGCAGCTGTAGTTACCTAGCACGCATTAGATCGATATTACGATTGCGCCGGTGCCGTGGATCGCGGCAGGCGAGCGGTAACGTCACCGAGAATTTAAAAAACAAGCGGTTCAGTGGTTAGTTTCGTGTGACAATAAATCGATCGGCGAGTCAAAGCAGACGCGCGTACAGCCGGTCGGAGTTTCTGTTATTAATATATGCCAGAAAAAAAGAAGTACCGTCGAGCGTCGTTATGAGCGGGACTCGCTTTACCCTCCGTCGGAAAGATTCCTGGCGCTCCTCGTTCGGCTTATCGTACGATGAACGGAGAAAGTCACCGTTTCGTGGAAATTGCGAGTCGAAAGAGTGCCGTTGTTATCGACGACGTTGATTAATTTTTTTTTTTTGCGTGACTCTCCTCCCGGAGGAAGGATCAGCTTGCGAGAGTAAAATAAAAATGAACGAAATGAAAAAAAAAAATAGAGTCAAGATCAGAGAAGGAACAAGAGGGCACCAGTCGTGTCGCCAACTTTCCGCAATGAAGCTCCACATTCGCGAAAGCGTTTCAAGCCGAGCTAGATACTATACGACGCGTGAACGTCTAAGGGGTTGGAGGGAGGGGGGTTAGAAAGTTTTTGGGGCGGTGAGCGTCGTAATTGGAGAATACGGAGGTTAGGGGGGTCCTACGTTCGGTGAAACGGGATTTCTCGAGATCGATACAAAGTGCAACTTTCCGAACGACCCACGATATCGAACTTTGTCTCGATCCTAGAAAAGAAACACGCCTCGTTGCTGACGATGGGAGACCGGGCTCGTTCGATGAGGTGGCGCGCTAACACTTAACCGTCCGTTCTCACGTTCGCGTGAGTTCACGGAATCGTTTCAGACTAGTCGTCGTATATTAATTATAAAAATTATCGTTCGAGATATAAATAATTATCGTTATAAGAAATAACACAACCATGTTGTGGGCAATTTTTTTGGTCCAATAGTCCTGAAACTATTAGTCGCAGGAAAAATGTTTGAATTCAAGCGTTGTGTATTTTTAAACCTCGAAAATTGTTCGTCGTGCATCACTGGAAAAAATACACAATTCTTTTACCGAAACTCGTTTCCCGGTCCAAGAGTTTCGAACGTATATTCGCGGGCGGAGTAATTCGTCCAAAAAATGGGCGGACGGTTAAATGTTAATGAGAATCGTAAGATTCGTTCGTCGATTGAGAAAAAACGGTGAAAGAGGTGGGTGACGTGTGCAGCAGAAAAATAAATTCTCGTCGATCGGGATGAACACCGTACAGTTATTTATCGTCGTGGTATTATATATATAGATTTGTATATATTAAAAAAAAAAATAAAACGAACAACAACTGGGAATATAATGAAGCATAAGCGAAGCGTAGGCGAAATGAATGAAACAAACGTTTGCCAAGGTCCAGAACCACGTCCGGTAAATAATAAATTCGTAGACGGGAAGAAACGTGTGTGGTTGGGTTCAACGCTAATACGATTTACATACTGTCGGAATGCTAATCTCTCGTAACGTTCTATGAAGCGACATTCCGTCGAGCGTTTAAAAACAACCGATTCTTTACCACCGTCGAAACGTAGATAACGTTTCTGCCGCCAATTTCCAACGACCTTGAGCGATTTAATCGCTCGACGGAGTCGCAAACGGCAACGTCGGTACTTCGACCCTCTGCACCGGACGATCCACTATTTTTTCCGGAACCAGAAATCCTCTGGACGGTTCGCGTAACCTCAAAAGGGACGAAATATCTCGTCTCGATGCCTTCGGGCGAGAAACCTCCCCGTTGCAGTGTCGCGTAGCGTTTCGATCGTCCAATTTAGTAGTTTTTTTTTATATATTTGGTCAATTTACGAACCGGGGAAACGGTTATAAAAAATTAAATATTGTAACAAATGCTATTGGAAAAATGGTTCTAAATAATATCGATCTCGGTTACGATTTTGGTATCGGTAGATGAGGATTTTATACAGATACTTTTATATTCGTATTTGTATATTATAATATAATGGTGATTTGCTATAAATAAAAAATAAATTTCTATAAAAAAGAATCCATTTTTTGGTGTATTGAAATATTTAAGGGTTTAGGTTTGAGTAAATTGGGAATAGAAATGTCGACGGTAATGGCGCGTTGGATACGCTGGCTACCGTATGGTCACCGAAGTGCAGCATCATTGGGCCGCGTGCAGTACGGGATGGATGACCGCTCGGGGGAAAAAACCCGTATATTATTGTATCATATTGTTCATACTATAAGTTTCTATCGGTTAATTGGTTAATATTGGTGCTAATATTAAAACAAAATTAAAATTGTTAATTCTAATATTAAATAAGAAACACAGAGTTGTAATAATACACTTGGTAAAAATAAATGGAAAAAATTCCATACAAGGAAATTTCGAAAGACCAAAGGCGGCACCAACATTGGAAAAAACAATACCGAACTAAAAAATTATAATAATAACAGTGAATTACACATAATGAAACTACAAAAGACACAAACAAAGCCTGAAGAAAAAGGGAAGGAGAATAAGGGGAAGGGCCAAGAACAGAAACGTTTGAAACCTGGCGAAATAAAAATTTCGCTAACAATTATAAAACTGCTATTCGGGGGATTCTTCGTAACCGAGATCGAGATATCGTTCGTTTCCGGTCTGCAATGATCTATCGAGGACGAGTACAAAGGGCGAAAGTACCGCGATATTCGTACGGGAATGCGACAATCGGATCAACTCGGTACAATGCTCTCCAAATTCGTTCGTCACGCTTTAAAAAAAAAAAATAGATTTACAGATATTTCCGGGGAGAAACGTGTGTCTCGCGGTTGCAACGGATCACGACGACGATTTGGGAAGCACCGACCCAGAACATCTAGGCCTGTCTCACGAGTTGGTAAGCTTGGTCCTGTCTCTCCCTCCATATTCTACGGTATCTAAACCCATTTTCTACGCATATTTTTTTTTTTTTTTTTTCGTTCATCGGGGAGTATGTTCGATCGATTCGCGTCGAAGGGGAGGATTTTACCTTGCTCCTCAAACCTGCGCTGGCACAGCGAGCACTTTGAGTCCCCAAATTCATCGAACTCGTCCTCGTAGTCGACGATGATCTGTCCGTCAGCTGCAACAGAACAGCCCACGATCTTCCTTCCTCTCTTCTTTCCATTTATTTATTTTTTTTTTTTTTTTTTAATATTTTTTTTTTTATTTCGCCTTTTCCTCTGTTTCTCTGTTCGATTTCTCTAACTTAGTTCTCGAGGGGGTGGTTTGGTGGGGGGGGGTGGGGGGTTGGTGAGGGTGGGGGTGGGGGTGGGGGGGACGGATAAATCTTGATCGTGAGAGAGGCCTGAACCTGAACTGTCTCCGGAAACGAGGGGGATACGTATCTCTACGGTCGAGAAAGCTACGGGTAAAGGTAGTTTTCGTTTGAAACGCTTTGCGATCAAACTGTGTTAGCGTGTGTAATCAACGCATACAGCGACAAGTGCAACATTCAAAACCGGAACAGTCCGTACACGAAACGAAACAGAGAATTCCTCGGTTCGTTTGCAGCTAACAAGGCCTTGTTTTGCGACGCTTTCTATGCGCGTATGTTTCTCTGCTCCGAGCCTACAAGGCACTCGAAACCGTGAACTGCACACATTGCTTCCGTGAACAACGACGGGACGAAACAATTGGAGCAAGCTGTACGTAACAAGTTGTTGATCCACAGAACGTTTACGTGAAGCGATATTCAACACTGGGGCAGGCGGCTAGAGGGGGCGGGTGGTCGGGGGGCGCACAATCAACGAATAAGACTTAGTGTGTGCTTCCGTTTCCGTTTCCTTTCCTCGTGGCAAGATCTATCCGTCCTCCAAGGCTTACCGTACGAACCGAGCCTCTCTCTCTTCTATTCAGCGTTACACATCCGGTGTTCTTTTTTTTTTCCAATCTTTTTCGTACGTTTACCCGGGTCTACGCCTCGCGTCTCGACATATCGGGCACAGAGGAGATTCGATCGTTGGGCTAACTAGACCAAGCATTACCCGCATACCGCCATGGTTGATCCCTTCAGGGTAAAGAAGAAATTTTTTTTTTTTTGTTTTTTTTGTTTTTTGTTCCACGCTATCTATCCAGCGCCGTTACTCTCGTCTTTAATGCCTTCAATTATTCAAACTCGAAAAATTTGATTAGTTCTCGTCGTTAATTCTGGTGGGGGGGAAAAGGGGGCGGTTCGAGGCGGGGTGGGTTGCACAACCGTTTCATTCAAAGAAAATTCAGGCGAATGCGTTCCGGAGGGTGGATGTCACTCGACAAGCTGCAGGTATATTACGCTTTCGACAAAATCGTTCAAGCTTCTCACTGGCTGCGTAAGCTGTTAAGAGAGCTTATAAGCGATCAAGGTAACAGTCAGGGCCGGCTTTGGCGCGGAGGCGAACGATTCGACGAAACAGAAAACGATCTACGTATTTACACACTGGAAATTATTAACTAAATTCTAACGAATTTTGCCTGACACTGTTCGTTCTGATTTTGAACGAAATTTTTTCTGACGATATTTCTTCGATAAAAATATATGGGGCAAAAATTTAATGGGAGGTTCTAGAGGCCAAAATAAGACGAAAATCAAGAATAGTGTTTTGTTGATCGAGGCTTTGTTAAGAAGTTATTAACGTTTAAAGTTACGCCTGTGGGACGGCAAACAGCCGCGCGCGCATTACCGCCGTTCTACAGGCGGAACTTTAAACGTCAATAACTGTTTAACGAAGCATCAATCAAGAAATTAGTATTCTTGATTTTCGTCTTATTTTGGCCTCTAGAATCTCTCCTTAAAATTTTATTAATAGGAAACGTTATTAAGAATCGTGTGAGATTTGTTTGCAACTCGATTTGGAAGCATTTCGCCGTTGAATCGCCAGCCCCGTTGACAGTTACGAAACAGTTAGCTCAAACAACGCGTATCGGAGTCCCGTCCGTGACGGGAGTGCATTTTATCGCGATTACTTTAGCGAGATGCAAGAAAGTTCGGTTAAATACAGTAAAGAGTTTACTAGCAAAGCGAGAAGAGATGACCGCGACGCGATGGAACCGGTCGGGTGACGAGTTATGGCTGTCGTATGGGGGCGTTTAGGGTCTCGAAATTGGTATAAAACTCAAGGCCTCACCCCAAAAAGCAAACCACGGCGGGCTCGGTTGAAAAGCGAGACAGGAACCAAGGTTGCCAATATGCATTTTCTAGAGGAGCTATGTATTATCTAGTTATTTATACATATATATATATATATATATATATATACACACATATACATATACATATAAATATATATCAGTGTACATACAGTTTATTTAGCCATACATATACATATGTATATATATATATATGTATATACACACGTAAAGAGCGAGAGTTAGAGAGAGATAAAGACATAGGTGTAAGTACAAAACGCATCTACGCCAACTAGTAACAAAGGTGGAAACAAAAACGAAGATTTCGTCGTCATAGTTCCGGCTACGTCGCATGCAGAGTTCCGTTTCGTTAAACGATCCCTCGATTTCTTCGATCGTTTATCACTGTGTCCTATGTGTATATATATATATATACATACATACATATATATACATTCAAAGAAACGACACACGCACACGCTCAAACACGCTCAAACACGCGTCAACGCGAGTGCACAGGTTAACATTTCGTGTTCTGATTCGTTTTTTCTTTTTTTTTTTTTTATTTTCGTCACGTTGGCAGATGGTCGTTGTGCTCTCGATCCGTTCGAACATTCGTCGGACTATTCGCGCGCGATTCTCGAGTCAAACGAAATTTCGACTTTTCTCCATCGGATCGGTAAAAGAAAAACTAAATCCAAAAGCGCGGTACGCCACTATTTGCAAGGAGGGCATTCCGTAACGGTGGTGCACGGCGGAGTTTACTGGCGGTGCAGAAAAAATTACCAAGCGTCAAATACTGTCCGAAAAAAAACTGAGAAGAACAAAAACAGAACTCGCACTAACAACGGCCAGTGGACGTGCATTGCGACTTACCTGACGCTAGACGACGGGGCTTCTTGAGTGTTTTTCGTTCCGCGTGGTAGCGTCTCGGCGCTTCGTGTAACGCGTTTGGTAACGCGCGCACCACGGGGCCCGAGCGTTTAACGGGCTTGGAAAGAAAGTTGGCAACAAAGCGACGAAAGAACAAAATTAAGCAAAAAAACGCACTTTCACTTCGACGTACGTGGGGGGCGAGAGAGAGAATTGTTCGTGAAAGGCACAGGGAGTGAGATAAAGTAACCAATGTAAGGCTGAATCGATTCGAAAAAGAAAATGGCGACTTGAGCGTACGAGGAAGGGGCTCCTCTCCTTCGATATTGCAATTTTTTTTTTTTTTTTTCTTGCGTGTTGCATCCAACATAGTACATTTTTTTATTTGTTCGAATGCTCACAGAGAATGGGAAAATAATTTTTATCTCGATCGTTTCAGTGATATTTTCTCGGTTAAAAAATCGAAAACATTTCCAATTTCTATAAATTGGAAAATTTTCAATTTTCTCGCGATGCTCAAATAAATATAACGATGCAAAATAACCCTCGAGCTATGGATACAATTTTTCGATTTTTTAATTTTCGCTAAAATTATTTACCATTCTTTAAACAAGAAAATGTACCATGCCCTTTGGATGTAACGCCCGACGAAAAAAGGGTGATAAAAATTGCAGAGGCGAAACAGAGATTTCCCATTGTCGAGTTTTAGCCCGTTTGGGGACGTTGAGACGCGTTTTGGTCCTTCTTACTCGCCTCGCCCGGGCGCGTCGCCTTTATCATCGAGGCCGCGAAAAACTCTCGACGCGGATGATGTACGGTCGATCGGACAAAGGCGACGTTATCGGGAACGATCGACAAGTTAACGGGGGTGGGGAGAGGGGGGTTTCGATAAAGAGGAACGCGGAACATGGCCAAGGCGCGAACGAAATTAGAAATCCTTTTTCGGCGGTGCTAGCCGGATTTATTGATCCGGTGGCGTCGTCCATAGAAACGATGGTGGGGTTTTCCAGGAATGGAGCAAAGGTTCAAGGGATGCAGCAGCAGCGCCTCAGGTGCATCGATCTGCTAACAGGTATTACACGGGGCTGCTTTCTTTCATCCGACACCGACCCAAGGAGTCCCAATCGTGGCCTCGAATCCCCAATTTTTCCTGTGCTAAATCCCTCTTAATCCTTCCAGTACAATTGTTACACGTTTCACTCGTATTCCTACATTACAATGGTGATTATAAACGCAGAGAAAAACTTCCTTGTATCTCGAGGGAATTCTTTCTCCATTTATTTTTAACCAAACACATAATTGTTTATCACACTGTGTTATTTGTATTTATTAAAGTAGTTTTTTTTTTTAGTTTTTCATTTTAATAGGCAAGTAATACCTAATTGGAAACCTGATAGATGTATCGAATAATTTCAGTAGTGTAGAAAATGAACGATACGCGTGGGGCTTTTTCACCGGAGCGGTCACCCATCCCAAACTGCTGTTGTACTTGACCGCGCCCAATGCAGCTGCACTTCGTGATCGGACGGAGACTGGCGCGTCCAACGTGCCACGGCAGTCGACAAGTTATAATACTAATTTACTCGCATATAAACCCTTAAATATTTCAATGTTTAAAAAAACAAACTCACACCAAAAACAACGATACAATTCATAAGAAATAAGTTTCTTTTCATTTATATTAAATCACCATTATAGCGTACGAATACTCGTTAGTTTTCTACGCCCTACAAATGTATTTCCACGCTCACGAATGAAATTTCAGCACTTCAACATCACGTAGTATGCACCTACGTTTCCAATGTCAGAATTTTCAAAATTGATCGACCAGGACCTACGGAATTAATTCTCCAGCTAAAACGAGACTCGTAAATTTCGGAACACGAAAAAATAAATACCACGAGTGTTGGATTGAACAGTTTCCAGTCGTTTAAATGGAAAATAAACTCGCGTGGAGTTTAACGGGCTTTCGTCCAGCGAACGTGTTTGCAAACCCCGGTCTCGATGGGGCAAATAGTTTAAAGAATAATCCCCGACAAATTAACAAAAATTGCGAACCTCTATGGCGGAGTATTTTTAATTATTTTTTTTTTAGTACGAATGGTAATTGAATTGATTCGAGGCACGCTACATCGTTCAAAATAAAATTCTAAATTATTCGCCAACGTTTTCGTGAAATCTTTTATAACGTAACCGATAAATAAATGTTTCGTTTTAAAATTCACCGTAGCTTTCACGGTGTTAATTTCTAATTTATTAAGGGTTTGGTGACTCGTGGTTGAGAATGTGAATAGTACTTGCCAACGATTGCCCGCTTAGGTGGGCGTCGGAACCGAGTTTAAGAAAACCAGTGGTCGACTCAACGACAATTCGGACAGTTCGACTCGTCGCTTCGAGCGCGTGCACTATACAGGGATGACTCGGTGGCTGGGCACGCTGATTGGCCCGTAGCTTAATAGCGACGCCTGCTCTCACGCGTCATTGGCTGAGTCGCTCGCAGCTACAATTCCATCGCGTGACAAAGAAACGTACAGGAACATTGGCGTAGCCGAACGCTCAAAATACTAGCCATGAATAGAACAAAAGTGTATCTTTCGTGGTTTATGGAGACCCTACTACTATACAGCGTGACGTCACAGCGGGCCTCTACGGTGGGAATAAGGCGGCGCGTGAATCTTCTCTCCTTGCCCTTGTCCCGTTTAGTTCGTTGGTGCCCAGCCAACGAGTAATCTTTTGGATAGTACAAGCGACGCTAAAACCGTTATCTCGTGGGCCAACGAAATTGCCGTGTTCGGTGCATTGCGATAGTACAGAAGCGTGTCACTTAAGGATGCAATAAAAAATTTTAAAATAGAACTGACAACGAACAGAGAGTGGCAAAGTTTCGACGATGTTCTTCGTCTGTGTTTTGCTTGCGGTCGCTATTTTCGGTCAGACTTAACGATACGCCTATCAAACGCCGCACTATCGTCACGGTACAGTTCCGAAACGTTTTCTCGGTAAAACCATGTAAATTAAACTCAAAGCGAGTGACTCCATTTTCGGAATTTTTCGAATTCCCAACGTCGAAGCTCTCGATATAATTTTACATTCAAAGTAAATTAAGAGTACCCGATTTTTAAAATCGCTAAAAAAATAATATTTATAATTTCTGTGATTTTAAATATAAAAATCTAGAATATGGGTTGAAAGCAAATCCAGCGTTAGAAAAATATTATTTTGTGGAATTGATCGATTTGGTAAACGAGAGTCTCGATCGACCATCGATTTTAAAATTCCAGAACTGTACCGGTTCGATAGATCGTTCTGATTCACGACTGGCATACTTTTCCTCGGTATTTTTTTTCCCCGAAACGTCTCCTCTTATAAAATAGTTGAACTAGGTGACTCACCTCGCCAGCTTACTTTGATCGGACACGTGATTGTCTGGTTTTTAATGAGGTACGCGTTCAGCGACGTCAGGCTCGGACTTTTCCGCAAGGTACCCTCGTCGTTCTTCCACACGTACGTGATCGCCGTTTGCTCGTACGATACTGGAACAGAGAGGGTCGCGTCAGGGAAGCTCCGCTCGAGGGGAACCAATCAGAGCAACGGGATTACACGTTTCGTTCATTTCGAAACAAAGGATCGGGTTAACCGGGAATTGCATGAAATTTTTAGATTCACTTACTGCTCTCGATCGCGAATGAACACAGTGGGTCGTCGAAGGGGAAGATATTAAGTCTACCCTGGCAGGATAGGATTAGGTGACGCCTAGAAAATTAAACACAAATTCAATTCCTTCTTGCGGTGGACAATTGTTTAATTAACAATCAATTTTTAATATAGACAGGGACATTTACCCCCCTTCAAGAATGGGAGAAAGTCATTTTATAAATGTGTTAGTTCCGTTTGGGAACAGTATGGAAACGATGGATTGAAAAATATAGCCCAAAACGAGTATTCTCGTTGTTGGTCCAGAACGTCACTATGCCTAAAAAATTACACAGGAATTCAATTCCTTCTTCAGACGACTCATTATTGAATTAACGATAAATTTTTGATATACACAATGGAGGCATTTAGTCTCCTTCCTCCCTCCAAAAATGGGAAAAAATTGCTTCGTAAAATTTTGTATCGTGTGTTTATTTAAAACGAGTATTGTCGTTTTTAACATTTGCAAGCCTAGAATAAGGTGGAACCTAGAAAATTGATTCAACTCCACCTTGCGACGAACTGATATTAAATTAACAATACATTTGTAGTATAGACAGATTTGCTCCCCTCCCCTCCCAAAAATGGGAATAAATAATGTAATAAAAGCGTTAGATTCCATTTAGGAACAGTTTCGGAAGGATCGATGGAAACATATAGCCCAAACCGAGAATTCTCGTTGTCGGTCGCGAACGTGACATTTCCAAACTGGAAATTATTGTCCCTGCGTGTGTTATATCTTGAGCACGCGTCCGCGGTTCGTCGACCATCGGACGGAACGTTTAATTGATCGCGCAAACGCGGCTTACACGGATGGGAAATATCGAGGAACGATAATAGGGACCGTTTGCGGCGCGAGTATCGACGCGATTAGGAACCTCGTGGAACGATTAACCGAGAGGATAAATACCTCATAAGGTAGTTGACCGTGCCGTTGCGGTATATCCGGAGGGCGAAGTGAACGGGTATAAGTGGATCCTTAAAGTCTCCGTGCATTATGAAGTACGTGTCCGGTAACCAGATATCGTCGTAGTGATGGATCGCGTTCAAGAACTCGTACTGCGATCGGTTGCTGTAACGAAGCCGCGGGTCGTACCACTGTTGTTGCAGCAAGAACTCCACCTCGTATTTCTGCCGATAACACCGACAAAACCACACAACCGTTACGAATATTAGTCGCGACGGATCGGGACGTGGATCGCACGACGTTACGATATCTTAAAATGGTCAAATTTCACCCGGTTTTCAATGTGCACACAACGCCTCCGGAGGAGTAAACTTTCTTACAACAATGTAAAGTTTTTATTTACATCGGGGCTTTGGCCTTCGTCGTATACACAGTTACTCCCACTCGTATTCGTATATTGGGTATTCGTTATTAATGGAAATTCACTTTTTAATTTTACTTCTACAGGCGTCTTTGCAATTTGCCTAAATTCCCAAATTCTTTCTTAGAACATGGAGCTCTATCTACAGATTAATTTTTGTTGCCCTAGACTAAATTTCTACTTTTCAATATTTTTACTAAATGCTGTGTATTTCTTTCAACTGTATTATACTTCTATTTATAAAGTAGTTTATATTCTTATTTATTTCAATACACTGGGAGATATACCCACTCGAGTATAAATAAAAATAATATTTAATATTCAACACGGATGTGTCTCTTTTTTTCCACGAGCGGTCACCCATCCCGTACTGCACGCGGCCGAATGATGCTGCACCTCGGTGACCGGACAGGAACTGGCGGTGTCCAACACGCCACGATCGTCGACAAGTTTTACTTCTAATTTATTCGAATATAAACTCGCGAACGACATTGCACGACATAAACTGCCGTTGAACAAATTTCAAATATAACAAGTTTCTTTCCATTCACAGCGGATCACCGTTGCAGTATACGAATACGAATACGAGGAACTGGTAAATATATTTCGGTGGAAATTCACGCGCGACGATGAACGAAAGAGAAGCGGAAACAGATATGTGAATTACCAAACTGGACTCGTCGGGGGAAGCCAAACTTAGCAACAGCACGCTCACGTTCACGGTCAAGGTACCTGAAACACAATCGTGCGATTGGAATTGTAGACTCGATTGGAAATCGTCGGTGGCAGTCTCGCGAGCGGAGCACGCTAATTTCGTAACAGCGTTCCTTAAAGATGCATCCGTGTATCGACGTGCAAGCCCGTTCAAAGCTTCCCTGTCCAATGGAATCCGGGTTCGAGTTCCTCGAACGTTAAACCGGGATCGATTATTTACGTCGATTAGCGTGGCTCCCTCTCGACTGTTGCGAAACCGATCGAAGCCGGCCTTCGACGAACGAGATCGATCGTAAGGATCAGCCTCCTTCGACACGGTAACCGCGAAACGGCGAACAAACGTTTTTTTTTTTCTCCTTCTTCTACGTTTGCGTAAGCCGATGCCGTTATTGCGTAAGCATCGTTAGCTCCATGCTGTGCACATGCTGCGACTAATGTCGTGTTCGTATTAAAGTGTCAAGCTCGTGGTCGCGGCTGGGACTCGGGAACCACTCGTTTCGGACCGTAGATGGCGTCTCGAACGTCCATTATGGACGAACGCGATTATTCGACCAATAAGACACGGGGATGACTTTGGATCGATTCTCGAATATCTTCGAAATTAGAAAATTACAAGTCAAATGGAATTATATATTTTTTAATGCAATGATCGATACGTACAGAGTGTGCACGTTATTATTAATTGATTCTTCTGAAAATTATTTTAGTTAGAAAAAAATGAAAGGAAACAAAGTTTTACTGTTTCTTGCAACCAATAGGATAGTGTATGTTAATTTTATATATTTATAGCTTTTTTGGGAAATGAAGATGACCAATTTTTCTAATGATGATGATTGTGATGATCGCCTTCGTTTCTTAAAAATTGATATAAATATGCAAAATTTTGAACTCTTTCATTTTTCTTTTTCTAATCAAGATAGTTTTTGAAAATATCGATAACAGTAATGTGAACATTTTGTACATAATTCCATTGGAGAAAACGATTTACATGGAACAATTTTGAAGATATTCGAGGAGGTCGATTTCAATGGACAACCCCTTATATCATTTGAGTCGAGTGTGGTAGTTGTACGTGTAAAAATGAACGAACAAATATTGTTCTCCGATTTGTTTACGAGGGAATTGAATTTGAAGATTTGTCGCGTCTGACTATTAATCTGTTTTTCTACTTACTCCGATATCCAAGTCGATATTCAATCTGTACTTATTTCAACTAACGAAATAAGTAATTGTTCGGTGAAAAACGAGTCCCAACCGCCGCCACGGTTGCCAACGCATTCGGCTAACACAGAGAGTCACAAGTAAACGAGTGTCTAGTACGCTGGAGTGTACAGAAATGGGTGGAAAAGATGGGACCAGGATGAAAAAGTGATTATACATATGCGTTCCCAGAGAAATCGATGTCGACGAGCGGGGAACGGTCTACTTCCGGCTCCGAGAAACAGGAGGTTGCGTGAACGACCGAATCGCGCGAAGGTGTCGCGTCTCGGATGCCTTCGGGGGCGAACAAAAATACGAAAATGTACGAAATCGAGACCGCGAATGCGCTTGCTCGCCGCCAGGGCTCTGTTAATTATCATTACGTTGTTAATTCGTTGTTGACGAGGCGCGTACCTCGGAGTCGGCTTTGAAAGAGTGTATCGGACTATATCCTGCCAATTGAATGGGTGATCCGGAGAGAAATAACGCTCAACGGTTTAGAGACGAATCTGGTGTAATTTATAAATAATTAATAAAAAATTCATAAGATATAGACGGTATCGAGTCGTCGGAAGCCTGTAAAAAGGCTGACAATTGTCGCGATTCTTCACGGAATCGATCTCTCTTTCTCCCTACGCTATACACCGATCGAATGTATAGCGCGATTCTCTCAAAAGTAGACTCGAGAGGAATCTGCGTACATTTACACTCGTGGCTCTGCCTGCTTTTTGGTGGGCATCTATCGAGCCACGACTGTAAATACGAGGTGTATACGAGGGATCATCGGTGTTCAGGCGAGTCTTTTAGCTGGAGAATCGCCCTATAGGAGGGCACTGTCCCCATTGTTGCAACTTTGTGAGAAGAAGTACAGCAATTTTTGGTTGCATTCTACCTCAAGAAGATTGTTGACTTCTTTTCACGAAGAATAGTCGAAATATCGACAACGTTTCGGATAAGTGGCCTGATACAGCTCGTTTACACGATATAGTTTTCTCATTGATTAAACCATTGAGATTAGAAGAAAAATTGATCCATATTTACCATACATTACGCTAAAGAAGTTTCAAGGAAATCAAGATTCGAGTTTGTTTTGCCGCCATATTGCAGTATCGCGTGAACGGGCTGTCGCAGGCCGTGAGTGCCGCCAACAGACTGGAATAAACGCGTGGCCAATTGTCCTTGCGTTAATTTGTCGTCGTTTGCGTGTGTTCGTCCTGATCGATGAAAGCGAGCGAAAGGCTTAGGTCGAACAACGTTTCCATTCCGTCTGACCGACTCTCGAAAGGGTAATTTTTTTGAAAACAACGAGCAAAGAGCTCCAGCTTCCTCTCTTTCTCTCTCTCTCTTTGGCCAGTATGGAAATATCAGGGGAAAAGTGTGCTTCCGCTCGAAAATCGATCGACCTACAAACCCTCGTAATGGAATGCAAAAATTTCGACGGGCAACCCATTCAGGATTCAATACGTCTGGTTCGACTGCAGTCCCTCGATCGACGCGAGGCAGACTGTTTCGAAATTCACAAGCTTGGCCGTTTCGAGGGCAGAGAAACTTCCGTGAAACGCGGAGCTGCCCTCGAATCGAAACCAGAGCGTCTAGGCGTACCACCCGTGAATCGAGTGCCATGTTTTTTACAAGGTAGGTTCTTTTTATTTTGTAGTAATCGTGGGTGACGAGCAACGGACGAGCGAGCGAGCGAGCGAACGAAAACGTTAACGAGAGAGTTATCGCGACACAGACGAGAACCGCAAACGACTGAATGGGTCGGGTCGGATGAATAATAATCGTGATAGCCTTAATTATTTCTCTAGACGAGGTTACAAGAGATGTAAAAACAGAAGAACGGACCGCGAAGGTGGGTGCGGTGAAGGTGTTGGTGCGACGTGTAGTGGTTATTGTTCTGGTTCTTGTACTGGTTCTTGGGGTCGTTAGAGGAGGTCGACGACCGGTTCGACAGGCTGGTGGCGTCACCAGGCCATCGCATTCCGCAGCAGAAATCCGCATCTGTAACACCCAACAACCCTTGCCCACGTCTCATCCTTTTTTTTTCTTTTTTTTTCGTCTCGCTACTGGGGGATTAACAAAACTCTGTTCCATCCTACGTTCGCGATCTACGTGTATACCTCGTCTTTCAAAATAGCTTCTCAATATACCCTGCGCGGCCTGCGCCGGAAACCACACGCCCCGCCATTAAAAAGGAAAACGATCGTTCCTGGAAAAATCGGTCAAAGAATTTTATTAGTCTATTTTATAAATTCCTCACTATGGGACAAATTTAATTGTGATTTAACGCAAACTTTAACCCCCTCCAAGTTTGCTTAACACTCTAACTCGTGGAAATATGAGTCATCTCCATATATGAAATATAGAAATTAGTAGATTTTAACAAGAATAAAGTAGACAGAAATTTCTGGTTATGTATTGTGGGGTCCTTCTCTATTGATGGAGAGCGTTTCGTCCAGGGCACACTAGTGCACTCATCCACCCTGAGGCAAATCTAGCAGACCATGCCTCGGATGCCTGGATATTACTCGTTCGAGGACCGTATACATACCAAGATAGACCAAGATCTCTTGCGAGAGAGGCAAGAGCGCGTGGCCCTCTGGCGGCCAGTACGGGAGACACTGGACCCCACAGTATCGTAGTTTAGAATTTTACACCACCAGTCAACGTGTTAAGATCCTCCATATTAAAAACTCAAATTAAAAAAAATTTTTGAATTCACTTTTGCACGAACAACCGTCCCCCCTTTCCAACATGGCGTCGTATCCGGCGCGTGCTGCGCGGGAACAATGGTCTACGGTAAAACAGCAACGACAACTACGGTGTGTGTGTATGTGTGTTACTCATCGAACGACATTCCGACACTTTTCTTATTCGTTAAATTCTATCGGTGTACTTATCGTTGTGCGTGAGGACATTGGTCTTCCCTTGCGATCTCGTCGGACGACAATTACCCGGGCGCATTAAAACATCGAAGAGTACATTGGCGAGAGGGAAGTGGGGTTATTGTAAATATCAGAGTCTCGGTTTGTCAGTGTGTAGATTTCTGTGACAGCCAGCAACTCTTGCCCACGTCTCATCCATATTTCTCGTTTACGTTCTGGCGAGCCCAAATCGACTCGAAATATTACTTCTTCGAGTTTCATTTTGGGACGCGACTACGATCGGGAGGACGGGGTCAAGACATTTCTCGTGGTCTTCGAACTTCGAACTGTTTTGGCGACCATTATCGTTCTTCGTATTCTCAGTTTCCGTTTCCGATTTTGGAAAACCATCTTCGATAATAAATTACTTTAATTGTTCGATGTATCTATGCGACTTCTGACGTGTGAAGAAATTTTTTGACCGACGATTAACGCGTCTCTGTGGTCGCTCGAATTGCGAGATCCCACGCGAACCGACGCGCGGGAAAAGCAGAGAAGCGATACGCGGCGGTTGTTTTCTCCGCTCCCGAGGCTCGTCGCCATCCTCCTTTTGTCCCGCGGCTCCGCGAAAAGCTCGCTTTCTTTGCCGTACAAACGACGCCGGTGCTCGAGGGCGTCGTGGCAACCTTCCCGTTCCCACCGATAAAAAAGCAAGAACCACCATTTTACTCTTTTTTCCCCCCCGAGTAAAACGCTGTCCGTTACAGCCAGTGATGGAACTTTAAGGGGTTCCACCACTGAACGTTTCTACAGAAAATGTGTTCCAATTCAGTCGAAACGACCCGTTCACCATGTATGAATTCTCATTCAAGAGTCAGGTTTGCGATTCATAAGTAAATTATAAGTCCATTCCATCATGTTCTCCGCATATTTCTATACTATATTTATTTATTTATTTTACGGTCAAATTTATAAAGAACTGAACAAAATAAAAATAAAACTATATATACTATCGTAAAAATAATTTCTCCAGAACGATTTGAAATTTTTTAATTTTGTCGAAAAATGCCACACCTTCTCGAATTTTTTTCTAGAAAGTGGGTAGGATTTCGAAGGTATGTGTATTCACCAAAAATGATTGTAATTGACCCCTGCAACCGAAAATAATTTTTCCAGAACGATTTGAAATTTTTTAATTTTGTCGAAAAATTTGTCCACATATTCGAATTTTTTTCCTCGAAAGTATTTACCCATATAATAAATAAATTTTCCTTTTAACGTCTGAGCTCTAATTTTCGCGTCGCGCGAACAGTACACGTGCCAATTTCGAGCACGTGCCGACACTCCAAAACCGCTGACATTATTTTAGACCCGAATCACGATCGTACATATATTTTAAACCACGAGATCTGGCACCGTCTATGAGCGAATTCGGCGGCCATCTTGGACGTTCAATTAAGGATTCACACTTGGATATTTACGATTCTCTAGATCGAAACTCGAAAAGTTTGTCCTCTGAATAAGTATTTAATATGAAAATAAATAAATTTGCAGAGTGAAAAAATGATCGAAATTTGAATGGCGACCAGGTAGGGTTAGGTTGCACGATGACTGAATATAGCAGTGTCGATTTAAATTTTGATACGTTGAAACGTCTGCACCTATCCTGAGGTCGCCTCTGACCGTGGCTGAATATAGATCTGTCAATTTAAATTTTGATACGTTCAAACGTTCGCACCTGTCCGAAGAGGCCCGTCAATTTAAATTTTGATATATTCAAACGTTTGCATCTAACCGTGACTAAATATAAGCCTGTCGATTTAAATTCTGACGCGTTCCAAAACACACTTTGATCGAAACTTGGTTTCTCGAATTTTATCATTTTATATTTTCTTTTTAAATTGGAAAATAAATTTAGTTATTAGAAATGACTGTAGCATATTTTACCGGAGAATCGATCAGAACGAAATTGCTACGTTCTCGACATTATTACGATCCAGTGGCCGTGTAAAATTCGCGGCAATGATGTATTTCACGAACTATTTGATAATTAATTACGATGTTCCGCGAGCGATGGGCGTTACAAATATACACGGAATTAATTTATTTGGGATCCTTTGACTCGTTAATTACGATTTTTTATGCACCATTTGTTCGCATTGAAATGCAGTTTGGGAAACGCTGACGCAGACTTTGCATTCAATTATCTTCCACTTTCCATAATTTCGTTAAATTTTTAAAAATTACGTATTCCGTAGGGGAAACTCTTTGTATTCTCTGAATTTCGAGACCTTTGCTATTATTATTATTATCATATCTATTTAGCGATTTTACCGACCTGTGTCACTATTATCATATCTGTTCTGCGACTTTACCGACCTCTGCTATTATTATTATCGTCATATCTGTTTAGCGATTTTACCGACCGGACTATCGGTAAAACAGGAAATCGCCTCGACGGTCCTCGATGTTTTCCATACGAACGATCCTCAATTATCGCGAACATGCTTTGAGGTTCCTCGTCGGAGGAGGGCGAGCGGGTCCTCCGGGGATTCCCGTCGAAAAATTCGGCCGAAGGACGCCGAGAAGAGGGCGAAGAGCGCTCGAAACGGAAACGAGGCGTATCGCGAAGCCGCTACTAATTACTTACTTCGATACGAGTATATTTCTACGCGCGATAGCTGCAAAGCTACTAGCTGGCTGTTTATCGCGACATCGCAAACACGTCTCGATGCCTCCAAGAGCTCGATAGAAGCCTCCCTCTGCAAAGCTCGTTCAAGCTTAACAAGTATTCCCCGGCGAGCGTGAGTGGCCGACGTTACGGAGATCCGTCCAAAAGTTTCGTTCGCCATCCATTATGTTACTTTCCCTTCGAACTAATCTTCCAAAGTACAACACCGAGCAACTTATTTCGCGTGGGTCCCGTGGACTCTCCGGGACCTATTCCCAGAGCTTACAAATTCTGAAAAGACTCGACCATATTATAAGTTATACTGTTTCTAATTCTGGTTGATTTATTATTCTGTACTGTACTATATGTGTGTGCTCTAAATGGGGTCACAGTAAATTATTATTGACTTTCCACGTTTCTATGTGCAAATCAAAATAGAGTATATGTGCCCCAATAAATCGCGTTTCTGTATTATGGAATACACATGTGGATGAAATGGATCTTCTCAATATATCGTTAGCCACCCCCCGAAAGGAATATCCAACGAGTTTTATGAATGGAGGAGGTATAATGTATGTTGGTATTTTGGTATTTATGTCTCTGTTATTGTATTTTTGCATTACTTTAGTATTTTACTATAACAATATTATTATTACTAATATATAAAAATATAAGAAATATTTGAAATAAGATACGAATTATTATATTTAGGGGTTGAGACAACCCTCTACAAAACTCCCAATTCGTTAATTCTATTAATACAAATATGAACTTGAAACATTTCTGGCCACACAGTATATTTTCAATAATGAATTTTTTTCTCGAAAATGCGTAGGAATTCGAGGGTATGTCTATTGGCCAAAAATGATTGCAATTGACCCCCGCAACCGACAATAATTTTTCCAGAACGATTTGAAATATTTTAATTTTGTCGAAAAATATCACACCTTCTCGATTTATTTTCTTGAAACTAGGTAGGATTTCGAGGGTATACCTATTCACAAAAAATGATTGTAATTAGCCCGTGGAATTAAAAATAATTTTTTTAGAACGATTTGAAATTTATCAATTTTGTCGAAAAATTTCACACCTTCTCGAATTTTTTTCTCGAAAACGCGTTGGAATTTAGGGGTATGTCTATTGACCAAAAATGATTGCAATTGACCCCTGCAACCGAAAATAATTTTTCCAGAATGATTTGGAACTTTGCAATTTCGTCGAAAAATTGCAGCACCTATTCGAATTTTTTTCTCGAAAACGCGTAGGAATTCGAGGGTATGTCTATTGACCAAAAATTATTCTAATCGATCCCTGCAACCGAAAATAATTTTTCTAGGACCATTTGAAATTTTTTAATTTAATATTTTGCCGTATGGATGCTGAACACCCCGTATATGTTACTACTACTATTAATAATATTATTATTACTTATTGTATAATAATATACGTATAATATAGTACAGAATCTGCAACTTTATGGAGTGATGATAATAATAACGTGCGACGGGAAGAAAGAGCGCGATCGATGGAGAAATTCGACGATCCTCCGGGAGTAGCGGTTGGCGATCCGTTTCCGTTAGAAAGCGTCGCGCTCGATCGCGAGAAGGGACGCCCGTGGGTCGGCGTAGAAAGCCAACGGGCTCGAAACACGCCGCTGCACGGCCTTTTGTCGTGCTTTTCGCGTCACAATCCCTGTCCGAGCGTCTCACGACCCACGTAGAAAAAGAAAATTCTGTCCTCGACCCGCTTCCGACCGCCTATAAATATTACCGTTACGCGAACGAATCGAGCGAAGCTAAGTGCACGGAACGCCGACGGCGGCGGACGCGTCGATCGCGAGAGCTCTCCCCCACCACCCCGTTACGATTCTCGAATCTCGTTTCGACGTGCAACGCGCGAGAAAAATTTCCGGCCCGTTGTTCGCCCGGAATAATCGACTGTATTTCGTACGAACAGACCCCCGCTAATTGCGCGGTGTGCAAACACTGCCAAACCGCCATTATTCCGACTGCTACGTACGTTCCGGTTAATGAAATTTATTCGGACAATGGGGGAACGCTTACTTTTATTTTTACGTTTGTCGTTTCGCGGACGCGGCGGGGCAAGAAAAATATTCCCAAAGCAAGTGGAAATATTAATATACCTTTTTCACGATCGAAATTAATTCCTCCAAACTATGACGCAAACATTCCCCCAGTGACGTCACCAGCCGCTACGCCGCCCGGGGGGGATCGATGGCGCATTCGACTTTTTATTTTTTTGCCCCCCGCGTGGCCAGGCGCGAGAGGGTCGACAATTTTCCGCGACGTAATTAGAAAGCTCGTTAGCCCGGCCGGGAAATTGTCGCGGAGCGATCGTTCGCGCGGTTCGATCGATGGAACGGGACCGCGATCGATGAGCGAACGAACCGGAAGGAGTTCTTTCCGACCGAGCGGCGGCGCTCGAAACTTTCGAGCGTTAATGAATTTTTAAGAGCAGGTTCGTTCGCGAACTTCCCTCGCGCGAGGAATTTATTACCAGCCATGAAATTGAATTTTTCCGACCGGGGTAAACAGCTGTCGGCCAGTCAATGGCCCGAAGCCAGCGACAGAGGACCGGTTAAGGTCGGACGGATCTCTCGATTCGGCCAAAGAAGCTCTCGAATTTCATTTTAACCCCACCCTCTGCCTCTTTTCACTCGCGCTCGCATTTCTCTTCACCCTTCTTATCTTTTTCGCTACCATTCACAGTTTTTCATTAGCATTCACACTCCCCTTTCGCTCCTATCTACACCCTCTTTTATTCACACGCTGGAAAATTTTATTAATTTTTTTTGTATATCGTTGCTCGAATTATGGGCTTCAAAAATTGTACGAGGTTAGGTTCTGGACGGAGGGAGGTCCGCGCCAAATATATTGGCCGTTCAAGGCCACTCAACCACCTCCCCCTCTCTCTCTCTCTCTCTCTCTTTCTTTCTCTCTCCCTTCCCCTTTCTTCTCGTTGCTCGCTTACAAGCCAATACGCGAGTAGCGCAGAGCGTCTAGCTAACGAAACGTAAAAACCTGCGATACCAGAAATCAGGGGTAATCTAAATACAGAACGTGAAAGAGAAAGGCAACGATTGGCAGTTTGGAAACTCACCTGTAAATCCAAACTCGGACGCCCGTGTATCTGAAAAAAGCCAAAATGTTCTACCGATATTCGAACGTTGGTTCCGGTGGCCTGGAGTGGCCAAATATTTGGCGCGAACCCGGCACTCGAAGCGATTCGAAAAACGCGTCTCGGCGCTCCGCCGCCAAATCGATCGTTTTTTAGAATTTTTATCAAATTGAAACATATTTAAACAGGTTAAAATGATGGGTTTTCGAGTCAAAAAATTTCAAGAAAACTGTCAATATTTCAATTCGAAGAAAATCCCCGAACATCGCGTCGGAAGAATAATGGATTCGGCGGTGGAACGACCCGGTTCGTCCTCCATTTTCTCTCCTTGATCTCTCTCACGCCTCCCATTTACTCGGTCAGACAGACCCACGAACACAAACGCACGCACTCACGCACGCACGCACGCGCAGACACGCACACAGACGCACACAGGCTCGACACGGTTGGAGCAATGGGAGAGAATCGAGCGTTTCTCTCTCATTCGCCGCTCGCTCTCGTTTTCGTTCTCGTGCTGGTTTAGCGTGATCGGGTCGATTTCTATATAGAGTACCCTTTTGACGAGGGGTGAGCAGTGAGCTGTGGTTGTGTGGTGCTGTGTGGTGGTAGCGGTGCCGGTGATGTTCGAGGTGCTCTGGATGGTCAGGGTGATTGGGTACGAGGTAGTCAGGGGTGTAGTCGTCTTGGCGGGTATGGGGCGGGGGCCTCAGTGTACCTTGGACCGGGGGCAGAAGCCGCTTGTCGTAACGCGTCGACAGCAGCAGGTTGTCCAGGATCTCCTTGTCCGACTTGCCCTCCTCGAAGCTGCAACACAACGCATTGTAGCTAGCCCCGGAACCCATCGGATCGTCAGCGATCATTCTTGCCCCTCCGCGTCCAATTTTCCCCACTCTTTCCCTCCTTTCAACGCGCCGGATATCCGGTCCTCTCGAGACCTCGAAGATCACTCGGTAAACAATATCGTTGCAATCAATTTTTTCTAAAAATTTAACCTCTGACTACAGTTTCAAGGTCACGGTGACACATTCGTATCTTATCATCAAGAAACAAATCACGAAAAGAATACCCACGACGCAGTAACACGGTAGTTAAAATTTTATTTGACAGATAAGACAAATTGAAAAAAAAAAAAATGGCTCCCCGAGTTGGACCTTCGAGGTATCCAAGATCGGTCTGTGCGACGTTGGTTCCTTGAACACCGAGAGCTCGACGGTGCTAATCCGTACGGAAGGAATCGCCGCGTTCGTTTCGAGGTTATGTAATTGTAAATGGCCACAGTATATCAAACGAGAAAAAAATCAAACGATCTACGGATTATCTGGAGAAATGTACACAGCTCTCTAAACGCACTATGTATATGGAAACAGCTTCTACCTTCGAGCGTCGCTGAATTATTCTGTAAATCGCTAGTTAACGTCTGTTGCTTCGATCGTGGCTAGATCACGATCAACTAGGATATCCAAACTTGTCTACTCGGGCTAAACGTGTACAAACGTGATGCAATTGAACGTGCGGGACGACGGTCGAACGAGAGCTTTTGCGTAACAAAAATAATATCCGACGTTGTTGTTCGAAAATAAAAATTTTATCATTCGTACTTAATAATATTTAAACAAAAAATAACATAAAATATTAATTCAACACTAAGCGCTAGTTAATTTGAGGTTAATTTGAGGAAAGTTTCGACGGATACTTTTGCGACACCCTGTATATTGATATCGCGACTGAGCTAGGAATGGTTAACTGTTAGGCGACGATCGTCTCGGCGACGAGTTTATGGTCGACACCCGGAACGAGCAAAGTCCCTTCCGTCGACCGTCGTCCCAGTTAATAACGAGACAAGTTTGCGCAGTATTAAACGTAGAACAAGTATAAGAGCTTTTGAACGTGAAACGAGACGACATTAAGGGCGATTCTCTATTCCATGCAAAAGGAATTTAATCGTGACCGGTAAATCGAGTACCGAGTAGGCTTCAATCTACTTGTATCGTACTATAACCTCGCTATAATGTCGCTCCCTCGATCCTATCACAAGCAAAAAATTCGTCTACGCTAGAAAAGTGTGTCCCGCGAGTCTTAGCTTCTCGATACGATTCCGGTTCGACGACGAACGATTAACGCGACTACGCGGGCCTGGGTGTCGTCGGGACGTTTCGATCGATCGACGAATACGTTCGTCGATCGATTGTAGCCGGGAGACTGTACGGAACCGGCTCGAATCGAGAAGGTAAGAGAAGTTGGTCGATGAAACTGGTGATTATCGTATTCGATAATACGTACATGTCCTCGGCACGCACGAGGGTGACAAGAGTGAGGGCAAGTGTGAGGATACAGAGGATGGTGAAGATGAGGGAGCTTGCGAGGGAGGTGAGAGACAGCGAGAGGACGGACGAGAGGCGGCCGCCACCACCCGCACACCGCCCTAGCGCCACCCAACCCATTCTATGTCATCTGAAACAGAAAGCACGTTTTCCGTTATTAGTATTCGCCATCGGGAAACGAACGTCATCGGGAGACCGTGCAAAGCAAAAAAAAAAACAGCTGAATCATACTCGCGCCGGGAAATGAAAAATACCGTAATTTGAAGAATTTATGTGGAAACAGGAACAAAGACATTCGACTAGCCGCTGTATCGATTGGAAATTCTCGAAGGGAGAAACACGGAGTCGCGGTCGTTTCGTGTTTGACCAGATTCAAGGTATAAAGTAAATCTGCTTAATCAAGTATTGACCGAGCAAATCTCGTCTGCAGTTGTTCGAGCAACACCAGAGAATGGTGTTTCGTAGCTGGTTTCGGGTACGAGACGATGTGGTCGCGCCCATCTTGCGATCTGTACCGATCAAATAACCTCTTACGAAGAGGTTAGAAATCGCTGTTCCAAATCGATGAATCTTAACAGACTTAATGGCTTCAGGAATTCTTAAATATTAGTTAAATCAATTGTATTCACTTGTTTCGATATAATTGTTATATTCTCTTTTATGACAAGATTTAAACCACTTACGTTTTGGATACATATTACTCTTCGTTCACATTTCTACGACTAACTGTGCCTCGTTCCGTTTACTGGACCGTTCCTGTTCGTTCCTGTTCGTTCCATCCATTCCATGCACACAAAAACGCACCATCGTCCCTCTTCTTAACATGTAATATTTGTCTTCTTCGATTAAAGCAGCTCGTCTTGTTCAGCGCATATGTTAATCACGTATAAAGTAATCTTCGAGGTGATTTTAATACTTTTCCAAACTTCGTCCCACAGTTTCTGTTCGTAGTCCTTTTTGTACTGCCTTCCATTCGTCTGTCGTTCGTTACATTGCTGTTCGACGTTGATCGAATGTTTTCAGATATTACATCCTGGAGATCATAGATGTGACATTTGTTCTCAATTCTTTCTCGTTCTAAATCATTATTCTGAATAAGTCTAATGTGTAACTTTGGAATATTGTTAAAGTTACTGAAATTTTGCGACACGCGGTCTGGCTTAACCTCACTTTCACCGTCGTACACAGACATTTCCATAACCACTTTGAACTTCCACCAAAATGTTTCAACTTGTTCCAACTGTCGTGATCGCACTTCTGACACCGTGGTATATTCTTTTTTTATGCGAAAATGATTCAATTGACTTCGACTCGAGCGAAGCTTGGCGTACAAAGAACTCTTTGTTCTCGCGTCTACGACTGACTGTCCCGTTCCGTGTAACTGGACCTTTCCGGCCCATTCCGTCCGTTCCACGAACACAAAAAGACACACAATTGTGTAACCTCATTTATGCAAATATTCTTATAGAAAACGGATAGAAAAGGAGCTCGTAAAAGAGATATTGTCAGAGAATCTTGATTCTGTACGATAGTTACTTAGATTTTAGTATCGAGTTTATCCTATAGCGTCGAAGATTGCTAACTAGGAACCCGATATGCTCCGGCTAATCTCTTTAGATTGTGCCTAGAAACTAGACACAGAGTTTGTTTTAATCCCTCGCGCCGGGATGTCTGCGACGACGAAGCGTTTCAAAAGCTTCGAAGTCGACTACGGGCGTCGGTCGTTTATCCTCGTCGACTCTTGATAAGCAATTAGGCGGCAAGTTTCACGAATTGCTCTCCGCCGAGTCGAACTCGAGAGTTTCGAACAGAGAACGTGTTCTAACCTCAAAGTCCAACAGCGGAAACGCCCAATCAATCGACAGACCTTACCCCCAAACAATTGCGATACATTAATCGTTTGTCTCGTAAAACCGTCGAGCGTCCAACCATACAATTTCGATGCCAGATATTTCCTTACAGATTCGAAGGGTTTTTGCATTTTTCATGCATCGATCGAGACTGTAAACTGATTGATACGATATTGTTGGATCGAGACAAGGAGTCTAGAATAACAAGATGGGAGGGGTTGGATCGTTGGTAAACGAGCCGGTCATCGATCCTGTGGCCTTTCCAGTTCGAGTTCCATACCGTCGGTGTCCATTTTCCTCCATTTTTACAACGTCAAACGCGTTTCCATACTCCAAAGGTTATTTCCCTCCTTACACGATCGATGCTTTCTTTCCCCGACAGCTTATATCATCCGTGTCGTTAACATTCTATTTATTTATTTATTTATGAACTAAGAAAACCCATTGACTCACACAAAATTATTTTATCGCGCGTAAATTTTTACTTTAATTCAGATCGTATTTTTACTCTGGCGTTCCGGCGAAAGTTTGTAACTTTTTCGAACGTAAATTAAAACTGACAGAATGTGATTAGTTGCGGCGTGAGAAAAGTTTCGCCGGCGTGCGATCAATTTCCATCGCTCGGAAGTTATTTGACGCGGATGACATTCGTCCCCTCGCGACACAAACGGCTGAAAATGTTCACCCTGCGCGTTAAAAGGTCGCTCTTCAAAGACCTGTGGATACACTTTTGATCTACGACCCCATGGTCGATTCACGCGTACCCGGAGGATCCCTTCCGGCGGAAACCGAGGGTCCAAACTAGCGACACGGAGTTTCAAAGCTCAAGCATTACGAGGCTCATATTCCAAAGGATCTTTTGCAGTTTTTTTTTTCGCGCCGCCATTGTCCCCGAGGCTCGCTTCTGTCCCGCCGCTGTTATTTTATCTTGTTGCGCGCAACCGTTTCCTCGACGCCATCTTGGAAAAGCACCGTTTCGTTCGAAATATTCAAACCGTTGTAACTTTGTAAAAAAAAATCGTACAGGGGCGTACCTACGCTCATTTTAAAGGACAAAGCCTCAATTTTCTAAATACTGCATTGAATTTTTTCGTAGATTTACGTAATACTTTGATATCAAAGAAAATGAAGAGTCAAAAATTTTTGGAATTCGAACGTTTTGTTTTACGATGGATTTGAAAGGTGAAACTTATTCTTTGCAACGAGGTCGTAAAGGACAGAGAAAAATTACTTTGTTAAGAGTTTTACGATGATAATAACAGTGACTGAAAGCACGGTAAAGGAAGAAACAGATAGAAACGCAAGGATCCGAATGGACGGTTAATAGATTCCTCGGCTCCAGTTATTTTCCGTCTAGACGGAAGTCGAGTCTGATTGTTTCGATACATAAATCTCGTTTCAGGAGCAGAAGTTAAAACTACAAACCAATTTCGCTAATGACCGTAATGGCTGAAATAGTTGAAAGCGTAGTGCACTCCAAACTATTGGTAACTCTCGAGAGCATAATATATGCAGAGTAGCATGGATTTGTTCAAGCTCCGCGATCATTAATCCTGCGTCCGGTAAGTTCATTGTGGATGCATTAGAGATTAGCAACCGGGCGGATATAGTTTTTACCGAGTTCAAAGAAACCTTTGAGAATGTCCATCGCCGCTAATCACGGAGTTGTCGAAAATTCGTGTTAAAATGGCTTCTGCGTTTATCACGATAAACACAATCGGATTATCGAGTTCGACGACCGCCGTTCGCTTTATTTGACGGTTTAAAGGCATTCGAGAATAACGAACCGTGGAAAAGACCGATGCAAGCAGATCGTGACACTGTGAGCTTTCGATATCGAGAAAACAAGCATTCGATACAGACACACATGATGTAACGAGACTCGCGAGACTGGAATACGTACTTTTGCTCGTTGAATTATTGACAAAGAGATTTTTTACATCTCGATTTTAATGGGGATTTTAAGGTTATTTTTATTCAGAATTATTTACTCGAAGGAACCGCGAGTAGACTTTACGTGGGAATTAGTTGTTGTCCTAGTATTCTGCGTCTATGGTGTAAGCACCTTAATGTACAAATCAATCCTATTTGCATGGATGTATCGTACCAGCGACGCAGAATTATGGTTCCGTCGTGGCGAAATCGAGAATCGATACAAGCTCGAGCACCGCGTACCAATCTCGGTAATAATAGCAATAATAGAAATAATATTCACTCGTGGAGTAAAATCTTCGTAAATAGAAAATTTCAAGTCTACGTCAATGTGTTAATTTTAACAGGTCCTTTGTCTGTACTAATTCTGTTGCACCCACGGTTCATCCCGTTTATAATTCAATATCGGGGGAAACTAGAGTTTCCCCGCGTCAAATTGACAGTTAGTGTCTTCCAGCTCTGCGGCTTCTGATCCAATATAACTAAGTCTGTGTAAGCATCAACGTTTAAACGCAACGACGTACGGTGTCTCGTTCGTCTAAACGTTCCCTCCGTAAATAAGTGAGAGCATCGTGGAAGGTCCTTTTCGCGCCAAATCGATCGCTCCTCCGCCTCGAAATTCCAAATTTTAAACAACATTCAAAATCGTAATTTTTCTGCAATCTTCAAATCTTAATAATTTTTCTACAAATTTTTAAAAGTTTCTCGAACTTGTATTTTCCCGGGGAAAAAATTACAAAAATAGAAAAATAATTCCCCCTCTCTCTGATTCCACGTATCTCGTTTTTGAAAAGGATGGACCGTGAATATGCTCTTGGCTTCAGATTCCCGCAGTCGAAGGGATAATTTGGCAGTTTGCCTGATTCTAATTAACTCGAAATTTATCGCTGGATAATATGTCGAGTGTTATGGGTCCCTAGGAAATTTGCATCGATCGATTAGCAAGTTGACTGCCAGAGCAATATTGTAAAATTTGTTTACGCTACCTAAACTTGGATTTTGAACAATTTTAAACTACATAATAAAATCCTATTCAAGTTTACTTCCCTTAACATTTAAATTTCAGTATAGTTTTAATGTTGTTACTGTTACCAATACATGGGTGATGTGGCAGTCAAAGTGTTGAACGCGTAGATCGAAAAAAACGGGAAGAGAGTGGGGCGCCACTTGCCGCGTTCGCCGCCAGAGGGCCACGCTCTCGTCTTTCTCGCAAGTGTTCGACGCGCCACCTATTCCTATATACATATACGGTCCTCGAGCGACCACTCACTGTCCCAGTGTCCAACGGCAGCTTCGATTGCCTTACTGATGAGCCCATTTAGCAGAGATTCAGGACGAATTCCTCCTG